CAGGCTCTCGCAATTTATTAATCAACATAGATCTAACAGGCTCTCGCAATTTACTAGATCTAAGTCCTCATTGAAAATAGCCTTTAATATCAAATTAACATCTGCTCGATTCATCAATTTAATATTGCTATACTTTTACAAGCCGCAATTGTAAAACATTAAAACAATCCAATAAGAAATTATCATGCAATACCAATAATCAATAATAGTCAATCATCAATGCATCAATTAACCAGATTGTAAAGGGCTCTCGCTACTTATTACAATCACACAATTAATTTACCGGTATTAAATCTCATCCCTCGAATCTTGACTTAACCATTTATAAATTAACTTGCCTATTGAAACTAGACCTAAACATTAATTCTCATCTCTCGATTCTTGAATCAATATTGTCAAACTCATGCATAAAAGATAGGCCTAATCTAGTCACAGAGCATTAATCCAATCAATAGGATATTAATCTAGTATTGATAATCAACAACAATAATTTACCCCTTCATATTATTTATTAGATCCCCATAAACCCTAGAAATTAAACTAGTCACGCATAATAAAAACTAAACTAATCAAAGTGATAAAATAAATCATGATGGAAGGAATAAAAATAAATAAGATTAAAGGAAGAGAAATCGTTACCAAAATAATCTGGAATTAATCAAAGAAATAAGAACAAAGGTTTAGAGAGAGAGTTTAGAGAGAGAAGTCTAAGTAGAGAGAGAAAGTCTAAGAGAGAAGAAGATTCAGAGAAGAAGAAAAGAGGTCCTAACATCGTATTACGGAGGAGTATTTATACTCCGTACAAAAAAATCCTAAACTAAAACAAAATAAAACGACGCTAATCGTCTCCTAAATATACACGCGCCCGATCGGGCGCACATTTTTTTTTATCTCTAATAGCAATCTCGCGCCCGGCCGGGCGCGTCATCGGGCGCTTCTCCCGCCCGGCCGGGCGCGCCTCTGGGCGCCAGCCTTTTTGGCCGAGCGGCTCATTTGGGCCAATATTTGGACTTCGATTGGGCTCCAATTCTTCGGGCCAATCTGGGTTTCCTCTTTGGGTCTTGAATACTCGGTCCAAATGCCCCGGTATCACTTATACCGAGCCCTTAATCACCGGTTCGATGGCTCTAACCGGCCCTGGGCTATAAAATCTGGTCGTGTTTCTCCAATGCTCGTGATTTCTCCAAAATATCTCGGGAAAATACTCCAAAAGGATAAATCCCTGCAAAAGTTAACCAAATCTACGAAAACACTGGAAAACACCAATTAGTAATAAAAGTTGCTCCAAAGAGCCAAAAACACTACTAATTATGACCAAGGGACGGGGGTAAAATACTATATAAAATGGACACATCAATATTCGAATAAGTAACTAAACTAATAAGATTGAGAATAGAGAGAAAACAATATATGAAAGGATCTAGGGTATAGGTTCACCAATAAATAATACTCCAGGGTAAAACATAGTAATCAATCATTAACATTGCATAAATAACACGATTAACAGGCTCTCGCAATTTACTAATCACCATAGATCTAACAGGCTTTCGCAATTTACTAGATCTAAGTTCTTATTGAAAATAGCCTTTAATATCAAATTAACATCTGCTCGATTCATCAATTTAATATTGCTATACTTTTACAAGCCGCAATTGTAAAGCGTTAAAACAATTCAATAAGAAATTATCATACAATACCAATAATCAATAATAGTTAATCATCAATGCATCAATTAACCAGATTGTAAAGGGCTTTCGCTATGTATTACAATCACACAATTAATTTACCGGTATTAAATCTCATATCTCGAATCTCGACTTAACCATTTATAAATTAATCTGCCTATTGAAACTAGACCTAAACAATAATTCTCATCTGTCGAATCTCGAATCAATGTTGTCAAACTCATGCATAAAAGACAGGCCTAATCTAGTCACAGAGCATTAAATCAATCAATAGGAAATTAATCTAGCATTGATAATTAACAACAATAAATTACCCCTTCATATTATTTATTAGATCCCCATAAACCCTAGAAATTAAATTACTCACAAATCATCATGACTAAACTAATCAAATAAATAAATAAAAGCATAATCAAGGGAGCAAATAAAATAACTGAAATTAAAGGGGAAGAAATTGTTACCAAAAGGTAATCTGGAATTAATGGAAGAATTAAGAACAAAAGTTGAGAGAGAATTTAAGAGAGAGAAAAATACTAAGTAGAGAGAGAAAGTCTAAGAAAGAAGGTAATCTAATAATTCCGTAAAAAATCGTATTTAAACGTTTTCTAAAACAAGAATTAAAACTAAACTTAATCAGGTCTTCCAGAAACGCGCGCCCGATCGGGCGAAGGGCCGCCCGATCGGACGTGCCTTCTTCTTCGCGTTCTTCCCAAGCAGCATCGCCCGATCGTGCTAGATGCTCGCACGATCGGGCGCGCCTTAGCATGCACATCACTATGGTTTGCCGCGCCCGATCGGGCTAGAGGTTGCCCGATCAGGTCTTTGCTCCTCTTGAGGCTTGGACTTCGATTGGGCTAGATTTCTCGGCCCAATCTGGGTTTCCTCTCGGGTCTAGAATACTTGGTCCAAATGCCTCGGGATCCCAATTACCGAGCCCTTAATCACCGGCTCTCACCGATCCTGGGCTCCAAAAGTGGTCGCGTCCTTCTAGCTTCCGTAGTTGATCCATAGAGCCCGGGAAAATGCTCCAAGAGTGCAATTTCCTGTAAAATACAACTAAAACTACGAAAACACTAGAACACACAAATTAGTAACAAAAGTGGCACGAAAGTGCCAAAAACACTACTAATAATGACCAAGGGACGGGGGTAAAATACTATATAAAATGGACATATCAATAAACTCTTCAAATAAGCTTCCCACCAAACACCTTAGATTATCTTATTTAATAGTCAATAAGCTAATATTAGTTAAATAAGCTAATTTTACTCTAATAAGAAAGTTATTTACCAAACACAACCATACTTTAAATATAATATATTAATTTTTATAATAACTAGTTTTGTGCCCCGTGCGATATCCGGATTTATCAAATTTTGATATAAATTTTTAATCTATATGTCAAATTTCAAAATATTTCTCTAATACAAAATTAGATAGGAATTGGTGTACTATTGTGACGATTTAAACTATGTAGTAGGCATATATAAATGACTAATAATAATATTGGTATTTTTTTTAAAGTTATAATCTTATATTTTTTTGAATAAAATTATAATTCAATTTATATATATGAAATAATGTTATTTATTGAAAATAAAACTCTTAACTAACAATTTTATCCTAAAATTCTATCCAAACTTGATTGAAAATAGAATTCTAAACTTTTTTTTATTTTTATTTTATTTTATGAAGTTTATCTAAAATATATCCAACGTGGCGCGACTCTTGGCAAAAAGTTGGAATGCTAAGAGCAAACACAATGGTTAACCACAATCTTTTGGTTATTATTTATTTTATTAATTTCTCCATCTTACACCTTACCTATAACCACTTTTATACCCATTTAATAACCAATATATCCCAATAGTTAACCATAAATTTTTTATTTTTTATTTTCTCTCTCCTACTTTTACCCAATCTCAACCCCACAATTTCTCTCTTTCTCTCTCTAATTTAAATCAACCCCACCAAGAACAAATATTGAAAGCAAAAAGTAGATTATTTTTTTTTTGAATAACCCAATGTTGATAACCAGGTTATTGTTGTAACCTGGTTACTACAATTTTTCCACAAAATTTTCTCTCTCCTCATTTTTTAATTATTTTTTCAGTTTCTCTCTCATGATAACCAAGTAATGTGGTTATCCACTATGTGTGCTCTAAGTGTCGTTGTTTCGTGTCCTGGTTAAAAGTTTAGCTTTATATATTAGTGATATGATGATATATAAAAATAATGATATTTATAAGGAAAAATTAGAAATAATAATCCCAACTTTCATCAATTTTGCTACAATAATCCCAACTTTGAATTATTCTGGAATAATCCGAACTTTGAGGGTTCCACTTTTTCTTCAATCCCAAAAATCGGTAACCGATTGAATGGGTAATTTTTTTTTTAAAAAAGTGACATGTGTCACAATTGAACTGGCTAAAACAATTTATATAAAAAAATAATAAATATAAATTAAAAAAAAAACCCCAACCAAACCCCAAAATCCCAGCCACCAGCCAACCCAAAAAACCACTAGCCAACCCAAAAACCACCAGTTTAACCCTAAACGGTGGCGCGAATTCCCCCTCCCCCTCCCGTTGCACCGGTTTCCCCCTCCCCACTCGTCGTTTCTCCTTTTCCCCCAATCTCCTCTGCTCAAATCGCCGCTTAAATCCATCTCCACTCCCGAAAACCCCCAAAAACTTCTCCCCACCGTCGAAAACCCTAGCCGCTTAGGGTTTCGGGCTGGTGGGAGGAACGATTGGGTGTTTTTGGCAGTGGGGAGGGGTTTTGGTTGTGGATTTGGGGTTTCAGGGTGGTGGATTCGAGGGGAATTAGGGGTGTTTCAAGGAGGAAAGAGGATGGCGATGGTTGTTTCATGTGTCTGGTTAGCGACAAAGGGGCTGCAAGCTGGCTGTGAGGTGGTGGTTAGGGTGGCCGGTGGGGGAAGGGGAGGCTCACTAGTGGTTGGTGATGTTTAGATTTTTTTTTTAATTTAATTTAATTTTTTTTATTTTTAAGGACTAATCCGGGATTGACACGTGTCAAGTGACCTGCTATTATAGGTCATTGACTTTTGTTGACTGATTTGGGATTGAAGAAAAAGAATACCCCCTAAACTTCGAATTATTCCTGAATAATTCAAAGTTGGGATTATTGTAGCAAAATTGATGAAAGTTGGGATTATTATTTCTAATTTTTCCTATTTATAATATAAAATGTGCATTAGCAACTGTGAAACTTACAATATTGCAATTAAAAAAAAAAATGGAATTACACTTTAAGCAATACTCCTTATAACGAGACTAACATAAAAACTGATACAATTTTAAAGAGAAAAATATATTAAAAATAAAATATCAAGTATGAGCAAACATTAGGTTTTAGCAAAATGAAAATCTGGAATCGATCATACATCCACGAGCACAAAGTTGATCAAAACATTTTGAATAAATAAATTTCCACAATTACCTGTATTGCCACAACCAAGGAAATCGATAATGCAGGAGAAGGGGAGGCTTTGGTAGTTAATAATGAAAGTGCAATACGGAAGGGTACAGGAAGAAGGAAATACCAAGAACTAGAAGCCAAGAACCTTCTTCATGCTTCTTTCCTAGTAATCCTGTAATACAGATATACGGAAAGTTTAAGCAAATTTGAAATAAACACTGAACAAAGTTGGTGTGTTCTTCGGTCGCAAGTCTAACTGGACCATTTAAACTTTCAAACCACAATAAAAAACATAGATTTCAAATGACTTAAATTAAGTAGAGTATACGCCATGGTCAAAGGCTCAAAGCTACCTTAACCATCACCATAATAAAGATTTTGTTCCGTAACCTCTTCTAGTCCTATATCATAACCTCTTCTCCCTACAAGACATGCATCGTACCTCCCTCTGCCATCACCACCCAAAAACTTCATCTCAATAGACTTCATTTCTCGAGCTGATGCTAATGCTCAATTGTTAGCACCAAGCCTTTTCCCCATACTTATATTCATTATGCTCCCTGTCATCTTCAAGTCTTTTCTATCCATTTCCCCACCTTATACTAATATGGGAACTTTTAGTGCCGACTCCAGTATGTTTATGCTAGCTCTACTTTAAAAAGTGAAGTGATACATGGGATAACATAAACGAAGAAGATCAGCACTCACATCCCTTTTATAAAAGCATAATGAGCTGTTGCAGAAATGGCCATGAATGCAATGCTTACAATTGCCTTCATGAAACCACAATTTCCAAAAATTGGGGTGTGAAACAAAGTATAAGATATTTATGCATTTGAAAGCAGAGGATAGAATTCAAACAGCAAGTCAGCAAGAGTACATGTAAAGTTTCCAAAGGATCTGGCAGTGTCCAAATTATGAGGCAGTGATAGAGAACTCAACAGCCATAATAATGTAAGAAATTGAAATCCTATTCTTCACCGCACTTCGTACCAGGAAATTTAACCTCAACCACCAGATGGCATGGACTCAAATTCCTCTAAGGTCATTGAGTCTTCTAAATAAGGCTATGTTACTTAACTGGCCAGCCTATGTCACATGAAACTATCTAATACACGGCACTGGGAAATTACACCCTAGTTCTGATGTAACAGATATACACAGTTCCAGTAACAAACTCATATAGCCTTATACACAAAGTAATTTACGGATGGATTGCTTTACAGTTACATGATTTCATTTATTAGGAAAATAAAAATAAAGTACATGCAACAAAACAGTTAATCCACCCTATTCATTTGTACAAAAGAAGTGGATGCAAATAAAATGTGAGACAATTTATAAAAAGCATTCAGATGGAAAGGTCACCTGAAGCAATAGATTCCCAAAGCAGTTGTGATTTCATTGATGACTGACGTTGCAAAGTGCAAGTACAGACAAGCTGGACCGGGCCAAAAAAGTCCATCAGGATAATGCAAAGCAACACCAAAACAGTAAGAGAATAATAGAATGCATCATGCATGTTCACCTTACTCCAAACGATATTTTTAGAAAATGGAGGAAAGCCAAAAATAACTTTGTATATGACTATTTCATAACTAACTTTAATTACATTTACTAAATTTATTCTATGAGCTGAGAAAATATATCCGCCATAATTTGAGTTAGGAAGACAAAGTTAATGTGAACACTCACGAACAATAAATAATAAGCTGATAGAAGTAATTTTAAAAGGGAAAGCAATCAGCTACATAAGAGTAAATTATTCATACCAGTAAAAGCACAATAACCGAGCAGCACTAAAGACTCGTCAACTAATGGAACTCTGTGAACATGTATAAATGAAAAAATTAGTAAGTTGAAGTCCTGAAAATTGAAAAGGCCAATAGGTAAATCTCCTACCCGTCATTTAGCCTAGCAGTCAAAGCGTTTGCAATTGCCAGAGGGAGATACAACAGAGACTGAAGCAAAGTAGTCAAAGAGTTAGTCAACTAAATGCAGAACAGAGATTTATTTAGAACAAAAGGACGAAAAAAAAAAAAAAAAGCTAAGTATACATTGCTATATTACTTCTTAGGAATAGCTTTCAATAGGGGTATTCAACAAGCAGAGACCCAATATTTTATCCATTTGGTCTGTCCAAAGGCTCCAATATAGGTTGACCAAAAGATACAAAGAGACTAAGAGAGTGGAAGTCTCTTATTACACAAGCCAATTTATTTTATTTAATTCAAGGCTTGATGTCCACATCTCAAGTCATGTTGAGTAGCTGTGGGGTAGTCAATCTATGCCTTAGCGGTTAAGTGGCCTTAGCCTCCTCCACCCATAATCATATTAAAAATAAAAAATAGAAAAAAAAATAAAAAAAAAAGTTGCCGACTTGCTAATACAACAGGTAGGAAAGGCCCCACTCTTATCTTCTCACAAGGAAGGTAGAAATTTTCAGTGAAGAAAAGCCATGTCTACATGGACATTATATTCTCTACTTAAAATCAAGCTTTCTAGATTACAGTCAGCAACCAGAACACGAATTAATAAATGAGTTAGCTAAATCATTTTCCTTGAATAAAATTATACATGAAAGTCAAGTTCATTTCTACCTATTATACATGAAAGTCAACTAAACAACTACTCACTCCATCCCTTAATATTTTAAGATCAAATAAACCAGACTCAAAAAAGGCAACTCTCAAACAGAAGCATGTTCTTTAGAATAAAAAACAGGTTACAAGCCCTCTCACAGATCACTAAAAGATATAAATATCTATGGTAAGGTATCTGTCCCCGAGAGAATATATGTAAAAAGCAATTTCCAAAAGATAAAGTAGCCAAGGCTTGACTGCACCAGTTGACATATAAAATTATTAAAAGACGACCCAAAAATATATAATGCACATGTAAATGGAACATTGCAAAATAATAACTAATCATCAACCAGAATCCATACCATACACATACTAGTTTTGAGACCCTTTGGCTCATCACACAAATGAGACAAAATCATCCTTCCCTGCAAATAATACTATTGCGTCAGCAAATTTACAATAGAAAAAGTACTATGGTAAAACAAATACTACAGACATATAGTATAAGCAATATGCACAATAATCTAACTAATAGAATATTTCGGAAAGTTACCTCAAGGGGAAAAAAAAGGTTACCACATAAATGTTCTCTTACCACAAGAAAACCAAATGCAAGTCCAGTTCCCACTACAACGAGATGGGGATAAGTGCCAATAAGATCAGATGGAGAGAGATAATCCCTGCAGAACCATCGATGTTGCTACATTAAAACAAAGGAAGAACCACCACAGTTGCTATAATTAAACAAGGGATCAAAGGACCAAAAGCAAGTGAAGGTCAGTGAGCTATACCACACAAGGACCCCAACCAAGAGCACCACGAATGGATAAAGCTGACATTAATATTATCAAAAATGAGTTCCGGATTGGAAATAAATAAATAAATAATCAAAGGATAAAAACAATATAAATAATGCCAAGCATAAAACAATTATTACCATGGCTAATGCTAGCAGCATACTTCCTTTTCTCAACTTAACTACATTATAGACATTCTGTATGCTGCACAAGTGCACAAGAAGCAAAATTAAGATGAGAACATTCCAGGCAACAAGGGGTTAAATGGCGTGCTGATACAGAACTTGTTTGAGCACATCCATTCCAAAGATTCAGTACAACACCAAATTAAAAAATAAAATAACTGCAGAAAGTATATACCTGTTTCTGTCAACAACATTATTGACATAAACTAACGCAAGCAGATATACAGAGAAAATTCAGATTAAATGTGTCCATGCATAGATAAATTCCTTATTTTAAGTTAAACCTGAACAAGAACCTCACATCCTATCCCGATTCAGCATGTAAATTAAGTCAATTTAATGTGCTACTAATCCATTGAAAAAGGAAATGATGTGCACATATATGATTGATATACATAGAAAAGAATACCCACTTGAATGCAACAGTCGGTATCACACCCGAAGCTATCATGAGGTACAACGCAACTTGGTATGTTGGGATCCCTAAAACAGAAAGCAAAGGACGGTGTCAACATTCAAGGATGCATCTACCGAGAGTAAAATGATATAGAGTAATTAGCCTATTCAATAACTTAACACAGATACGCATCCATCTTAGACCAAAAAATCAAAGACCAAAAATGAGGGAGAAAAATAGATAAATTAATATGTCTAGTAATTTGGATAGAAGAAATATAGATAAGGCAAACCCGACTTTTACAGTATTAGGCAAGTCTCATGTAGATTATAACATGCATGGATCCATCTTAAAAAATGACAACATTGACCAGGACAAAGAACTACAAGTTTTACTCCATAACATAAGCATCACAGGTTATCCCAAAGCCCAAATATTCATTTTCTATGTAAATGGAAAGAAATAAAAACATCAAAAAAAGAAAAAAAAAAAAAAAAAAAAAAATTCAATAATTACAACAAAACTACTGCTAGCAATTAGTAAATACAATAAACCTTTTATTCTAAGTTTCTAGCCATTCTAAAACTCTAATTTGGCTTACCATAAATGAAGACATTACAATTTTTGCCTAAAAAAAGATTAACATGATAGACTGAATAATAAGCAGCTGTCAATCAAAGGCTCCCTGTATATCTCTGTACTACAGTAAAAGACACATGACATTCCACAGCCTACAGAATTCAGACACATTCAAAGTTCTTTATGATACAACCAAACTAAAAAAGGCAATGCACATCACAATCTTATACTTTCATGGTTCAAGTAATGTTCTTTAGTATATAAATCATCCTATATGGAAAGCAATTAGCTGTAGCACATAGGAAAAGTACAAAAGCATCTAGTCCAAAAGTATACCAAGATAACATGTACCACACAACAGATTGTATGTTTCAAATCATTTCAGGAAGTTGAGCAAATTAGGAAACACTATCGTAGGCCTATGGATTCTTAAAAAACAGAATACAGGTCAATAGATGTTTAGGTTGGATGATTTATCAACCCTTAGCATGCCAACAATTCATAAATACTTCAAGGAGTACCAGCTAGTGAAGCATATATGAATAATTTACAAATATAAAACAAAAAAATGATAACTATAGATTTATATTAAAATAAAAATAAATAATCACATAAACACACTATATGTGTTCACAAGGGCCACAAATCCATAAAATACACATTCCGTTGTGATATATCCATTTTATATAGTAATTTACCCCCGTCCCTTGGTCATAATTAGTAGTGTTTTTTGGCTCTTTAGAGCCACTTTTATTACTAATTGGTGTTTTCTAGTGTTTTCGTAGATTTGGTTGATTTTTGTAGGGATTTGCACTTTTAGAGCATTTTCCCGAGATATTATGGAGTTTCTATTGGAGAAGCACGACCATCCTTCATAGCCCAGGCCGGTTAGAGCCATCGAACCGGTGATTAAGGTCTCGGTATATGTGATACCGGGGCATTTGGACCGAGTATTCAAGACCGGAAGAGGAAATCCGGATTGGCCCGAAGAATTGGAGCCCAATTGAGGTCCAAGGAATAGCCCAAGAGTGCCGCCCGACCATTAGAGGTCCCGCCCGAAGGCGCGCCCGGCCGGGAAGTAAAAAGACAGCCCGATCGGGCGGTGCCTCGCCCTATAGGGCGCGTGTCATTATTAGGAGGTTTAATCGTCATTTAAGTTTGTTTTATTTTAGGATTCTTGCTTGATATAAATACTTTTCCGTTAAGCGAGTTTAGGATCTTCTCTTTTACTCTTTCTTAATTCTTCTTTTAGATTTTCTCTCTCTACTTAGCTTTTAGATTAGTTTCTCTCTCTAATACTTTGTTCTTAACTCTACTCTTAATTCCAGATTACTTTGGTAACGATTTCTTCTACTTTAATCTCAGTTATTTATTTTAATTCTTTCATCATGTCTTATTTGATTGCTTTGATTAGTTTAGATTTAATTATGTGTGAGTAGTTTCTTTTCTAGGGTTTGTGGGGATCCATAAATAATATGAAGGGGTGATTTATTGTTGTTAATTATCAATGCTAGATTAATTTCCTATTGATTGATTTAATGCTCTGTGACTAGATTAGGCCTGATCTTTTATGCATGAGTTTGACAATATTGATTCAAGATTCGAGAGATGAGAATTGATGTTTAGGTCTAGTTTCAATAGGAAGGTTAATTTATAAATGGTTAAGTCGAGATTCGAGAGAGGAGATTTAATACCGGTAGATTAATTTTGTGACTGTAATACGTAGCGAAAGCCCTTTATGATCTGATTAATCGATGCATTGATGTTTGATTATTATGCAAACCCTGGAATGTTATTTATTGGTGAACCTATGCTCTAGGCCTTTTATTCATTGATTTCCTCTATTCTTATTCTTCCCTACTTTTACTCTTATAGCTTAGTTATCCTTTGACTATAATATATTGGTTACTTTATAATTTAGATTGCTTTAATTAATTAGGAATAGAAAGACCAGTTTCCTTGTGAATTCGACCCTACTTCCTATCTATTTTAGTTAGAGAATTTAGGAATTACTTTTGACTAGGTGATACGACTTTAGCCAGTCACGTTGTTAGTGTCATTTTAATTCTGTTGAGTTATCCTGTAACTATTGGTCCCGTTAATAAAATTAAAGAGTAACTTATGCATGATGCCGCAACAGATATTGTGCACCTGGTATCAATGCGACATAGCACGGACAACAAGTTAAGGATACATAAACCTAATCTTTATAATATGCAACAGAACAAAATTTAGTTATTTATCAAACACGACTTTGGAATGTACTCAAGTTCTTTGCTACATTACCACTAAAAAATGGCACCCAGCTCAAGAAGGGTATTGATGCTCCGAACTGTTGAGCCCACCATTCAGCACCTAATAAGCAGCAAAAGTTTAAAAAAAATTACTTACAGTGAAACATACATTTTCACATGCATGCATCAACAAAACCCTGTTGTAAACAATACAACCAATGCCACTATCTCAGACAATAAACACCTTACCACCCAGGTTCCAACAGTCCCATCAATAATACATAATACATCTATGCATGGATAACCAGTGGTTTTCCTCAGGGTTCAACATACTCGTAGAAAGTTACAAATGCAAAAACATAAAAAGATCAAAACTTAAGATTCTGCCAGCAGTATTCACCTTTAGCAACCCCAATATCAGAGAAATAAAATATAGAGATATGTTCTAAAGCTGAGCATTGTAATTGTCCAATGCAGCCAATTAGAGATATACATCACAAAGTGCCATAAATTAAATACACGAATACTCGGTAAGTTGGTTGAATCAGATTGTATCTAACTAATGACCAGTCAATCACAAAATAAAATTCCTAAACAGCCAGTGCCAACATAGGTTTCTTTTTTCAATAAAAGCACAAGAACATGAGGTGCCAATCAACTAAACACTACAGAGATATCTAATGCATGTGAATTGCATAAAAATGCAATGAGTGCTGCTGTAACTCTCAAGTTTTGCAGCGGCTTACCTACAAAAGTTGTGAAGAAGTGACACAAGTAGATCAGCATAAGACCTTCCGTCGGTCCATTGATTACAGGAAGTATTAGCGTATTGGTGAAGTAGCTGAGCATCACAACCAAAAAAAGAGGGGGCCAGTCAAGTTGCAAATCAGAAGGAAGAAAAAAGAAGAATTGAAGATTTAGCAAACAGAAAAATATAAATGTCATCAAGATGGGTTGAGGTCCAATACACAACAATACTCGTAAAAATTTACAAATATTGTAGAAATATTATTTCAAATAGTAAATGAAAGATATCAAATTCATTTTTCTATAATAAAATTTAATTTATTTGTCTACATAATTGCCAAAAATGGTGGTGCAGGTCATGGTGATGAATAATAATAAGGAAAATATAGGAACTCTTCAAAAGGTAGTAATGTAATTCTAACAAGGTAAAACACACTTTTCTTTTGGCTCACTTTTTTGGGTATTAGCTATAGTAATGTGATTGAGATATCAGCATAGAGCACTATCTGATGAGACTAAAGAAAGTGCACTATTACAAAACACACATAACTCTTTCAATGATTTGCCATTAACAAAATGAAAAAATTGCAACATGTACCTACATAGGCTATCAAGACTACACAACTAACTCAGTTGATTCGGGTAATAGAGTAGCAAATTTTAGACCACATACTGTTCCCATGTTGCACCATAAAATGGAATAGCTGCAATTACCCAAAACCAGAAAGTCGCTCTTCCGCACATAGCAGTACTCCCAAAAGCAAGAGCTTCAAACTGAGAGGAAAAATTTGGTTTAAGGCCATCTGTTTTAAGAATAAAACATTACTGAAAGGGAACACACTTACAGCACAAGCGAGAGCATCACATCCTGCAATGAAAAATAAACATGTCAAAGGTACATCACACAAGTTTTAAACATTTGTAACAAATGAGAGATAAACTGACAACAACAATAAAAGTAAGCCAAAGGGGAAGAAAAAAAAAAAGCTTAAAAACCTACCATGGTCAAAAAGCTCGCCCAACGAACTTGATGAATTGGTACGTCTTGCTTGCTTTCCGTCTACAGCATCAAAGGTCTAGAGTGTAATCGAAAAAGAGGAGAGAAAGTAAGAAATTTGATGCCAAGTGCAATAAACATCAAATAACGAGTGAATTTTGTGCGTATCTAAAAATAAAGCATCTAAATTTAGTACATTTACTATCATACTACTCCCTCCATCCCTTATTTGTTTTTCTAAACAGTGCTACTACACATAGGAAAAGTTTATGCTGACAAGCAAAAATCCTAAGTTTGTGCATTGGCTTATACATAAGAGTTGTGAAAATCACCAAATAAAAATAATTGTAGCTGATTAGAAGTTAAAATCATAGATGTGATAACACAATGTGTGCCAACAAGCATCACTATGCTCTATTTGATGTTAGACTAAAGTACTAAACAGTACTGTATGAAAGGGCATTGGGTTTTAGGGTTGAAGGAACAAAAATTAGGGTTTTGATTTTTCAGATTGGGGGAATAAAGATAGAAGAGAGAGCACCTGATAAAATCAACTTAACAAAACTGAAGTAACAAGATAACTGAATATTTTTTACTTAACAAACAGAAAAAGGTTATGATGTCACCCACAGGGAAAACTAACCTGGTACAAAAAGAGCAGTAATCCATGCATGAAATGAACCCATCTAGGTGGTGGTGAATCCAGACGAGGTGAGTATAGCTGAAAATGAAGACATTTTTGTGATTCATTAGCAAGCAACATAACAGATTCATAATCACTAAACAATTTCAACCATCTCTAAGAATAACATGAGCACTTCATACTACACCAATCATAATGTAACCAATTCTAGAGCAAAATATTTCATAAATGAGCTAAACTTGATACTATCACTTATTAGAGAAGTTTTCATGTTCTCACACTTTCATAACTAGCAAAGTCAATTGTAAAACTAATATGAGTAATCAGCCATTTAATCAGTCCACTAGTATGAAATAAACTTCAACTGTTTAAACTTAAAAATACTCTCAATCAAAATGCTACATAAATTACACACAAGGAAGAAAAATCTGACATAGGGCTACCAAACCATCAAGATTAAGACTGAACCAAAGAGAAATTTCATTCACTTACATATCCAAGTAATGCAGAAGTCATTAAGAACATGAATCCAGTAAGTGTTATCTGCACCAAAAATAGGTTGCCATTTACAAACCACAAACAATCAAGTTGATAAAGCAGAATTAGTAAGAAAGTGCAGAAAGATTAAGAGAATGAGAAATTAAAAAAGCAATTGAGTGATAATTACCATATTTGGGCTGAGAAGCATCCACATATGGAAAAGATGCACAAATAAAGGTAGACGATTAGTAAATAAGTATACAAGCTTATAAAAAAGAATTAGAATACTGTAGATTCAAGAAACCAACAAATGCACCTTAACTTATGCAAAACAAACATATGCTTGCGCTAAAAGTCTAAAACCAATGCCATATGAATTTTATACTTTTGAGATAACGATGAACTAAAGTTCAAGACACAAAGAAATGCAATATCAGATTTACCCACACTATTAAAGGTGGCTTCAACCAAATGAACCAATCAAAACAAGCATGTGCCTATTTCCTACCCACAGTACAGTTCATAACTTCCTGAATCCGGCAACGGCTCAATACATTCAATAAGCTAGTTCTAAAAAAAGGTGCAACTCCTTGAGATGGCTCCAAATGATACACGGTGATATTATAACTATAAGAGGGTGACAAAATTAGTAGTATATTTTCCTCCATTAATTGAGATTTTCCTAATTTCAATCACACTAATCACTATTAAGAAGCACAATTTATTTTCCTGTTTTGTATCAACATAGAAATCAATCTCAACTTTCAAATTAAATCAAGAAAATATCCAACTTCGAGGGCAAATCTACTCAACTATAGTATAATCGAAGCAAAAGAAACTAAAAAGGTAAAAATAAGGATGAGAGGATACTTACGGCATCCAAAGAGGGAAAATATGCACAAATCGAGTCCAGAATGGTTGTAAAATGTATTTGGCTGTGTATGAGTGATCCTCACCACTATATTTGTATCTATGTAGCGCAGCAATACCATGAGCCCCTATATACCCCATCTTCTCTCTTTCAAATTATTAGTACTTCCAAAAGTCCAGATAGTTCAATACAGCACAAGGCACAAGCAACCTACACAACACATCAAACCTACAAATCAGTGACCAGCTCTGCAAACCATCCGATTCACATAAAGGTAATGACAAGAGAGAGAACTTATTAAATATCAAATTGCCGGACAATTTAAGATATCGGATAAAACTGCCCCCTTAAACCTCTTTATACGGCACCCATTTTCTTTTTAAATTGTTTTGAGTAAAAAGACTCCATCCAAATACGCATAAATCAATCAATCTCTTTAAGTTTAGCTTTTAGTTTGTGTCAACTAAAGCTTAATTTTTTTTATGAAAATATATAAAGTTTATTTTCATTGATCCGCTGAGTAGTTGGAACAATGTAGTTAAGCTCAAGTTCGATGAAGTTCCCGATCAATGGTCACAACTCTCACTTAAAAACTTACTTTTCTAAATGCAAACATGAAGTACATGGTTTAGCACATGACATCAGGATATCATGGCAGAGGTATTGTACCAAACTACTATCAACAGAAATAATGCGATGTATAAAATGCCTTCCCTCTACCCGGCGAAGCTCCTAAATACCAATAAACTGAAATGATATAACTGCCATTTGCCAAGGTAAAGCATGATATGTAGGCATATTAACCTTAATATCTCCTAGCTACAAATTAAGTTCAAAAGTTCAACAATTATCAGAATTCAGATAAACAAGTCTCTTCTTATACTCAATTCGATCATCGATCAAACGAAACTACAGCACGGCTGTCTTAAGACTTAAGGTATAAAGATTGACACCTTAGCCAAAATTTCCATATTTTCTCAAAGTAACTTCATATAATATATACACAAATTCATAAATAAACCCAAAATTTCAACAAATTAACGACAATTTCACTAATTTGATGCCAAATAAAATCAAACTATAAATTCATCACAACACTAAGCATCAAATAAAATAAAAATTAGATTAAATTTCACAAATTCAAACTCAAATTAAACTCACTTTTCCACAAACAACAATAATTCGAAGAATACGAATAAAACTGTAACAAAACATTAACATAATGAGTTAAATTTTGCAATAAATTACCTTAAATTGGAGACTATAGTACGTTGAATGTAATCAATTAATGTGAAATGAGTGAAGAAGTTACTAGAAAATTAAGGAGTAAGATACGATCGATTGAAAACGAAGAGAGAAAATGATGAGTAAGCTAGAGAGAAGTTAAGTCACCGGAATTTATAAACCACGCCGTAAAATCCGCCGGAAACCACCGTTGGCGGTGGTAGTTTGAAGAGAGAGAGAGTGTGAGTGTTCGTTGTCTGGTCCGTGCATGCGCGTATTTGGGATATGACGACAGACTGAGGGAGACAAGGAGTGAATGTGTTTTTTTTTTGTTGTTTTTTTAGGGGTTTAGGGATTTGTTAAACATCGCCCACAAATTACTACATAAAGCCCACAAAATTCACTTGGTTTCCCAAAATTGCCCTTGACCTTAAAAAAAAAACACTCACACTCTCATCACTCACACTCTCATTGCTCATCTTCTTTCAACCTCTCTAAAAAAAAAAAATTCAAAATAACGGCAATGTCGAGGCGGCAAGGCAAGGAAGTGGCGGCGGCGGCGGAGGGAAGGATGTCCCAAGGTGGAAAGGTATATTTTGTTTAAAAAAAAAAAAAAAAAAAAAGGGGAAAACCGCCGTGAACGCGGTGGGGCGCCCTGGCTGGACGCCCAGCCGGCGGTGGTGGCGCCAGATGCAGACGCCGCCACCAGTTGGCTGGCGCCTGGGCTGGACGCCACCGCCACGGTTGTGGCGTTTAGTCTAAGCGCCGCAGCCGTAGCAGTGGCGTCCAGCCCAAACGCCAACCAACTGGTGGCGGCGTCTGCATCTGGCGCCACCACCGCCGGCTGGACGTCCAGCCAGGGCGCCCCCCCCATTTTTTTTTTATTTTTTTTTTAATTTTTTTAAAAAATTGTTTTTAAATTTTTTTTTTTTTTTTTTTTGTAATATAATTTTGAATTGTTTTTATATTTTGTTGTTTATTTTTATAAATTTTTTCAATTTCGTTGTATTTTTTCTACGTTTATATTTTGTTTACTATTATTTGTTTGTTTTTAGTGTATTTGATTTGCGATGATGATTATTTATCGTATAAATTTTTGTATGTTTATATATTTTAAAATTTTGTGTAGGGTCGTCATGGTGGGGGGAAGAATATAGAGCTTCTTAGTAGAAGTTATTCAGTGGAGAGGTCGGGGCATAGACATGTCAGATCCCGTGGTATTTCGGCCTCAGTTCGTAGAGAACGGATCCACCGTCGGGATGAGGATGACGATGACGATGATGATGCTGAGGAGGGTGACCAGGAGGAGGAGCAGGAGGAGGGCGCAGATGAGGATGAGGATGTGGACGATGGCAGTGGACCGTATGATGATTACGATCCATTCAGTCAGAGGGTTGATGACATGTACGAGACGCATATGGTGGAGGTGCGTAAGGGTAGGGGTGGTAGGTTTGTTAGTAGATCTGGCACATCATCTGCGTCCACTGTCTCTGGGGCAAGCAGGAAACGGTCGAGGGCGGGTAATGATTCTTGGGTTGTTAGGAGTGAGGTGCCCGGTGGGCCTGTTGACGGGAGTGTGATTCCTAGCTTTCTAGGACACATAGCTGCCCGTATTTGGGAGGACCAGGAGAGGCCTTCAGTTACGGGGTTGTTGAAATGTCATACCCGGGAAAAGACTTGTAGTTTTTTGCGTACATGGGCTGAGGCCTGGCCGGCGGAGAGCGAGATGTTCGAGCGACTGGAGGGCACTGGGGTGAAGCACGTTCCTGCCACCATGCACGATAAGATTGACAGTACGCTGATCACGGCTTTCATTGAGCGATGGCAGCCGGATACAAACTCTTTTCACCTTCCGTTCGGTGAGATGACGATCATGTTACATGACGTCGAGGCCATTCTGGGGATTCGTGTTGAGGGTAAACGACTTTGTGCTGTGGCTGATGCGGATCAGGCAGATTCGCTGGCGGAGTTGTTGGCGGTGGACAGGGTTGCACTGTACACCGAGGCGCTAGGTGTTTGGGAACACGGAGGTGTGAAGATCGCATCCGTGTTGCAGCGGTGTTTGTACCCGAGTGCACGTAGGACGCCCGACGCACAGCTGAGTGCTTATGTTTTTCTACTCCTCGGATGTACCTTGTTTCCGGATAAGAGCGGCGGAAACAAGCTCAGGCCACGCGACATCGTAGAGGCGTGTGACCCCGACAGTGTAGGCCAGTTTTCCTGGGGATCGGCTACGTTGGCGTATTTGTATCGCCAACTAGGATTTGCGAGTCGGGCTGACGCGGCAGGTATCACTGGGTGTCTGACTCTATTGCAGACTTGGATATACGAGTATTTTCCTGCATTGCGACCACATCGTGACCCAGTTCCTATTGATGAGGGGATGCCGCGTGCTTGTGCGTGGAGTCCCCGCTCGGAGAAGAAGTCCGTTGACCGCCTCCGATCGATACGGTTATTGCTGGACAGGCTGTCCCCCTTAGAGGTAACGTTTATTTATAGAGTCTACATTTTATTATTTGCACATATTATATTCATGTTATTATATTTTATATGTTGTAATTGTACAGGTGAACTGGATGCCTTTCGGCCCGAACCCTAGTGTTAGGGTACCCAGGACCCTGTACACGGGACTCATTCAGTATCGTGACATCGTCGAAGCGTACATGCCCCAGCGTTGTCTTCGCCAACTTGGATTTGTCCAAGTTGTCCCTCCTCCCCCGGCGTGCCCGATGAAGGCGGTCCGACCTGCATCGTCGAGGGAGTACGTCGTGGAATGGCCGGATATCATGACCGGGACGTGGGACCAGTTTCCGATGGTGGCTCGATTATGGACAGCGGAGTTGCAGCGGCCGCCCTCTGGGGTTACTCCCATGTGTGACCATTACTACATGGAATGGTTCAACCGGTATTCGCACCCGAGGTTGATCGCTGATCTCGACCACAGCGATGATGATTATGTGCCACCGCCTACTGCCACGGAAGCGGTATGTCTTTTATTATATTTATCGTTGTCTTTTAATTAAGTTTTATTTGTTGTTATTGTATTTCATCTTCTGTTTTTTGTTGTATGCAGTGGATGGGAAAGATAATGCAAGACGTTCAGAAACTCTCTCTTGAGAAGGACAGCATGAGTGCAACAGGGAGAGCTGTTGTTGATAGTCTGGAACAGACCCTTGCGCAGTGGGAGTCGTCGTCGAGGAGGGATTACTGATGGTTATTGTATTTTATTTATAGAGCATTATGTTGGACATTATGTTGTAAAATTGTAACATTTTAGATTGTTCTTTTAGCTTCCAACTTAAACATATTATCAGTGTTGTTTTTAAATTTTGATATAACCGTTCGTGGATCCGCGCAACTTACCCATGCAACATATAGAATGTAGTAAGCAATACAATATAAAATATTAATGTTCTCATTAAAAGAGCAACGTACAAATAAGATTACAAATAAAGAATGTAAACAAGAAAAACTAAAATGCAGCTAGGGTGTTCCATTCGTGGATCCGGTCATTATATAGCGCATCCCAACCCTCTACGCTCGCTGTGCGAATGTTGTACCACCGAGGTATAATCGGTGGCACCGGAAAATCGGTTGACATGTCTAGTCGGATGAAATGTCTGTATGACGACCCAAGAAACGCAATAGCTAGCTCTCTGACCGGTGTGGTGACAGTCTCACGCGACCGCCAAGGGAGAACCGTGGTACAAGGATAATAAGCTTGACTATGCACTCCCAGGCCGAAATGCATGACTGCGCATTTGTAAATGTTTGCAACGGCAAACAGATCTAGGGGCGCGTCAAAATAATGATTTTCGCCGCAAGGTCCACCTCCCCACCGGATACGTCGGAGAGCGCCATCCAAGTCATCCTGGTACACATGACGATAAACATTTCGGTTAGAGGCAATTTCGCTGTACATCAACTCACGCACCAAACCGTAGTTGTCTTCGCCCATTTGAAAAACATCAGTGTGTACTCGTTGAAAAACATGTGTTCCTGGAACCGTACACTCTAACAACCTCCACTCAACAACAGTTCCAGGATTTGATTCCTTGAGAGCTTGCATGTACTTAGGCAACTGTTCATATGAACCCTCCCAACCCCCATAAATGAGTTTTATTGCCTTTTGTTTCGCTAGCCATGCTCTCTTGTAGGTTATTTGGAATCCATCAAATTTCTCTTTCACAAGTTGCACCATTGTCTTGATTTTCAATGAAGGATCAACGCGAATGACATCTAGAAGAGCATTGCAAACGAACTCGGAAGTCAGTAGCTTATGATCTCCCGAGTCGATGTCACCAACACAGTTACTTGCATGAGGGCCGTTGTACCTCACAATTTTAAACGTAGAGAGTGTTGGATCTTTCACTCCTCTAAGCCTCCACGAACAACTACATTGTTCTTTCCTCTTGCACTCAACAACATATTTCTCTGGCTCTGCCTCCACAACTCGAATTGTTTGATTTCTAGCTACGGAGTAAGATTTCACAGCATCTTTCAGTTGTTGCAATGAGTCAAACTGCTGACCAACCTCAAATTCTCCCCCATTGTTATATGTCTCATTTCCTAACCAAGACATCCATGAGTTATTCAAACGAGGATCAACTTGTGCCACTTCATTGAAGTCTGAAGTGGGGGCGCTTCCTTTAATTGCCTTATCACGAGCTTCAATTACCTCTTCATCATCATCTTCATCAGTGTCATTCATCTCTGCATCGCCAAATACATCAACATTGTTTGGGTCAAGAGAATCAAGAATGCCTTGTGGTTGTGTGCTTGTCGAGGTTCCAACATTAGGCGATGAGGCCGGAGACCTAAACTGTGAGAGATGGTCATTGACATAATGTGGATCAACAAGCATTCTTGTGAATGACCCTATGCCCACACTTTGAACACCAGTGGAAAACGGTTGATCCACACTACCAAAAAAATCCATCCCCGGAAAGGAACCAGTGTTAGTTTGCACAACTGGCTCCTTTGGAACTTGTTCAATGAACAATTGCATTGCAACAGAAGAACTCTGAGTCACAGCAATCCACATAGCTCTAACAGCGTTGTCGTCATTTAACGGAATTGCAACATATGCCCCAGCCATAGGATAACGCATAACCACCTTCAACTCCACACCTCTAGGATCAACACTCAATTCTTCATATAGCTTGTTCAGAACTTGTGAATATGTCATCGCAGAATGTACAAACACAAATTTTTGATTCCCACCCCTATACGTTATATCGCTATCTTTGTGGACAATTTCTCCACCCCAATAGCAATATAGAGGGTAGTTCGGAACCTCCATGTTTCATTCTAGAAAAGACCATTATTAATCAAAGATATTAGATTGCAAAAATTCATTAACAGTGTGGCAATGTCCTAACATCAAGCAAGCAAACTACACAATTATAGCAACCTAAACTGAGCTATGAAGGTCTTAATACCTCTTGAAGCTCAACATGGGCATAAGTCATGACTACATGTACTTTGAGCTCATGTACTTTGTGTATAGAAGCTCTATTTTCACTTTCAAAATCAGCAATTATAGCAACCTAAACTGAGTAATGTGATCGAAACCATTAATAATTCTACAAGGGTTATATGTAAGGTAAGTAAATCAACAACAACAACCAAAACCAACCACAAACATACATACAATTCTGAAACTCAATAACAACAACAATAAACAAGAACACTAACAACAACAACACAACCAAAACCGAAACTCAATAACAACAACAATAAACAAGAACACTAACAACAACAACACAACCAAAACCAACAACAACAACACATACATACAATTCTGAAACTCAATAACAACAACAAACTCAATAACAACAACAAACCCAATAACTGAATACAAAAAATAATTAGGGCACTTACCACAAACAAGAAGATCAGCACGTTTCTTCTGAAATTAGCGAAGCCCACCACTAAAGTCGAACCCTCGGCGTCAACAGCGGCGGCCTTCGTTGCTGAGGAATGCTCCGGCGGCGTCGGTGGATTCCTTGGCTGCGCCGGCTTCCGTTGAAGGAGGTGTGATTTTGGTGGAAGACGTGGATGGGATTTTGGTGAGAAGACGAAAATGAAAGAGGAAAGTGAAATCGGGAAATTATACCTGCTAGAAAACCGCTACTTGAAGTAGCGGTTTATTAAACAAAAACCGCTACTTGAAGTAGCGGTTTATTAAAAAGAAACCGCTACCTGAAGTAGCGGTTTATTAGTAAAAACCGCTACTTCAGGTAGCGGTTTTGCTGTAGACCGGATTTAAAATTTCTTCCCCCTGAACCGGTGACGTGGACGGTAGAATGGGAATTCTTAAAACTTTGGCTGCAATTTGGGAATTGCGGTTCTTCTTGACTTTAATTTGGGAAAGAGCTCGACAAATTATTAAAGTGTTATTAACTTATCATGACCATATAACAATCACTCGTACATGCATTATATTCGAGGATGGTTATAACTTTTACACTCCAATACAATCTTCCCATGATTCTTGAATACAAAAAATATACAAATGCAATCAAACAATTGACTCTTATTTAGAAGGGAAAAAAACACATAATTGACTCATTGTTACTTAGTCATCATAGTATTCACATAATTTTTGTCAAAACAATTTAGTCCTTTTTAGTGTAATAATATGAAATGTTATTATAATACGAAGTACAAATTATCATGAAATCGTAACATTTTACTTGTTTATTTGGGGGCAAATCGTAAATCATAAAATTGTAAAATTTAACTTATTTATTTGGGGGCAAATTTGTACTTTCTCCACTTTCTTCCTCCTCCATCGTAGCAACGTCATCACCACCTAAGGTAGTTAAAATTGTTTCCACGAAGAAGATGTTATTCCTAAGGGATTGATATGACCCTAATTTACACTCTTTTGCTACTAGAGTATCTCTTTATTACTGCCACGAAACGACGGTGGAGTGGTTGTTAAGAAAGGAGAAAGAATGGAAGAAGGAGGAGGATGCGAAGAGGATGATTGTGGTGGTTCGTGGTTGATCAACAAGATGACAAAGGGTAGATGGAGATGGTGGTGGTTCAACATTCCTAAATCCAGATGCTAGCTTTAATAGTAAAAAAAATTGTACTATATTGCAAAGCTAATCCACAAAAGGATATGATTACAATGATTCATCAATCAGCCTGATTGATTGGGTTGACCTCTCTATATATATATATATAAGCTTTCACCATCTAATTATTTTTTAAAGAATTTCACCATTCAATCATTGAACAATGTTAAAATCACTTTACTCAATTTGAAATTTTACTCCGTAGTTAGAACTCGAAATTCAACATTTTCCAATTTTAGGGTTTATAGAAAAGTTAAAGTTAAATCACTCTTTCTTCCACTTCTTCAAAAACCGCCCTCCTGCAAATGGACGAACCCCAAACCTCCACTACTTAAACCACCAACTCACCACCTTCACCATGGAACTCGAACCCGAATCCAAGCCCGAATCCGAATCCGAACCCCAAAACCCACCTCAATCTCTCTCCTCTCCACTCCCTCCACCGCCAGACCTCCCGGAAAATCAACAACCACCCTTCAAAAAACCCAAAATGTCCTCCACCACCGCAACCTCCGACGAAGAAACAACCGCCGGCAACAGACCCCTCCGACTAAAGCGCCGGAAAGTCGCCATCTTCTTCGCTTATTGTGGGGTAGGATACCAAGGTATGCAGAAAAACCCAGGTGCAAAAACCATTGAAGGTGACCTTGAAGAAGCCCTGTTCTTCGCCGGCGCAATTCCCGAAGCTGACCGCGGGTGTCCCAAACGGTTTGATTGGGCTCGTTCTGCGAGGACTGATAAAGGGGTTAGTGCCGTCGGTCAGGTTGTTTCGGGCAGATTCTATGTTGACCCACCTGGGTTTGTTGAACGATTGAGCTCTCATCTTCCTCCTCAGTTTAAGATTTTTGGGTATAAGAGGGTAACGCCTTCGTTTAATGCTAAGAAGTTTTGTGATAGGAGGAGGTATGTGTATTTGTTGCCGGTTTTCGCGCTTGATCCTAGCTGCCACCGTGATAGGGAGAGTGTTTTGGCTAGTTTAGGGTCTGAGAATGAGCTTGCTAAGTGTTCTGGGTGTTCTGAGAGGGGTAGGAAGGTTATTGGGTTGATGGGTAATAAGAGAGATTGGGAGAATGGTGGGTTTGTTCAGTCAGGCATTTCGTCGAATAGTTGTGATGCATTGTTGTTTGCTGGTGAGAATGAGGGGACTGATGCTGGTGCTGGTATTTCGTCGAATTGTAATGAGAATGAGAATGTAGAGTGTAAGGATGGTTCTGAAGTTACGAAATCGGAGTCTTTGGTTGTGGAAGAGGAGGTGAGGGAGGAAAAGAAGAGTGAATTTAAGTATGGGGAAGAGGAGAGAAAGAGGTTTAATAGAATACTTGAGTATTATGAAGGAACCCATAATTTTCACAATTTTACCACCAGAATTAAGCCTGAGGATCCATCAGCTAAACGATACATCGTGTCGTTTGAAGCAAACACAACTGTTACGATAGATGGGATCGAGTTTGTGAAGTGTGAAGTTATTGGGCAGAGCTTCATGCTTCACCAGATACGGAAGTTGATTGGGATGGCTGTGTCTGTAATGAGGGGTTTCGTTCCTGAATCGATTTTTGATAGAGCATTTGACCAGTAAGAATCCAAGATTGGTGAATTTGTTGGCTATGTGTTTTACTTTAGATTGAGGAATGTTATGTTCTTTGTGTAATGTGTTTGTGTACTGAATTTTCAGGGATTTTCGCATTAATGTGCCTACTGCCCCAGAGGTTGGGTTATACTTGGATGAATGTTTCTTCACCTCATATAACAATAAGTGGAATAACACACACGAGGAGGTGTCGATGAAAGAATATGCTGAAGAAGCCGAAGAATTCAAAATGAAGTACATTTATTCCCATGTAGCCCAAACTGAACTTAGGGAAGGATCTGTTGCTGTTTGGCTACATTCCCTAAATCATCGTAACTACCCTGATTTCCGCCCTTTTAGTGATGAAGTGGAGAGAGCAGCTGACGATGAAGTGGGGAGGTCAGCTGATGATCAAGTGAAGGGAGATGCTAATGACAAAGTGGAGAAAGCGGTCAATGATGAAGTGGAGGAGAGAGCAGCTGACGATGAAGTGGGGAGGTCAGCTGATGACCAAGTGAAGGGAGCAGCTGATGATCAAGTGAGGGGAGATGCTAATGACAAAGTGGAGAAAGCGGTTAATGATGAAGTGGAGATGGCGACTAATAATGATGAGGTGAAGAGAACGGCTGAGGGAGAGACCGTAAATGTTCTTTCCTCTTAAACAGATATATTGCTATACTTTCTGATGGGGTAAATGAATAACATTTCTGGTTTCCTGTATTGGTTTCATATTCTTATAGAGCAAGGCTTTGTAGGCCTACTAGATTATGTGTTACGATGGTAGGCTAGCAGCATAGTAGGAAGAGTTGAAATAGGGGGAGTGTTTTGATCCCCCTGATCCCCTCTATTGATCAACCACACAGATGGAATTGTACTTTGCGACGAATTCTGATACTTATGTGTTTTATGTTCTGTTCCTGCAAATGAAATGTAGTAGGATCATTTTCAAGAGGCTCTTTATCACTATCTTTAGTTTGTTTTTTTTTTTATAAAAAACTTATCACTGATTTAATGCTGTTATTTGTTGAAGGGTTCACCACATGTATCCAGAAATCATCCTGAGATATATACTGGCTGAATTGGTGTCATTTTGGTATCTAGTAGGCCCTCTCTCCGGAGTAATAATAATTGTCATGTGAGTGGAATTGGAAGTGTTAATGATACAGATGTATTAGTACCAATTTCTGTCATACACTGATACACATGTATGGTAATCTTATATATATTCTGAATCTGTAGCTAAGTTATTTAACTGGAAACTTGAGAAGACAGTAGATACTTGGTGCCGTAGTATAAAGGTCAGACACAATAACCATTTTCATGAGAATTTTGTCATGCTTAGTCTAGTGCTTCAGAAAATGAAGTTGCAGTTGTAACTTGCGAAAACAAGGCTAATGCAGGCATTTCACAGCAAAAAAGGAATTTGCAGAATCACTCATGAGGTGAACCCTGCAGGCTGCAGCCAATGAGAGTAATAATGTATCAGATAACTCTGAGGAGGTGAGTTATGAGGAAGTTCCTAATTGTCAATCCTCAGAGCCTTTGAAAGATTGTGGGCAGAAGGATATGGTACTAAAGAAAGAAAAACTCGTCTTTACCTGTCTTTGGAATAGATAGTGGGCAGGTAGTTGCGACTCTGTTGTATACTCATCTGTTTCAGACTTTCAGTTGATTTCCAAGTTCTTACTTGTTTGTTTCATATGATCACTTGGTTTACTCCAAAGAGTTATATGGATGCCCGGTAGTCTTTAATCACGCCCTACATTTCTCTGGTGATAATTTAGAGGAAGGCACTGCAGGCTCTGCAATTGAACTTCAATTTAATTCTGTGAGTTGTGAAGAATTTGAATGGGAAAAAACTGATCAACTAAGCTAAGTTCAGAAGCTGAATTTTCTAAACCTGTTAGTAGATACTTCTTTGGTTTCTTAAAAGCATCAAGTTATTGGTACTTTGGAGATGCAAAATTTGCTGTTGAATTCTGTGTCTGTACTGCTATGCTATTTTCACTACTACATATTATTTTTACTTTCCCTTCTGGCTGTAGATTAAAGCGGTGCACTGGTCTTGCTGTCTGCTTCAATACACTACAGAAGATATATTCTTCTGCGATATTGTTGCTCCAGTTTTCTTCAATTTAACAAAATAAGGCGAATGATGTTACCACCAGAAATGAGATACTGTTTCCAAAGGGAAGTGCAGTTGCTGAGGACAGAACTAGGACCATCTCCTCGTAAAATAGACGTATGTCTCAAGAGACTGCTGAAACTGCTTAGTAAACCCGGAGGGAGTAAATCACCATCCATTGAAGATCAGGTCAGTATTTTGGCAGGTATCTTATCCAAAGTTTCAGGTAAGAAGCATCCTAGAAGAGGACCACTGATTCCATTAGCTCAACCTCGACACCAGTTGCCTCTGCTTAAGTCATTCTCCTTCAAATGTATAGTTACGCGATTCATTTACCTTCCATGTTTTAAACTGGTACATTATCACTTAATTTGCGATCATTGAAATCTTTATACTGGTGACCAACACAGGGTTAAAGCTATCTTGAGTTTACACCTCATAATTTGAGCATGCTCATCTTTATCAATGACCCATTTGCTACAATGATCACTTGTATATATACCACATCATTTGTGATCTTGCTGATTAGATAGGATGGGATATACATCGTACTAAATTTCTTTTTCGGTTTTTCTGTATAGATGGAGTCTAGCCTTAAAATCATATACTTGGGCTAGGCAATGTCCTCTAAACCAAATCGGCCAAAGTTTGTCCAAGATCAAATTAGCTCAACCCGAGAACGGATTTACTCAACAAATTTTCTTTCTTGTTTGACCTGTCCAACCCGGTCTAACTTGTAGTCAAGACAATCCATTCAACCTCGATACCTAAATCCGCCCTAACCCGAGCACGACCATTGACGACCACCACCACCACTAAAACAAAAACCTTATCATCACAATTAACAAAAGGATATGATCAAATGTGCACATGATGATCCATAATTAGCATAATAAGTAGGTCCCAAAATTGATGATACATTTAACCAATCACCACTATAAAATATATCAAACGGTCCAAAATTTCCCACATGAATAACCATAATAATAACTACTACAAAGACTACGTATTCATAAATAAATTAAATTAAACCTAACATTTCCGCAACATCACCATCTTTCCCTACCATTGTCGACGTGTACCCCTTTTTTTTTTAATAAATTAATTCTTTTTTTTTTTCTGCTTTGTTTTCAGTGTTTACTGCATTACTCACCTACAAAAAAAAATAAAAAAATAAAATAAAATCTATTTTTGGGGGTCACCTTCTTATTTTTGTTCTTCAATTTTTGTAATTTTGTTTTTGGATAATCCAATAATTCAATATATAATTATCTCAAAATTAAATTGGATTTTAATTTTGAATATTATTGGCAATTGGATTGAATGGCGGCGAACCCGAAGCCGTTACAATCGCGGCCATATGAAGGGGAGGTTCCCGTTGACGGAGAATATTCCGGCGAATCGGACGGTGATGATTCAATGGAAGACGACGGAGTTGATGAAGATCAGACGGTGAGGATTAGGAGAGAGAATGGAAGGATGGGTCCCAGTAGTGGTAGTAGTAGTAGCAGGACTAGTGAACTGACCTTGTCTTTTGAAGGAGAGGTCTTTGTTTTCCCTGCTATTTCCCCTGAAAAGGTACTTGCACTTCTGATATTCTATTTTGGTTTGGTTTAATCTTTATGAAATTTGTGTATAAATTATGTAAATTTTACAATTTGATTATCTCGAGGAATTTTATGTTAAGTATGAACATGTTACTATGTGAATTTGATAACGAGGTGGTACAAAAGACGGGTCGTAAATTTGTTTTGTTTTAATAGGTGGAGCCGTGGAGTAAGTGTGTTCGGGGTTATTTTGTTGGCAAATTGATTTTGATATCGAGGTTGTACAAAAGACGGGTTGTAAATTTGTTTTTGTTTTTAACATTTTGTAGTAAGTATGTTCAGAGCTATCTTTTGGTGTAGCTTTTGTTGGCAAATTGTGTTTTTGAGTAGTGTTTAGCAAAAGCTACCACGATTAGCGTTAGAATAATTTGGAGTCGTGGAGGTAAATATTTATCTAAATTTAAGGGTTTTAAGACTAGTGGTGTGGAAGGCTTACCTCAAACAAGTATTTCGACGATTTTTCCTCTAATAGCTAAGTGTGATACTCAACTAGTAGAAGAGTTCACAACTACTGCGGTTAATAATTTTGCCAAACATGGTCATAGTTGAACATTGTAAATTTTGTACGAGAAAGACAAAGGGTATATTATGTTTTGAGTGGGAGGCAAGGGAATAGTATTACAATACTCTTTCTCTCTTTCATACGGCTGAAAAATATTGAGAATGCATCTAAAAATTGCAAAGAAAAGGTTAAGACATTGATTATGCCAATATTCTTTGTGATCAATTTTAATTGGTTGATGTGATTTACTATTGTTTGTTGTGATTTAGAAGGTTTATTTAGCACTTCATGTGTACTTCTCTCACATAATTTAAAAAGGTATCAATACAAATTCCAATATTTGAAGAGCAAACATCTCTGTCTGTTTTCTTGTTCTAATGCATAGGATAGAAAACTTTACCCTAGAAAAATTCTAAGTGTGATTAAATATTGCTAGGAATTCCCAATTGTAAACTTCTATTTGTACTTTTATGGTACAGTGGTTTGGTTTGTTTTATTAATTTTGTTCATGTGTGATTTTTGCAACTTACTCCATTTACTATCCGAAGATGTCAAGTTATATACTTGCATTAGTTGTATCATTGTATGTAGTGTTATTTTTTTTAAAGGAAACGTGTTAGATTTCGAAACGTGTATAAATGTGATATGCAGAGCTGAGTAGTGTTCTTAGATTTCAATGTTCTGTTTGCTATTGATCTCATGTATCAACATTATTGTTTGTTATGCCAAGTGTTTTTGATTCCTAATTCTTACTGATGTTCCTTGTATATGGTATGCTGTTTATAAAATACTTTTGATAGTAAGCTTGTGTGATACAGAAGCATTTCTTATTGGAGTTTCAAACTACAGGTCCAAGCAGTGCTCTTGCTCCTTGGAGAACGTGAGACTCATGCTGGAGTCCCAACAACTGATGAGTCTGCTTTTGGACAAGAAAATAGGGTAATACTTTTCAAAAATCAAAAGAATTTTTTTCTATAGACAATAGGTGATGCTGGAGAAGCTTGTGACAAGGATATATAATAAACTATTTCCTATGTAGATGTTTTGAGCTGATTTTGTAATGAATTTGTAGGTCACTGGAAGTCCTGTGAGGAAATCCATTATTTCTCACCGGATAGCTTCCTTGGTTAGGTTTCGGGAGAAAAGAAAAGAGAGGTGTTTTGATAACAAAATCAGGTATACTATACGAAAGGAGGTTGCTCAAAGGTGAGATTTCTCTTTTTCTTTTTCCAGTTTCATATTTCTATCAGTCAGTTTACGAAATTTTTATGTCTATGTGCTGCTGAATTCACTGTTGGTCTGCTGGAAATGCTATTTTATCTATGCTAAGGAGGTCGTAGACATGATGTAGAACTTGTACTCATTAGTTGTCACACCAAATGTTCACACACTTACAAAGATTTATCTGCTTGTTCTGTTGGCTCTGTGCACCACGGATTTAAATTGCAGCAGATGTTTAGATACGTGTGCCTGAGTCCAACCCATGAGGTCTGTAGCTATCTTTACTCATATATAACACCACACTCCACAAAGTACATGCAAGCACACTCTTTACTTGAACCAACAAGGCAGACAGACTGTAAAAGCTTTGAGGTGATTACTTTTGTCAACTCAAGGGATTGCTTTTTGACACCAGTGGTGCTTTATTTCTCTTTTCTATTTCTAGGATGCATCGGAAGAATGGCCAATTTGCATCTTTGAGAGAAGGTTCAGCATCTTCCAATTTGGAAGCTAAGAAGAACTTGGTGGTTGGCAGAACCCTGGGACAAGATACTGTGTGAGTTCTTGTTAATTTAATCCCCCCTCTTCCCATATGCACACCGTGCTGAAGAATAACTAGCTTATCTCCAAATTTATGTATTTTCCCTTTCTAATTTTCTCCATAATTTTCAGTTCAAACAAGTGTCAGCATTGTGGTATTAGTGAAAATGATACACCAGCAATGCGACGCGGACCATCTGGTCCAAGAACCTTGTGCAATGCTTGCGGACTGATGTGGGCCAACAAGGTGTGAAATCATAATATTGTTTTTAAAATGTTATAGAGTTAAGATTCTCGAGAGAGATAAAATGTTATAAAATTTGCATATATGCATTAGGCTTTGACTGATTAAAAATAATGTGCTGTAGGATAGAGGAACCCATTTGTGTAGGATCCTGTCTGTGTAAAATGGTCTATGTGTGTACGTTTCTCATACCAAGCTTTTTTTATAGTCAAGTATAAACAAGTCTTAAATTTTGCTGAATGATATAAAATGTAAGTTCATAAGACAATGAAGGTTATGGAAGTTAGACAGGACGCCAGGACCACAGGATGCAGCTAGATACATAGATGAATATGGGGCAAAATTGCTGTAGTTTGCTAAAATCTGCTTCACCTATGCACTTGCGTTGAGGTTTTGAGCTATAGAGATTGACCTTGCAAGTTTACTGCACAACTTTTTCTCTACTAGGGTTATGATCTAGTTTTTGCTGTTCCTGGTCAGACGATCTGTATATTTGGTATGACATAATCTCTTCACGTTAAAGATTGACTGGTACATGAGACTTTATCTGAGAACTTCGATATATTAGCAAGTAGATGTCAAATGAGGACAGTTTCTCTAACACCCCCTTCATTGTTTTAGTTGTTTCACTATGCGGACCTTTCACAAAATAACTATCTTTTATTGATTCTTGTGAACAATAAGGGGGCACTCCTTAAAATATGATCATATAGAGGCTCTGCATGAACATTGTCTGGAGTTATGCTGTATAAATCTATGTTAACTTTTTCTCAGGACTCATGTCTTACCTGTGCTTTTGCTAAATACTGAAAGATGCACTTGTGATTTTACCGTAGTCTTGTACATTGTTATTGTAGTGTGGGTTCCTCGCTCATTTAGTTGCTAATATGTGTAGGGAACACTCAGAAATTTAAGTAAAGGAAGAAGAAGTTTCTTACTTGATCAGGCTGAACCTGTAAGTATCTTTAAGCTATTTTGCATTTCAAACTAACTAGTAGAAAGTTAGTAACTACTAACCACCCAGCACATGTTTTTTTTTTTCCTCGGGATAGCTGAGCTTGAGTGTTGTATGGGATATTTTTAAGCTCTTGCTTTGCTGGTACACTAAAGTTTTGATATTATACCAGAATAATTGTGGTGGACATAATTAGAGATCTCACTTTTATCTCTTAAAGTAGTAGTAACTCGTTGCTCAGTAGCCTTTATGAATTCAGCTAAACTCATGTGTAACTCATTAGAGCTGAAACTATTTTTATCAAGGTGAAAAGAACATGGTCTAAATTATTCCAATTTAATCGCAGGGAACCCCAGTTGATAGTAAACCTTCCATTGTTGAAGAAAATTCACTTGCCAACCCGTGTAAGCTTGTATGTTCTCCGTGTGTCACTTGTACAAGGTTGGTAGTGGTTCTGTTCCTTATGTCACTGATTTTTACATGCAGAGAACCCCAAAGGGTAATTCCAGTGCTGTAACTATAGCCTATGTCAATTCGTTTGCCAAACCCCATAAGGAGGTAATTGATATTTGTGCATGCTTACTGCTTTTGTATCTGTCCAATTTGCCTCAATTGGCTCAATACTTTTACATACAGTATTATTGCTTGGTTGCTTGAATTCCCTCAACTTGGATGCGATAAATTACTTTTGGACATTACATTGATTTATAACTTGGCATCATCCAGAATTCTCATAGGATAGCAGATGCAACTAGCATGCTAACAGAGATAGCCGCAGATTCATCTGGCAACTTTGACAAAGAAGTATAGTATCATTTAATATCCTTCTAGTTCAAGTGGTTGTGGATTTAACTTGGCTTACTTGACTAGTTTTCACTTAGTGATTATTGCTCAATTTCAAAGTGAACGTTTGCAGGATACTATGGCTGAGCTTGATGATAGTTCTGAGACAGACGTGGATATTCCTACCAACAGTGATTAGTAGGTATTCATCAAGTACCTGTATTACAGTTGGTTGTCGTAACTGATGCTGATAATTGATCATAATTATCTTGTCTTTTTTAAAATAGCTGATTTGTGAATTTTGATTGTAATATGTCCTTGACAGATACAGAGTGTAATTGCCTCACAAAAGAGACTGAACTTGAAGTGAAATCTCAAGAACATGCACTGATGCTGATTACAGTGTCAATCGATAAGACTTGACGTTAATGCTGGTTAGCATCAGATTATTGGAGTGATTGCTGCTATTCATTTAGACTTATGTCCTCACGAGCGAGGAGTCACTTGTCTTGATATGGCTCAAGATGTTGCTTGTGTGTGATGTACTGAGTCTCAACAGATGGGAATTCACCATGAGGTGAATGTAATCTTGTAATGTTGAAGACAATGTTTGTGTGATGATAAAATCAGTCACCGAGGTTATATTGTTCTCGTGATTGTGGCAATACTGATCTTTGATGATTCACGGTTAAATTTCTGTGTGTGTGCAAGAGAGAGCATGAAAAGTTTCATCGTCATTTCTCCACATTCTCGCAAAACCAACAAAATAAAGCATAATTATTTTTAGGTCTTTGTTGAGCCTCTAAGAACACGGTGTAAAGAGTCTAGACCTTTTGTTTATTCAATGCAAGTCTTGAATATTTTTTCGTAAAATTTTACCAACAAAACTAGTTGACAATCATTAAAAATAAAAAAATACTCCCTTTGCTTCTAAATAAGTGCATCACTAAATTTTGACCTTTTTTCTTCAAACAAATATTGACGTATTTACCTACTGATATAAAAACCAAAATTTTTTGAATTTGTTACCATATACATTTTCATAATATCAATTTTTTATAAGTTAAACTTATACAAAGTACACAAAATTAAAATATTAAAGGTTAAATATCGTCCTTTATTATGTGCTCAGGAGTAAGAAGTAAGTTTAGCATCCCAACGTAATATTCAAAAACAATATGGTATTACTCCGGACTACTAATTGACACAGGGTTTTTGAATTTGAATTTCTACTAGAATCTATGTAGTCTTGAAAACCAACCAAAACTAAATGCCTCAACCACTCTATTCAAAGGGGAAGAAGGATGAAGCCAACATTGATCTCGCCGAGAAATGAATATGTTTTTTTTGAAGAATGTTAGTTCTTCTGTTCTTCATGACAATGAACAATCTCAATAAGTCATCTGAAACTAAATGCCACAGGCAAATCACAAGGGAAGAGGGGTTTCACTTTTAACATTGTACTCATTGAGAACTAAATCATATTCCCTTTAATGATTCACTTTACATAGCACTATAGCAGTAATTCCAGTAAAATTAACTGGAGATACCAAGTATAAATCTAAGGAAAAGGTGGAGCAAAATTTTGTTTCTATACAATCTCATCTCTCTTTTCCTCAATTTGACGAGTATTTAGTCTTTTTTGTAAAATTTACAGGAGAACGGGTGACTTCAAAAATGTACCTACAAAATCACAGTGTCATTCATGGCTTGGAAGCTGCTGAACCCAGAGTGTTGAACAGCATATTTAAGTGCTCTGTGAGACACTCTCAGTGTAGGGAGAGAAAGTTTCAAGTTACTCCAGATATGTGTCTCGAGCTGGCATTCTGGCAATGAATTCATCTAAATCGTATATTAGACCCAGCTACATGTGTTAATCTGAATGCACTGAAGTTTTTCCACATAATCAATAGTGGCATCAGAAGAAGCTGTTCAATCAGGCTCTCAAAGAATTTCACTCTCATAAAAGTATCTTCAATCTGACTCTTTTAACAGGTTTCTGTCTAACCTTAATGTGGTTGTTTTTCGTAGTCACGAAAATCTTCATAAGGCGAGGATTCACTTGAAGAATCACTTTCATATATTGTGGTTTCCTTTGGAGATGAAGGAAGTGAATCTTTTTGTTGAATAGGACCTGGTAGAAAACAGTTATCAGTACAACAATATATATACAGCAAAATGATATTCCTCAGTTAATTTCAGAAAGACCATGAACATGGTCTAAAGGCCTAATAGGGTAATACTATCGTTATCATATCTGTAAGTTCTCACTTAAGTTAAAGTCACTGTCAGTCCGTCACTATTGTAACAGTGATAGGAAGAAGACTAGAATGTCCTAAAAAGCTGCTTTTTGCATTGTTACAGCCAACCTCTCGATATAGTACTCTTGATTCTACTTCCATTCATCAAAGCTCGATAATTTTGACTATGTATAAAATTAGAATTTAAATACACATTTGTTGAATTTATACTACAAATCAAAGAGATACTTTCCAAAAAAAAAAAAAAAAACTTTTAAGTTTTAGTGATACACAGAAAAAATCTCAAATGCTCAAAATCAAGTAGACTATTAGTTTGAAATAAGCCTCAAGCATATTAGTATAACAATTGTTCCCTCTGTATTTAAATATATGAAACGTTTTCCGGCCGTGTTTAAATAAATGAAACGTTACAACTTTTCTCTATTTTTTAATAATATTTTACCAACTAATGGTCCCCACAAAACCACTAACCTCTCTTCTCTCTCCTCAAACTAACACCCCGCTACATATTTTAATAAATTCAACCACCTTACACTCTGTGAAAGTCAAAAATGTTTTATTTATTTAAACACGGAGGGAGTATTCAAGTATGAGGGTGCACAGGCTATTAGAGAGATTAGGAGTGGACCAACCTTTTCTAGAGCGGAATTTCTTAGTATGTCGCCTAATCAGCTTCTTAGCTTTTGTTATTGTTAGTTGCCTTGCAAAAGGTGAGAACTCCACATCACTTTCACTCCATTCCCCATTATATTCATTATCTGCATCACCCCTCATGGTGCGTAGCACAAACTTTTTGGCTTTCCGACGCTGAGTATTAAATAGGCCCTTTATAGAAGTAACAAAACCATCACCTGCTCCATCTACAGGAAGCTTAGGAAAGGCCACTGGGAACTGCTCAGATTTACCAGCCTGACCACCATCACTGTCACTGAGGTTAAGATCATCAGGGATGCCAGGTCCTGTAATCTCCCTGTGGCTTTGTGCTTTGTCTTTGAACTTTTTTCCCTGCAAATTGAAAATGGATAATAATTAACTGTGCCTAAGACAAATTCCAATTATTTACGGTCAGTAGGTCAAACATTTAAAAAAAAATCACCTAAAACATATTTCCTCTGTTTAGCAATAGTTTTCACCATTTTGACTTTCACATTTGCCAACACAACTTTGACCATAAATATTTTAGCTGTCGATTAGCGAGCATTTTTTTTTATATAAAGTTGGTGAAAATATATACTTCGCATTTAAATATACATTTAGATCAATCCATTAACTTTTTAAATTATAATATATTTTTTTATAGGTTAGTAAAAAGACAGGGTCAAAGTTAAACAATTTAATGGTGAACGAAGGTAGTATTCAAGGGCTGCTCAAGTAGAAAGATTGGGTTGTGCATTTAAGCCCACTAAACATAGAGTAGGCAAAGATTAGTTTCAGATTCATCCACATCAATCACATCAGGACCCTTATGATTAAGGGTAAAACTTTTAGAGTCCAGTATAATTACGAAGAGAATAATAAATAAGACGTGGAGAATAACAAAGCGAATTTATAAGAACCAAGAAATGGACAACAGGTATATAGATATAATGTTACCTGCATTCCAGTCACTGACTTCAAAACTCCCCAAATTATATGTTTCTTTACTCTTGAAAAGAGTCTCCTCCAAGTTCCGGTAAATTCAACACGGTGAAATTGGTCCATGAGTAATCTCAAATCACTCACAGCAAATCTTGATCCCTCATAAGTGACCAGTAGCTCGACCTACAAATTTAAAATTATGATGCGTCATTTTTCAGGAGATGCATACATTCTTTAAGAAGTATCACAATCAAACAAAACTTACTGACCTGACTTATCTTGATATTGTGAAATTCCATCATTTTTCGAGGCCTTGATCTTTTATCATCATTAGACTTCCCTACCTTCTTTTCTTCATGAGATGCACGACCCAATTTGATCTGTTTGGGGTCTTTTGCTTTACCTTTAGAAGAGTCATCTTGTTGTTCGCTTGATGGCAGAGGCCCACTTTTGGAGTTAGATGTGCTTGAAGAATGAAGTTGTAATACAAGTTCATCAGCAATTGATTCTGCAATATTTTCTTCCCATGTTTTGTCAAATGAAGATGTTCTCCGCAGCTCTGACGCTGTACCAGTATTTGATTTGTTGTGTTTTGATGCCTGTTGAAAAACCCAAGATATCTTTGATTAACTTGTCATATGTTAAAATACTTGTGAATTTTTTACAAAATTAACTTCACAAATGCCAGAAAATTAAAAAAATAATAAATTTTTTTTATTTTTTTAAAAAAAAACTCTTCATGGGCAGTGGGCATCAGAACCCAATAACTAGAGCTCACCAGGGAGGTGTCAGTATGAGTGCTTCCAGATGTTGAGGGCACTCCAGAGGCACTTGTCCTAGAGGAACCTTCAGAGTCCTTAGATCCAGAACCTTCCTGTGGGAAAGAACCCTTTTTCACTCGTTTTAAACCAGCAGTAGTTGAAACCTTCCAAACCTCCTGCATGGCAAAATATGACAAGTCACAATCAGAACAATCTCAACAATATCCTGATAACGTGATGATTTAAATCCTTATCCTCCTGTTTGCACAGAGTGACACTGACACCAATTCTAGTCTTATACAATTTTTTTTTTGGGTCAGGTGTTTGGCAGGGGATGTTTAGGTCTTCATTAGCATTGGAGCATTGATGTTTATAGGAGTAAAGGACCACAAGAGTTGTAGACTAACCTGCCGCCTCTGAGAATCTTGCTCTTCTTCAGGAAAAAGATACTCCCACATCATTCTGTACATTGTCTCTGTCAAATGGATTTTTAGGGGATAAATCTCTACCTACAGTACATCGAACAAGTAAGATCTGTTAGCGCCTTTAGCGACATACATTGTGCAGCCAAATTAAAGAATTTCAATTGGTAGAGGAAAGTAGCTCTCTAAAGATTAGCAAAACTATATCAGGGGAAGAAAAGGAAAACAAAAAAAGGAGACTCAAGCCAATCAGGTAAACCAAGCTTCTACAGGATTCAAAGATTGATATTACCACACTTTCTGAGGTGCACTACTCGGACTCTTCATTTCACCTCACGTACCAATGTCGGACACTTGATACTCGGACATGGGTGGGATACTTGGACACTTCATTTTAGTTCAAAATCATGGAAAATTTTCACAAAATAACTACAAAATAGCTAGGTCGGATACTTGGACACGTATCCGTGTCGCACATGGGCACCCGAGTCCAAGTAACATTGTGCACTAAACCCATTCACAGACTTGAGCATAAAGGTGCTGTAAAATTAGTCTTTATCTAGTGTCCAGAAACGTAAAAATTTATCACCTATATTTACGAATATTATTTAAAATTGTTTCCTCAGATCAGCCAAGATGATGAAATCAACTGGGATTTATTTTGGACAAATTATGTAAGCAAACTTGAAAGAAGAAAAGAAAATGCAGAGCAATAAACAGTATAGTTGTATTATTGATGCTATTAACATCCCCAATTTGAGAAATACAGCCCAGACGTGAGATTGGCTGGTTACTCTTACAAAAAGGAAAAGAAAGATGATAGTTTCTGGATGCTCCTCTCTGGCATGCCTCCCTTATTTATACTATAATCCTTAAGACCTTATGTCATATTATAATCCTGTTCATGTTGTAAACCTTTTCTTGTTCAATTGCCAGCTACATAAGTGACCGTTTGGTTCGCAAAGTGAAATGAGTTTTTAAATCAGGAATGAACTAAAGGTGCTATGTGGTTGAAACTTGATACTTAATACCATGTGTTTGGTTTTGTTTAGGAATAAACATATTTCTTTTAATTGATACCAAAAGGTATGGTATGAACCATACCCACCACCTTCGTGTTTCTAAACCCCATGCCTTATGGGTTTGAGGTATGTGTTTGAAATTTGAAATTTCCTTAAACAAACACAAGGTATGGGTTTTACCCATTCTAAACCCATACCTCATATCTAAATTACTTGAACCAAACGCACCCCCCCCCCAACAAGTGTGCTACATTCCTAGTAGGGTAGTAGTTATATACTTATATGTTCAATTTTTTAATAAAACACAGTTAATAGTTTTCTTATAACACATATCCATTCCAAGGCAATTAAAGAAGTGCAATTAAGACCTAGGTTCAAAATTGACAAGCAATCAAGCGAGGCTGTGTAATATAAGAGTTATTTCCAAAGAACTTTTGTTTCCTTATGTAATATAAGTAGGTTCCTTTCTGCGTCAAAAACTGTGGCAATAATGTGTATTAGCTAAGGTAAATTTTAATTGATACCAAAAGGTATGGTATGAACCATACCCACCACCTTCGTGTTTCTAAACCCCATGCCTTATGGGTTTGAGGTATGTGTTTGAAATTTGAAATTTCCTTAAACAAACACAAGGTATGGGTTTTACCCATTCTAAACCCATACCTCATATCTAAATTACTTGAACCAAACGCACCCCCCCCCCCAACAAGTGTGCTACATTCCTAGTAGGGTAGTAGTTATATACTTATATGTTCAATTTTTTAATAAAACACAGTTAATAGTTTTCTTATAACACATATCCATTCCAAGGCAATTAAAGAAGTGCAATTAAGACCTAGGTTCAAAATTGACAAGCAATCAAGCGAGGCTGTGTAATATAAGAGTTATTTCCAAAGAACTTTTGTTTCCTTATGTAATATAAGTAGGTTCCTTTCTGCGTCAAAAACTGTGGCAATAATGTGTATTAGCTAAGGTAAATTTTATAATACATAAGACTGATAGACATGCCACTGGTGCAGTTTTCATGCAGTGTTTACATGTAAGCAACACCATATATATATATATATATATATATATATATATATATATATATATATATATATAATCATCTCTGTCAAAACCTAAAACCTATCAACAGAAGAGGATATACATTTTACGTACCTGGAAAAGTTCAAGTGAAGAGTTTCCATCCTTGGGAGGCCCTTGTTTAGCATCTACTCGAAGCATAACTTTTCTGCAGAACAAATTCAACGGTTCACAATTATGCACATGTAAATATAAAAGGAACTAGTGAAGAGGAAATAAAAATTAGCAGAGATATCTTTTGAAAGACGAAGGTAAAATATGGAGGCAAACCCACATGAATACGGAGTATCACAACCATTAAATAACAAAAATGTCAAGAGGCAGAGCAGAAATTATGTAAGAATAAATATACAAGTTCCTAAGAAGGTGCTTACCTTCCCCACTCAGGAGGAGGATTCCAAGCTGATAAAAGCATGTCAGATTTTGCATTTGGCAAGCAGTTTCTCACAACCAGATACTTTGTCGTAAATCTAGCCACACCAACATCTTTGTAGTCCCTGTCAAAGTCATAAATCTGCAAGCAAAAGTAAGAAAGTCAGCGAAAAGCTTTCAATGACATGAACGCCTCAACATGTGCAATGTACTACTTCCACCCAGATGCATGGAAAAGCATGCCTGGCGACTAGGGCGGTCAAATTTTCAACAGTGATGTGGAAGTCCCAAATGCTGCTTTTTTAAGATTTCAACAAAGTAAAAAGAAAGGAATAAAATAGATTATATAAAACTAGATTAAAGATTGATATAATAAAGGGCAACATTTGAAGGTAAACTATTAAATTTAAATCAGGTTGTTTGGACTAACACCACTTGCCAATCTCTCCTCATCATATAAATAAAACTCTATTGCACTCCCACCCTCCCCTCTATTCTCTTTTACACTTTCCTAATAAATAGAACTCTATTGCACTCCCACCCTCCCCTCTATTCTCTTTTACACTTTCCTCTTCCTTTTTCCTCTTCAATACCCATCACTGCACTCTATTATTTCCTTTTGCTTTACATGACATTGATATGAGAAAATTTGGAGATATACCGGGGAAACATAAAAAGGTAGTTTCTTTCTTACTATAAAAAAAGTTAATACTCACCATTTCGTTAATCTCAGCTTCAGCAAACTCTTTACCGTCGACAAGCATGCTCCAAACTACTTTGTTAATTTGCACAGAGATGCGCATGGCATAAGAGGGACTTTTATTCTTCTCTTTTTCCATCAATCTTAATTCAGCAGCTTTATGCAAGGTAATCCTTAATGATGCTGATGCCTCTTTTCTTAGCTTACGCACATTCCCAAGCTCATTCTTCAGCCTTTGAACCTAGCCAGAGAAAAGATATAATGAAAAAGAATTTAAGTTCATTAAAGGAACATTCAGCATATCTTCCAGGATTACATTCTACCATATATTAGAATGGCTCAGAAGGACAAATGAAGAGGTAGACTCAATTCTCCAGATACTATATAATCCAAGGAAATGTGCCAACATGACTATTTTGATTTTATATTTCTTTAAAAAAAAAAAAGACTATTCAAAATCGCTATTCCACCTTTTTACATTTTCCATTCTTTTTTTTTGGTGGGGGGAAAGGAAGGGCAATGAAGGCATTAACTAAATTACACATCTTATTTATACCAAAAGCCTCAGTTCAGAAGAAACTGTTCAGTTTATATTTGTCTATTTTGCAGATAAAGTCATATATGCCAAAGCAAGAATCTTTATGCCAACCAAACAATTCCTAAATCAAGAAAATGAACCATGAACCATACTTTTTTTTTCTTCTTTTTTTTTAATAGAACAAGTCCTGGTAATATGTTATAAGCCTATAACACAAAGTGTCACATATCATTCACACACCCTAAGAGTGTTGTCCAAGATGAAGGTTTAATGAAAAATCTAAACCTACCACCCAGGCAAGCACCAATCTAACAACAAAATCAAGGCAGTCAACTTAATGAAAATTTTTCTACACTCCATTTCAAAGGCCACTTCTTTCCATTTTCTCCCATCCATACAACACTACCAGGCTGAATAATGACAACATCAATGTTTTGTTTCAGGTGCGGAAGACTTATACTGGAAATGGCATGACAACCATAAAAAATATAGGTGAATAGAAAAGTCCAGTAGACATCTTGTCCATCAGATTCACACATCCAGAATTGAGCTCATGACATGGAAACAAGATAGCGTACAAAATGAGAGAGGAAAAACTTAATTTTTCCACAAGACACAAATAAATTCAACAGAAAGATAAATTCAGGCCGTTAATAGATTGATTAACTGAACACTTCAACCTAGAATTTTATCAAAGAAAAAGATTTTTGCATCCTAGAACCATATTGGTCTCGATTTTGATATAATTGGTAACAGGTAGCATCAATAATCTATAAATACCAAAATAAAATATTTATACTACATACAATTTATTTTTAAAGGCATCTTAACCACCTTTCCACCTATTAGGAATTCATTAAATTCAGTTGATGATGCAAATTGACATTAATAGTGTATTTATAGTATATGATAACCAATTATCTAACAGTTATATTATTAAGTACTCCCTACATCCCACATTAGATCACATACTTGTCATGATGGCTGTCCCAGTTACTTGGCATACTTACTGTATCAAGTAAATTTTCTCTTACTTTTGCCATCTCAACCCCACATTTTTTCTTACCTTTTCTTTCTCCAACTCCACAATTTCTTACTTTTTGTCTGTCTATTTTCCATTCTTTATCTCTCTTTCAAATTCAACTGCACAATTTGATAAAGGATGGAGGAGTAACATTAAATGTTACATCACTACAGTCTACAGTCATATTACTTATGCTTTGAAACAAAACTCTTTAGCTAAAATGCCTGCATTTCAAAAATTGAATAGTAGGTGGGGAAGGAATCAAATATTGCACGACGATAAGTAGCAGAACATATAGGCAGCATCAGTAAATAACGCAAAATTGTAATATAGTATTTGTAACGCACCAATGTGGATCTTCCACCAGATATCATCCACAACTCGCCTTCTTTCTCAGGAATTTGGTCTACAGAAGCATCATTACCAAGTGATAATTTCATGATATCATCGAGAAGCATCTTTTGCTCGCGCTCTTTATGTTCCAGCTTGATTCTAGCAAGTTCTACTTCTTCAACTCCATCAGGGACCACTTCATCTGCCTCTTCTTCAACATCATCGTCGTCTTCTGAAGGATAAGTTAGACTACTTTTCCTAGGTCTGTATCAGAGAAAATCTTAGCTAGTTTTAGTTACAAAAGACATATAAGATTAAAAATACACTGGTAATTTTTTACATCCACATCATAGTCATCTTCTGAAGTACTATTTATAAACAAGAGTTTCTATCTGAGGAAAACAAAATAAAAAAGCAATAATCCTCAAACACATCTATCTAAACAAAGAAACAACAAACAAGATTAAAAGTAGTTTCTTGCGACCAGTAGATCTGTAATCTGAACCCAGATAAACTAATATCCAATGCTAGTAATGGTGATTATACTAACCCTAAATTAAGTCTACACAGCAATTTTAAACCCACATGTTCTCAAAGTTGTTCTTTATACATAATCCATTAAAAGATTGCAGCGAACATGACTTCAACAAGGACACTCATGATTTAGGTTTAGCCAAGTCAAATATGGAACATCAAAGTTCAAATGAAAGGTGGTTTTGGCAATTGGCGAGTGGTCACTGGAATTTGATGTATCTAGTGGCAACTGGCAACCCGTGAATGGCCACTAAGGCCCTTATTCAATACAACTTAAAATAGTAATATTAAGTAAAAATAATTTCAATTCTGTAAAAATATGTTCTATTCCGTAAAAACAATTCCGTTTCAGTAAAAAGTGCAGTCCAGTAAAATTCAGTAACTATAAAGAAGATATAATATAGAAAATCAGTAAAATTAATTTCAGATCAGCAAATAATTTCAGAAAAAATAATTTATCAGTTCAGTAAAAATAATTTCAATTCAGCGAAAATAAGGTGAAGTGAACGAGGCCTAAGAAATACTTCCTCCGTTTTTTTTTTTTTTTTTTTTTTTTGGCATCACTTTGGATTGCACAAAGTTTTAGGACAGTAATATAATATTATGAGTGGGTGAATAAATTATTATAGTAAAAGTAAGATGGAGACCATGAAAGAGAAAGTATGTGAGAGAGGGTAGATATTTTTATTAAATAGTGGGACCATGGAAGAGAGAGATGATAAAATAAGTTGAGTGGGGTTTAAAGTAAGAGGGAGAAATGATAAAATATAGTATAAAGTTACCAAAAATAGATGTGATGCATTTAAAAAAACACCCCAATAAGGAAAGTGATGCAAATAAAAAAAACGGAGGGAGTAATCTTTCTTGCAGGTTATTCCTATGATAGTGTCACTACATTACTTTTCACTATAATTTGGAAGGGAGTGAAAAATTATGTTCATTTCCATTTCCTACAAATATTCTAGCGTACTTTAATTTCTAGATGAGAAAGGAGAAGACAAACAACAGACATGTATAATATTCTTGGTCTTTAGGAGTATAGCAACATTTAGAGTTTTACACTTTCAATGCACAACTATAATCCTTAATATCCTTAATTATCTATAATCAAAACTATGAAATTTCGATAATTATCCTTAATTTTCTATAAATCAAAATTATGAAATTTTGATAATTTAAAAACATAAATCAAGATGAATCTAACAAGACCCACATGATTATGTTTTTCCTTATATGCATATCATAATAAATGGTCAAAGTGGAATCTATGATTGGTATATAGTTAATGTTGCAATATTAATGGAGCAAAGGGAGTATTAAGGGGAAACTTGATTTTCAAGAGGAAAGGCAAAAGGGGAAAGGAAAAGAAAGAGTCCCAAATGTTTGATGTTATTTGCATAAATACAACAAAGGAAAGAAAAGAAAATTACCGCCACCAATCCACCATCCCTTCCTTCTAAAGAAATCGCCACCATCAACTACAACATGGAAAAATGCTAAAACCATAACCATCCCATACTCTTGGGTCTAACCAAAAAGGGAGTGGGTAGCTTTTCGCAAGTGGTGTGGCTTTTGTGGGCGGTGGGTAAGTTTTCGGTAATAATCTGATGGATGGATGGGGTTTTCATATATGTTGGTTATAGATGGTGGTTCGGTGGGTTTTGTGGTGGCCAACAGGCACGAGGTTGGGGGTGGAGGGATCAAACGTCGGGTAATTGGTTCGAGATTAACGTGAGTGGGTGTCGTGGTCAACAGTGGTTCGTGGTGGTGGTCAACAGTAGATAAGAGAAAAGGTAAGCGATTACTTAGGAGGTGGGGAATACGTGTAGAGGACTTTGGGGAGAAGAAGAGGGAAGAGGGAATGACAAAATATGCCTAACAAACAACAACTAAGGCAGTGAGTCTCATTAATTCTTGTATTCATTCCTTTATACCCCAAAGCAAAATATAATCTTATCCGCCCAAGTAGTTGCCCATGTTCAAAAATACATATAAGTGGACTATGCCCACATCTAAGCACTATATTCCCTAGTTAACCATTGGGGACAATTAAATCTTATATACTTCCATATAAAAGCAAGATCGGTATAATTTTTACAAACCTAGGACTTCCAACAAGCTCTTCTGCTCTTCCTTTACACAACATTTCCGCAGCAAAAAGAAACCAACTAAAATTACTTTCATTTCTCCTCAACCACAGAATTTTTGCCATTAACTTACACATCTCACTTAACTATCATTTGCTTCCTCCTTGTTGCAAAGTTATGGGTCAGATGCCTTTTGAAAAAAGGACCTACTTAAAACAGCCTCTTAGGTGTTGCAGGGTAAGGCTAATAACAATTGGTAGCTATAAATCTCCCTTTCTACTCTTCCTTAGCCGCTAGGGAACCCCTTGTAATGGAGTAACTCTATGATACGCTCTAAATAGCATCATAAATTAAGAATATTGGATGCAAGGTCCCAATGTTGACCGACAAAGTGGCAAGAGCATGGATAAGCACCAAGCCACCAACCATATAAAGCACAAGATAATTTTTTCACATTTTACAAAAGAGAAACTTTGTATTACGTAGTATTTAGTGAAGTAAGAGAATAATGCCCGTTAGACCATTATTGGTCTGAATATTAACTTTCAAGCAACAAGTAGGAAGAAGTTTCATACTTGGGAGGTCTTGCGAAGAGAAGATTGGTTAGCACGTCTAACATGACTTGAAACTGCCGAGAAGTCATTGTTGCCTTAATGTTATGTGAATTGAAAATCAGCTCTTTCAGGGGCTTCACCTGCAGTAAAATATCGGAAAGAATGTAAAGCAATCACTTCCAGGAAATGGAAGCTGAAATCACATTGTGACTTCAATGTTTTGAAATACATAATTATACTTTTCATCCACATAAAGTCTGTACCTTCAATTCAGGAGTCCCACCTTTATGCCTAGTATAACGGAAATACATGTCACATGGCATAAATACTCTTTCCAATAAAGCACCAGTACGTTTCACTTTAGGAGAGCTTCTGCGGATTTTTGGAAGCCACTGAAGCCCTGCCCCTGGATCAACATCTGTTGGGGCAACATGAGCTTGTACATGCTCCAACATTGCAGATAACTCCATACGTTTCCAAGTCATTTCAGGTGCAGATTCAGGGATTTTTGAGCTTTCTGAACCAAGTGCTTGTTCAATTAACTCATATCCAACTTGAAGGACAGAATGGAATGAACGTGCTAAGACACGACCACTTACAGCAGCAAGCAGAAATCTACCCTGTCAAAACATAAGGAAAAATATCAAAAGACAATAACAATCCTACTTCCAATTTTCTTACTTACTCCAAAAAAAGAATATGTAAACAATAGAACTTAAATCATGTAAGGTACATTCTTTAAGTCCCTGTGAAAAAGTTTTTTTTAAAAAAAAAAAAAAAAAAAAAAAAAAAAAAAAAAAAAAAGGGTAGCACACCCACAGGTACATTCTTTAAAATTAGCAGTAAAATGTAACACAACCGAAGGAAGAGATAAACAAGAAAATCTGGCTCAGAAAGGCCTTACATGCAAAGGGTCATTGTTTGAAAATATTTAAGAACTTACATTGGCTTCTTCTGAATGAAGATTGAATTGTGGCTCAATAACATTGACCATAAAGTGGCGAGTCCCCTCCTCTTCTGAGTCGGTTATATTTACACTATTTGCTGGTGAGAAAAGAAAAAGAGCCCTTGTTATGAACAAAAAATAATAGTCACCGAAAACTTGGAAAGGTATACAGCTTGTTACATTCTATACCCATGAGGTTAGGGGTAAGAATAAGTAAATTAAATTGGAGACAGTTGCATCCAATAACATTAAAGATCAACGGATACCAAACTAAGAATTGTAAGTATAGCTACCAACCGATTGAAATAGCAGAAATACTTTCTGTTTTGGCAGAATGAGATGGTGAGGAAACTGATGCTGAATTTTCTTGCTTTAACAAGGAAGGGTTTCCACCACCGCCAGCAGAGGGCTTCTCGGTGTCATCGTTTTTCTTTTCCATCTCAGCAATCCTTTGCTTCTCTTCAAGAAGTTTTCTCTGAGCATATTGCCGAGATGGAGAAGATTTGGGAGGAGCAAATGCTTTAGATAATCCACCAACCCAAGACCAAACAGCATCTCGATTCTCAATATTCCAAAGAAGCTTAAGGCCATAGACAAAGACCCGCTGACAATTGTCAGCTATTACCACATTATAACCATCATCATCGCTGGGGTCAGATCGTGCATGCTCATCACTGTCACTGCCATTTTCAAACTCTGACCTCACATATGTCATCTCAAGATTTTTCCTTCCAGCTTCTTGCCAAGCCAGCAACCTCACAGGATCTGCCTTTGGAGATTGTTTTCTAATTGTAAAGTAATCAGATGATAACAGAAAACCATCATCACGAGGCCTTTCCATACCAGCACCTGTGTTGTTGCTTTTTTCATTGACTCCTTTATCCATTGAAGAAGACTGTGAGTTTTTCCTGGTCATCTGAACTACTTTGGAAACACTAGTACAATCTTCTCGATCCAAATATACCTTGGGCACATGCAAGTCTAGACCTTGATAAACAAGGTCAAGAGGCTCACGCTTACTCTCAAAAGTATACTTTTGTTTCCCTCGACTATTACACATTTCAAATTTTAACTTTGACATCTTAAAAGTGAGTCCCTTGGCAGGATCATCACTATCCAATGGCATGTGCTTTATACAAGTGGGCGTAGCATCTACTCGGAGCATAAACTCAGTCATCACCCTATCTAGTGATAGATTTCCAGACCTTGGAACTCTTGGCACACCAAAACGAGGCCACCTAGAAAAGGTACGCAGTTTGTACGGAGGAAGGTAATTCAAATTCCAGAACTTAACAATCCATGCCAGATCATGAGCACCAAGTTTTAAGATTGGATAACCACCTTCCGTGTCATGTACTGAGGCACTGGCAGAACCACCTGGGGTCAGACCATTGTCAATGCCAGCTGATTGTGATGATTTCTCAGAAGGATGCGGTCTTAAAGAGAAATTCCACCGCAGAGACAGAGAGGTAGATCTAAATGGATCAAAAACTCTCTCACGGAGTTTTCCTTCATTAGGGAGTGCAAAAAGATAATGATTAAGTGGAGTTCCAGAATCACACTCCCAATCCATGGTAACTTCCAAAGTAAAAGTTGGGGTTTCAATAACAGGCACAGCTACACCAGCAGGAAGTTTCAAGCCACGACTTTTTGCCAAATTCTCCAGGCTGCTGGTCAAAATCTTAAAGTCCTTAGCAGAAGTATAAATACGTCCATCTGACTGATGGATCTCCATGTAACCTGTCTGAATTTGGAGCTTGTCAAACTTTTCGTAAGGGTCAGTAGTTGCAAGGGCAATCCAACGGGATTCAGAAAAAAATAGAGACACATGTCCATGCATATAGTTTCTCACTTCATCCCACCAAGGCAAGCTTTTTTCTTTTTTAATGGGTGGGGGGGGAGGATTAGGATTCCTGATGCTCAAATTAGCCCTGCGCAGGGCCACTGTGAAGGCATAGCTTATATCAGTAAAGACAGGCTCATGACCTACTCCAAATGAAACTTCCCCATTCTGAAAGTGAAGGGGAAGATCTAAATATGTTTTCATTGGCGGAGTCGTTCCACTTGCAGAACGAAGTAAGTCAACTTTTCTCCATTTCCCAACATACACATCTTGGCGCATCTGGGGCTGGAAAGGAGTTGCCTGCAACAAAACAAAGAAGGGAAGATTTAACAGGCAATGGAGAAACAACTTGCAAAGCCCCAATAGAACTTTCTTCACATTGTACACCAAAACATAAACAAAATAAATGAAGCCTAAAGCACATTTCCTTATATGGAATTTATGATGATTAGTTCCAACAAGAGGAGGCTTTTAAAATAAACCCGATACTTAATGCTAAATATGGAATTTATAATGTCTTGCAGCAAGTGAGACTGTGAGAGGTGTAGCACTATTAAGCTAGACTCCATAAAGGCCTATGATAAAGCAAGCTACAGCTATTTCAGAGATTGACACATGACAACAAGCTTTTGGGCTTAAATGTAGTCAGTTGAGCTGTAGCTGTCTTTCTACATCTTGTTAATCTGCAGACGGACAACATTTAAAATGACTCAAGACCTGAGGAAGAAAGGGGACCTTTTCTCCCCTTCTCATTTCACTTTAGAGGTGCATGTGTTAAGTTATTAATCCTCTAGACAGAGAAAGAAAGTCTATTAATGATTCTTGTCAAAAAATGAGGTCATTGACTCACATGCAACTTGATGACCAATTTTCCTCCTTACATGCTAGAGAACATCCATACACTATTCTTTTCATTGCCTATTTTGATTTTATTCATTACAGTATGCAAATATTCTCCCTTCTTCCCACACCTTACACCTGAACAGCTGGCTGACAAAATACTCTTGAATAATAAGCAAAAAGTAATAGGCTAAGAGAATAGATATTGTCAGAAGGCAATTTTTATATTGTTAGAATTGTTACCTGCTGCGCTAGTACCAAGCAACCTTCACAGTTACCAGAAGTTGCTGCAAAGATAGGAAATGTATAATTTCTAATCTGAACAACAAGAGTGCCAGTCCGTAAGAATAAATTGCTTCCATATAGTCTGGAAAATGGTATATCCTTCTCTTTCGCAACAGGATCAAGTTTCTTGACAACTTCTATCATTCCGGCTTCACCGCCTTCAATATTTACCAAGGTAAGATCCAAGTCTGTGGCAATAATGGAAAGAAGAGAAGTTCTAGACCTGCTGGGCTTAAAACCAGCTTGAAAGCCTTCCCTACAGGCTCCAGAGCCCTCAGAGGCCACAAGTTTTTGACATGCCTTGTAATATGATTGGAATGACTGCTTATAAATTTCTTCCTCTAACTTGTGTATAGCACAAGGATCTTGCAAATCTAAATCAGCTCCATTGTAGTTTAACTTTTTAACTGAAGTGGAATCACCAGTATCAGCAGCAGAAGTGCAATGCTCACCACCGGAGACAAGGTCGTCTAAAAAATTTAATCGAACGGCTAATTCGCGGGCCTCATTCTTCAGGAGCTGGTAATGCTCATCAAGCCAGCCCTGCATTGGCTCCTCTTCAATATCAGCTGTCAACTTGCGAATGCAAAATTTGACACTTCCAAATTTTGAAGAACCGGATTTTTTGGATTTAGAACTCTCTTTCTTAAACGGAAAAATGAGTTTCTTTTTTGCAGCCATTATAAGCTTCAACGCCCGCAACTGATCCTCAACGGAATCATCAATGGCACGTAACTCCAACCTATATGGCAAACAAATGTGTACATCAAGGCCTTGAATCACCCAGTCCCAAGTTGTGATTAGGGTTGCATCAGGGCCATTTGAAGTCTTCGGAATGCGAGAAATCTGCATCCGACTACTTCTGAAGATTCTACAATCATTAAAACTGAACATTAGCCCCTCAAGGAGCACTCCAATGCGAGCATTCTCAGAAAATATTGACTGAACTTTAACCATTGCTTCAACACCATCTCCGGCCTCAGCTGATATACTGAGCATTTCAACATCAACAGCAAAGACAGATTCCTTTTTCTTATGTTGTTTTTCTTCATTCCCAGATTCTGCAAGAACTTCCTTCCCTAGTTCAGGTTGGGTCATATTAGGGGGGCCTTCTGAGTTATCGTCAACGGCTTCTTTAAGTTTTTGGTTATGTACTAGTAATTTCAAGTGTAACATAAGCTCAAAAAGTGATATATGCACATCTGGCTCCCATCGAACTGCAATGTCAGTAGCACTGAAAAGAGAGCAAACAACTATCTCTTTAAGACCCCCAGTACGACGTACAAATTTTGCATTTTGCATATCAAGCAATAATACTTTTGACCCGAGAATACGATCATCTGGATGCTCCTGGTAGATTGACCTAGCTCTTTCAAGTTCCATCTGAGCAGACTGTTTGTCCTTGTTTAAACACACACTCAGATGTAAGATCTCAAGTGATACAGAGTACTTTAACTTCTTGCATTTGTCTGAAACTGTCGAAAAAATATTTGCAGTTCTTTTGGTACCATCATCTGAAACAGTGACCACAAACCGACCTCCTTGTGATCCATAATTTGCACGTTTTGGATCTTCAATAATTGTGTTTTCCAAGCCAACATTAGCACAAAAATTTACAGAACACCGTTCCAGAGTAAGCATTAAAAGTCGGGTCCCTTTTCCCGATGATTTTGATGAATGTTTTCCCCGAACTTGATTTTTCTTTCCAGCACCTGACAATTTTTTGAAAAGAGCTGACAAGGACAGAGCAGTTACTATAAGTGATTCCACCCGTCTCATGGTGAAGTAAATACCCACACCAGTCACATCAACAGTAAGAGCTGATATAGTCTTAGGACCGCCTTCTGGAAGCTTATCGACATCCTTTTTGCCCCAGTCTAGACTAACTTTTGCAACATGCAGTAAACATCCTGAATTAGTTTCAACACCAAATAGACACTCCTTCAAGCATTCTTGATACTCATCAGCCAAATGCAGATTTAATTCGCCAAATTCCGCATGTATTGCTGTCCCCTTGCTAGAAATATTATTCGCAAACACATGTGAAGATTGCGAGCAACCCTATTACAATCAAAATATAGATATAAGTTAGTTTAATTAATTCAATATTTAAATGACTTCTTGACAAGTTAACAAATTAAATAAATAAAGAAAAATACTCAATGCAAGAGGAAATGGTGGTTTCTGTAAAATCAACACTACTATGACCTAGAAGTACAGATGAACCATCACACTTGCTGGAAAATAGCTTCTTACCCAAAAAAAAAAAAAAAAAAAGGGGGAAAAACAAGTAAATTGTTAGCCTCTGACCAGTCCAAACAATACACTGGGAGGAAGAAAAACAGAGTAGAGGTTTTGGATGAAGGACCAGGGTAAAATTACTTGAATAAGGTTATGTTCATACAGGCTAAATTTTTTTCCTCAGAAATCTAAATACATCTAAAGAAAGGATAAACAATATTTGGACATTGCAACAGAGGACATGCATAACTTAACAAAAGATCCAACATCTAGTCTCCCCTTCCATCAGATAACTAAAAGCAATTATTTGAATAAGAAGAGACAGAACAATTACTTTTATACATAGAACAGACAACATACTTATGTAAACAGAGAAGACACTTATCAGCTGCTACTTACATGGTACAGAGGTAAACCACTCATATTATAAAGGACGACGGTCATCTCGGGAGCTGAAACTGTACAAGTCCACATAATGGCCTTGGATTCTTTGGACTTCGGTTTATCAACTGACACACCTTCTTCTTTAAGCACCATCTTTTTCTTCTTGGCAAAGTGCAGGCGGATCCATGGTTCCAATCGACTCAAGATCATGTTGCACTGAGTACCCCCTAACTTTACGTCAATCTCAGCCCTGACAGCTGAAGCTGACTGAAAATCCAAATATATTGTTTAAGACAAGAGCACAACAATACAAGGTATAAGGCATTATATCAAGCTTCCCATAACATAAAGTAAGCACAATAAATTAAAAAAGAATGACATGAAATCGTCACAACAAAGCTATCTAAAAAGAACACACATAGGACAGTTATAGTTTTCACTCTTTGATCTTTTATGTTTGATTAGTAAGTGAGAATATATTTTAGAAGTAAATTCAAAAAATAAATATTTATCCTGGTAATGCATAATAGACTCGGAAATTTTTGCGCTAAACAAGATATGCTAGGCTTATCTGGGACCTAAAGGGTTCAAAGTTGAAAGAAATATTTTTTTTTGCTTTGTTCCCTAGTGAGCTCAAGTAGTGTTCAACTGTTATAAAGTTCTCTAGCTTCAGATATTTCGAACAGTTCTTTGTTACAACTTTTTGTCAAGACTCAAGACAACGATTTTCAGAAAGTGACCAGCATGTTTTTAACCAGTCTTAGTACCATCTTTTCCCAATGTGCAAAGAATCATATTTTACTCAGATACATTCCCCCCAGTAAAGGCTCTTTTTTGGACTCTATTTATACAAAATTAAATACCGAGCAAAATCAGGTATTGCCTTCCTGAACAAAATATCTTTTCCACGTCAGCTTAAAAGCTTAGAAGAAAATATTGCACATGGAAATCATCCACATGTGATTCTGTATTTGGGAATCAAGAATAGGAGCTTTAAAAACAAACATTTGGAGATATTACACCCACTATTCTCACTTAGGACTGGCCAATGCACATTCAAATCTCCATCAAGGATAATTTACACTTCAGATATGCACATGGCCAAAAACCCCAGGTATATTATGTGATATTTTAACAACAATTTTGCACATAGATAAGTTTGAGGTGCTCTATTTCACTTCAATATTGAGATCATGTGAGAACCTAAGGCTAAATTGAGAACAAGGAACCAATTTGGGGCCCTGGATCATCCTAATTAGACGGACAAGGTGTACCTGTGTTATTAATGGCATTTTTGTAATTTTGCAACTTTAAAAACTGACAATTATTTTTGAAGCAATTTCATTTACTTTTTAATTGTTTTCATTTATTTTTAATAAATTTTCCATTTACTTGTAAAAAATCAAACTGGAAACCAGTTTATAAAGTTGCAAACTTACAAAAATGTCATTAATGACACGGGAAACATGTTGGTTGTCCGATTAAGATAATCTGAGGGCCTAAAATAGTTCTTTGTTCTCATACTAACCTTATCCTATTTGAAGCACCTACAAAGCCACAGATACTCTGCATATCATCTTAACAATCCAAAATTCTTTTTCCTTGATAAACTAACCTATTGCCTTTCCTAAGATGGAGATTATGGCCAACTACCATTCTTAACTCCTAAATGAAGAAAAAAAATAATAAGGTGCGCAATTATTTGACCCTCCTCTCTTTAAGAGTTTAATTTTCTATCTTTGACCAATCAATCTTTAACCTACAACCATACTTGCCTCCTAAATGAGGAACAAAATTATTCCATCCACTTCAAAAAAAAACATTAGCATATTCTGAGCCTCCCCTTAAACATGAAACCCATAATCTCTTCCATCTCTCCAATCATACCATATGCTTATAACTGATGAGGCAAAACCAGGAGTATAAACATAGCAATGATAAAACTATCATATAATTCTCCATATTCAAAAGCACCAAAATCCAAAAGGACACAAGCATCTAACATAAGGCTTTAGCTGCAAATTAATTGTTTATTTAGAACTAATGCCCTATTCATTTCACCTTACCTTATTTTTGCTGAACATGAAATTACTTAACTGAACCAAAAATAAATTTAACTAAACTGAAATAATTTTTACTAAATTGCAAATATTTTTCCTAATTTCTATTATATTTCTTCTTTAAAGTTATTGATTTTAACTGAATTGAAATTATTTTTAATGAACTAAAATTAGTTTAACCGAACTAAAATTAATTTAACTGAACTGAAATTATTTTTCTTGATTCTCTATCATAGTCTTTTAAATTTATTGATTTTTATTGAACTGAAATTATTTCAACTGAATATTATATTTTTAAGGTAAGAGAATAGGGTCTAATAAGGAGGCTTTAAATTTTGAAAGTCACCTTGGTGATAAAGAAAGGACAAAAAGTGACTGATATTCACAACACAATACACTCTTTTATAAACAAGAAAATCAACTGAGAATAAAAATTAACTATCCATCAAAAATTTTATTACAAAAAAATACATATAACTGAAATATATATTTTTTATACACACAAATGAAATATATATATTAAATATATTCTTAGTATCTCACCAATTAGCTAAGTTAGGATAATCCTCATGCATCATATGATTTCTTCTCTTGCATTTAGAATACTAGACAAGCATATGGGATTGAGTGATATAAAACCAGGGGAAAGGCTATAGGCATCTTGGTTTGACAAAGAAAACAACCATTAAACTATGTAAGAGCTATACCATTCTATCAAAATTACCTGTAGGGGAATATACACAGAAGAACCAATATTAACCCGCAGTATTTCCAAAATAGATGTACCACTATCTCTCAAAAGCTGAAGTGACCAAGAAAAAATGGGGACCAAGAAACAAATGATTAGTACATACCAACTAATATTAATACCAACTAATCATGAACCTTAACACAAAATATCATACATGAATCTCACTGAAATCTAGTTGAATGTCGAGGCGTGTACACTCCCCGCCATCTTCAACAGACCTTGATTTGACGCTTTTCATTTGGATACCTTTGATATGATTCTCCACTGAAAGACCTTGTCCTTGATGCTCAAATCTCACGCCCAATTTAGGCAGATTGAAGGATACCTGAAAAGTAGCACATTCTCAACAAAATGAAATTTAAGTTCAAATAGTCAATAAAACATAATAACGGAAAAGGAAATAGTCAATTAGTCAGTAGATATATGATGAATACTACTCAAAAGATAAGAAAAGAATTAAAAATTTTAAAAAAAAAATTAAAAAATAAATAAATAAATAAATAAATAAAGAAGAAGAAAAAGGAAAGGAGTTATTACATCTTATTCAAAGAATGACATGGGTTGACTTTTGAAGTAACATAAGAGAGAGGATCTACAGGGCATATGTACTTCTGAAAGTATAAATGTTGGCCACACAGATCGAAATAAGTAAGATAAAATATCATCAGAACTTGAGCTCCAAAAGCATAAAGGACCACTAATAATACAATAATTTGATATACAAGAAAACCGTATTACTATAATCTGGCATTGCAAGCCTATAACCTAGAATCCTGACCTGATAATTACTGTACACTCAGTGAAATCTAATAATACATACTCCATCCCTTTTTAAATACTTGCTCCATTTTTACTTTTTGCACTATTCATTTGTCCTACTTTAACTAATGTTTATGATTTATACATAAGAAAAGATATAGCCTTGTGGGTACTTGTTGGAATCGCCTCAATGGTTAGACTATTAATTCAATGGTTAGAATTCATACTTAATGATAATTAAAAATATTATTGATCAAAGACTAGCATCGGCATAAGTGCCCAAGAGAAATGGAGCAAGTATTTAAAAACGGAGAGAGTACTAATATTAGCAGCTTGGGGGTGAAGAGGGGGTGGGGGGTGGAGCTAAATTATTCCACTACGGTGTGTTCCTCCACCAATCCACTTGTCTTCTTTGGCTCCATAACATTATTTATCTTCTTTTTGAAACTAAGAGAAATATATAAATGACGCCATTAGAAGACAATCATTTACTAGTTAAGGGGAACAAGCTTGTGTCATAACTACCCCAAGCCTCACTCAGCTAGATCATAGTATTCCCTTTGTCATCATTGTTGTTGTTGCTAATGACAAATATTTTTCAGCCAGTGGTGCATTAGCTATTTCATCTTCTCTTTATTTGAAATTAGATATGTAGCCATGCCAAAATTTACAAATGTCAACCATGTAGGCTTTCTGAAATATCATAGTAGCAGGCAGCATATTTACAAGAATAATCAAATTAATCTAGCAGATATCATCTTTCAATAAAAATCCTTCCCACTTGTAAGAGCTCTACAAGTTTGACAAAGAATTTTATAACAAAATACTTATTTTAAAAAAAATACTATGAAGGCAAGGGGGAAAAAACATGGACAGCTGTAAATCAAAAAACAGCAACCATTTCAAGTGCTATGGATGCATAGTAACAGCAGCTACCACTGAGTCAAATTAATCAAATATCAAGCACCCATTCACCTATGCATAATGCAAAGTATAGAGATATGGAGCAAATAAGGTAGCCTAAAAAAGGAAACAGGAAAACATGGAAAAATGTAAGCTTTCAATAAAACTTTCTATTTTTATTTTTATATTTTTTTGGAAAAATTTAAAAAGAAAAAAAAATCTGCTATCAATTTAAAAATTATAATTTTAATTTCGATTGTCTTATGACACACTTGCTATTAAAAATATGCTTAACAATAGATACAAAGTCAAAAGGCTCCATGAAAATAGGGAGTTTCTCCAACTCTCTATAGTTTGACATGTTTTTTCTTGCCACATAATTTAGGCGGGTTTCAACATGTTTCAGCTTCTGAAAACGTTTCAAAACAAAAACATCAGCCTAGATGCAAAATCAAAAGGTTCCATGTAAATAGGGAGTATCTCCAACTCTATAATTAGAAAAAAATTCTTGCCAAAGAATTTGGGCGGGTTTCAACATATTTCAGCTTCAGAAACAGTTCAAAACAGAAACATCAGCCTAGAGAGTGTTCCGTGCAATGTAGCATACATGTAATGAGTCCTAGACTCCTATTTACTAAATTTTCAATGGAACTTGACCTTTAAAACCAGCTTGCAATATCCAATGACTGATCAGTTTAAACAGTCAGCAGTAAAAACAAGAAACTCCAAAAACAATGAAAAAAAATTATACAGTCCATAAATAAATTTTTAAAAAGTAGTTGCACATCATCTATGGAAAAACCTCACCTTTTCAGGAAACAAAGTTGAGAGTTTGCTCATTGACGACAGTGCTTCTTTCTGGGGTGGGCTCTTGACAGCCCTGTTATCACTGATTGATTCAGTGGTTGGGTCGGAAGTGACAGCAGAAGAAGTTTTACGTTTCTGAAGCAGTTCCTCGTTAAGATTCATTACTATTTCACCACATGAAACATCCACATCCTTCACAACTATCCCAAATTCTCTGTTGCACAAGCATCAACAACCTCAAATAAATCTTCTAGGAACAAAATTGCAAAAAAAAAATAAAACAAAAAAAAAAAAAACAAAAAAAGCTACTGATATATCTTACATGATAGCTATAGAAAAACTCAAGATCCAAGAAGGGTCACCTACGAATATACGGACACAAAACAGTCTTCATAAGTGAGAATGCTAAGCTACCTACATGATCAACACTTTAATCTCAAGAAAAGACAAGTACGGATTGCCAATTGCAAAGTCTGGCTCACCCACAACCCACCTCTGGCAGAGTGGCAGAAACCAATTCAAGCCCACATTGATCAGCCAGAAATAACGTAGTAAAACCTAGCTAGTTCATCAAGTTGTGAAGCCAAACTCAACCAAAAGGGTTGTAAACTGGACCACATCAAAACAGCCTGGGTCAAATAGGTCATACAGGCAAGGAAAATAGGATTGATCTACCAATCAAGTATGCTCTGTGTGCATTATTACAGCAAGCCAGAGGTGATGGATTCCTCATAATCCTCAGCAATGCCCCGAAACAACTAGACATGCTTAGAGATATATAAGCATAAGATCTTACTACGTTAACAAATGGCTTAGTATTAAAAGGTTCAAGGAGCAATGAGGCACAAAAGGTCCCTGCAGCTCAGGGGCCCTGGGTAGAAGGCGACCGCGTGCACAAATCGAATACGAGATGCACTTTTTATTTTAATTCTATTTGCAGCATTTAATTATTCCAGTAAAAGAGCATATATCTGTTAAACTAGAAACTAAAGTAGTTCAAAACAAGTGGATAAAAACCTCAAAGAATAAGAAGAGAGGAGGGGAGTGGAGAGGACATTTGACTGCCTCAAACCCTACACTCAATATTGTGGGGCACCCCAGCAGAAGTTAATAAGAGAAAAAATTATTATTAAAAAATAAAAAATAAAACAGAAAGAAGACCGAGAACATTTGGCACAACTCTAACCAAGAGCAATCACTCATCATTTTCTATCGAAAACATAAAAGACCTTCAACGATACTTCATATCAGGCTTACATAGTCACAACTCACAAAGTCATAACAATGGGATCTCACTATCGATCACACTCATCACAGAAAATCTTGTTTATTGCCAAGAATTTGATTTAATATTCCTTGTTAACAACTTGACTTGATTTCATTTACATCTTTATCAATGCTTTTTCTGTTTAAGACAAGGATATATTTGAGAGAATCACTCTAACATGTGTTAACCTTCCATAATTATTAATGGCATTTTGGATAATAAATCAAACCTCTTCAAGAATATTCAGAAACACAGGGGCAGTTTGAAAGTTTAGTTATACCAAAGAATACCATAGGAAAATTCCATGTATTTAAATTTCATCTCCATTATTCTTTCATTACTTTTCCTCTCTTTGATTCTTTTCACATCTCCATCAATTAGATATCAGAAACAGAACCAGGTAGGGAACTTTAGTGCCAGTTTTCACCTTTAACAGTAGATGCGTGTAGAAGGATATACAGTATGGTAAAAGTAAACAGACAATTGATAGATACTTTGTAAACAATTAAGGAAATTACAAATACATTGAAACAGTAGAGAAAATTTTGCTGGCAGAAGATAGTTCATTAAATAAATACGAGTATGAGGAGCGACCAAGCAAGGTTATCCCAATTACTAAATTGTCAGTGGTTGACAATCTAAGAAAACATTAATAAAAACAAGAGCAAACAGAAAACATCCACTTCAACCCATCTCTTCATCAGAATAATTTATACACATTGGGGAAAAAAAAACATTAAACAACATCCAGTGCAACTTTCAAATCAGCGCAAAGCCACAAGCATATACAGGATGCAGCCATAGGGTACAACCACAAAGAGATGAAATTAACCCAGAATACAAATAGAAAAATTATTAAGCCAGACAAGTGACAAAGCTACCAACCTGTTGTGACCAAATTCACATGAAAGAGAGAGCTCCTCACAGTTAAAGGAAGAAAAAGGTTGCTCCACCAATGGAATCGATGATTGACTTGCTACCATATATCCCTCATCAACCTGGCTTGATGTATCATCATTACTGATCCGTGGTTCTCCCACTTGAGCAATTATAGGTGAAAGGAGCAATTTAATGAAGAGACTTGGTTTGGTATTGCCATTTTTAGATATATCCACTCTCAGATCCTTAACTTCTAAGGTTGCCTTGGGTGTCTGCATGCAATGGCCACCAATCATTCAAGAGGAATAAAATCAGTCACATGCATGACTATGGAAATAAGGGACGGTAGAACATGGAAGCTTTAGAGAGAGAAAAAGAAAAAATAAAAGTAGTAGTAACAAAGATTTTTCCATCAGATAAAGGATGGCCAATTGTTAGCTGAAGTACTGCATGTGAACAAAATTAAAACACAACATTCTTCTTAATGATGTTCACAGACATTTTCCTTCAGTTTTTGGTTTCAATTATAACACCTCCACCTCATAAAGTTGACATAACTCTAAGAAACCACCCTTTTGAGTAGCACTTTGTAATAGAATAACAACATTAGCACAGATTTAGACCATAAGAACACATTTCCATAAACAAGTACTCCCTCAATCCCAAAATTAAGCGCCCGTTTGTAATATTTCACAGAAATTGAGGCAAATGGATAAAAGTGAAATTTTCTCAAAAGATATTCATTATTGTGGTACAACTCATCTTTTTTTGGTTGTTTCATGTGCAAGTACAAGCATTAATGATACATAAGATAAGTTGGTGAGAATCTTATGGGTATAATGGGAAATAACGGTGTAATGGTCCAAAAGAGTTTTTTATTTATAATAGGCACTTAATTTGGGGACACCCAATTAGGAAAACAGGCACTTAATTTTGGGATGGAGGAAGTATCTTGTTGCACCCCTCAATCACATTAATTCAATACACTCCATCAAGGAGACACATTGGAAGCTATTCAATAAACGTTGTTTGCTACTGAAACCATTGAAACTACATGTAATAAAACTTATAACATGTTAGTTCAATGAGATTTAATATATATATATATAAAAACAAGATGCCATGTAAGTCAAACAACCATAAAATTTAATGCCAAAAGAAGGCTATCAAAATAAGATCCTGTAACATCTCATTGATGCTCAGAAAAAACAATGGATACCTTTAATGACAAATCTGTCACGGAGACTGAGAGGAATCTGGCAATGTTAGCTATAACCATCCATTTTCCCCTGCCTGCAGAGCGGGGTTTACGGGTCTTAGCCTTCTGTGTACCCTTAGTTGTCCCTTTGTTTGACTTAGTTGTCCTCGTCACAACTTCTAAGTCACATATCAAAACTTGCAGCTTTGGATCCCTTGATAAAAAACCAACCCCAAGTTTGACCAAGGACTGACGTAAACTAAGTCTGATTTCACCAATGGAGACTGATTCAATAGGACCCTGTGAGTTACAGAATACATAAGAACTTGAAGAAAACATGATTATAGATTTATAGGAACACTAACTGGTAAAGCTAACAATGCTTCCATATATTGCTATACGCTATTCTCTGACAACCCAATCCAGCCTTACCTAATAATTTTTATTTTAAAAAAAAAAATGTATTGGAATACAATATCAATTCAAAAACTCAATCACTTAGGTGTCCAGAAATACTTCCTATCATAATTATTAACCAAGGTATTGATCAATATACATGCACCGTAAAAGCATTCAGCTTCTGACAACAATCAAAATTGGAAATTTAATCCCTTGATTACCTAATACAATTATACACAAGGAAAAATTAACACAATAATATGGACAATACCTTTTTAAATTTTACCACCACATCTCTTAAACATTTCCATCCGCCCACTCGAAATCCAACAGATGCTCCCACAACACGACTCAAGGCCCAAGCTACCAACCTCGCCACAAATCTAAACAGCACAAAAAAAAAAGACAAAAAGGTTATCAAGTCTTCTTTGATCAACCAATATAAACGAAGCAAAAAATTCATGGGATTCCAGCTTTCCGTAATTGTCCATTTACTTCTTTTAATAGTGTCATATTTAAATAAAAAAAATCTTAATTTATATTGTCCAAGGGGTGTTGCAGATGACCCTGATGGATGAATGCGCTAAGAACAAAAAATACCCTCAACAAAGGAACTTACTAAATTTGTCCACAGCAAGATCATAAGTTCTGAAGGACATTGTAAAGCGGTAAATGGAATTGGTGCCATTCCTTCTTCTCAACCATTAGTAAGCTTAATCATATAACTTAATGGTTGGAATAAAGTTCATGACATTGACACTATAAGTTCTCTTTAGTAAGCCCTACTATTACCTCAAAACCATAGCCTATAATACTCATTTACTTTGCCATCCACTTACTGCTTCACAGATGCAAACATTGATTTCTCTCCTTTTCAGCTTTTAGAAAGCTTCATCTTATAATAGGAGGCAAGCTGACGTAATGACATAAAAAGTGTATGTGTATATATCCTTTGCTAACCCTAAATTTATGTATTATACTCATTTATTCACAATTCAAAAAACTTGGATTTGTGTTGGCAACAAATAAAACAGCCAACTGATTTTCAATCTGCACAACAAATTATCAGTCAAGCATTTCGAATGTCATTCCTCTACATACTCTTCCTTCTCCTTCTCATTACACCCACTACTTTTTGTTACAGAATCAACAACAATGCATGTAGAATCACGTATATTTGTCATTTCCAAATAAAACTGGAAGGTTTTTGCAAACACATTTTGCCGTCTTATCCCCTTACTTCGCAAACTTATAATTTCTACTTACTCTCTCTTACTTTATCCACATATTTCTTAAGCTTAGCTACCTTTTTTACATTGTCTTTCACACTTTATCCACCTATTCTTTATACCACTAACCACTCCTTGAAAAAAGAGTTAAGTAAAATGGGTACATCAAATGAAATCAAAGGGAGTATTTAACCTCTTTCTCACTCTCCCAAAGTCTTTCTTATCCTTGAAAAATCACTTAACATCTAAACCCCAATTGTCACTTCTCTTTATATAAGATAATAAACAAAACATATGGTCCCAAAAGTTACACTCACTTTCTTGTGGCAAAAATCTATATATATCTACAATAAATGGATAACATATCAAAGAACAAAGGTAGTAATCAACTTATCATAGAAAATTCACTATAATTTGAAATTCGTTAATTCTAGTGCATACCAAGGTTGAATATAAAGATGTGTTTCATATCCCTAGTTGTGCTGGAGGTTCCAGGACTATACTAAGTAGAGGTAATATAATGCAATGTTGAGAATATAACTTAGCCCCAAAATATGAGACCTTCTAGGGTACCTAGAGGGTTTTGGCCCAAGAGAAAATGTCTCCCTTAACATGTGGGTTTCGTAAAATAATCCAAGAACTTTATTATGTACAAGTATGCCGGCGATACATGTCACGAGGGAGTATATATTCTTAGTATTTTTCCAGACAGATGATAATAAGTACATTGGAGGTGGCATAATACCCCTCTCAGAGCAACCATATGTACTATCTTCACACATTCTCGATTGTACATTATTGTACATTGAGGTTATGTTGGCTATCTTATTTCTCAGGGTGCTAAAACCTAACAATTGAAGTTCGATTCTCTTGACCTTCTAACTTAGAGCAAAAACACAACCACAAAAAAGAGAGCAAATGGGAAGGACACATATAAACCCATCAATTAGTTGATCACACGCCTTTCGGAGACAATCTCTCTCCCAATTCATATTGTAAAGGCCATTAAGGGTACAGCTGCCCACACCTAACACTTAAAGACAGGATTTTTCATATGCAATTGTTATAATTGTTCAGCAATTTCTTCAAATTACATACAAATACTAACCAAAAACACAAGAAACAGTCGAATTTCAGCTCAAATGCAGCAGCTAAAACCATAACAAAAGCACCCAGAAAACAAAAACCAACCAAAATTCAAAATCAAATGATCACTAGAATTTAAAGAGATGGGAAGTTAACTTACATAAAAATAACCCATAAAATAATGGAAACGAACAAAAATCTGAACAAAAACTTCGCCGGAGAAGTAGCCATTGCCGACGGTAAGGGTGAAAACCCCAAGAAACCCAAATCAAATCAAACAAAACCCATATGAATTTTAAAGTGATCAAGAAAAAAGGAAGAAGAATCAAAAGAGAAAAATTGCAAAAGGGGTTGGATCAATTGCATAATTAAAGATAAAATTGGGGAAGAATGTCCAAAATTAAGATGAAAAAATTGTACGAAGCACGAAGATCGAAGGGGTTAGTTATTGCTAAAGAAGGGAGAAGACGAAGAAAAGGAAGAGTCTTAATTATGTCATTCTGATCCGTGATGTGCTCTCTGATGAGAGAGAAAATGATGAGAGAGAAAGAGAGAAGAAGGTGATGAAATAATGTAAAATTAATTAATTATTTATTTATTTTATAATTATGGGATTTTATTACATTTTTAATTTCGTTATTAGTGTCTTTTAACTTTCTCTTTTAGGTTCTTTTTGGGAGGACTTGGAATTTTTTATGGGATGGTGTAGGACTGTAGGAGGACGTGCTTGATGTGTCCCTATTGTGAAGTAAAATCTCGAAAGTGACCTTGTGGGTGTTGTTTTCTTTTTTTGATGCAAGGTTTATTATACACTCGGGTTTTGGAGAATATCACGATTTGACGATGATTAGCAACGGAGATAGGGGTCTTTGAACTACACTTTAATGGATTGTTTGCTCTCCATTGTAATGTTTTATGTGTGTGTTAAGTATAAAATGTATATAGTTTTGGAAGGCCTAACAAATAAAATTTTTGGTGTTTAAATAGCCACAAGGAGGGTGGGGTGAGAATTAATCCTATAATCTTCTGGAATCGGGAGGGAAGCTCTAACCACTTGAGTTATCCTTCGCTCTCAAAATAGAAGTTTAATTATAGTGTTTAATTATTGATGTTATGTATTTTTATTTCTATAATTTGGACTAATACATGAAAGATGGGAAAGATAGAAGTCCCTTAGGCAATTTTGAAGCCTTTTTGGCTTTATATGCTCCCAAAAGTGAGTAAATGGTCACTTTTCATTTATTTCAAGTCATATAAACCAAAATATAAGTTAATTATGGATGTTACGTGTTTTATTTCTATAATTTGGACTGATACATGAAAAATGGGAAAGATAGAAGTTCCTTAGGCAATTTTGAAGCCTTTTTGGCTCTATACGCTCCCAAAAGTGAGTAAATGGTCACTTTTCATTGATTTCAATTCATAGAAACCAAAATATAAGGGTTCGATTGGCATTGTTGTGGTTTTCTTTTTTTGGTTTTTTGTTTTCTAAAAGTATATGATATGAGTCCCATAATGAATAAAAAATTATATAAACTTATTAAAATTATGATAATTTTGAAAACTGACAACACAAAAGTGGAAAACGTCTTCTTTTTTTTCCCTGTTTTTAGTTTTTGGTTTTTTAAAAAAAACAGGAAACTGAAAACCAAAACTGATGCCAAACAAACCCTTTCATTTATTTTGAGTTTTATTTCTATAATTTGGACCATCACATTTATTCTAATGATTGTTTTCATCATGGATTGTTTTTATTTTGTAACCTCATTCATATGTTTTTTTTAATAGGATTTTTGTCCAAGGAAAGCCCCGTATGATGTTGACGAGTTGAATGTGGTTCGAGAACAGTGGGCGCAATACTTTAGAACTAAATATTTATTGAATGCATAACTATTAGCTTAGGTAGAACAAAGAAATATTATTAGTGTTGTAATGTGTTGGATAAATATATACAGGTTTTTATTTGTAATGTTTTACTACTTAATTTTTATACTATGTCGTATTAATTTTTACGAAAGTTTGTTCGGTATAATTGTTTATTTACAGGAACATGTTTATTATAATAGGTTTTAATTAATATATATTAATTATATATAAATACATGCTGTAGAAATTTAATAAAAAAAAATTAATTTAATGACTATTTGTAACGGGCAGGAGAGTTTATTTGTAACGGGCATTTTGTTGCCCGTTACAAATAAGTATTTAATTATATACTATAAAACCTTATTCGTAACAGGCATTTGAGGTGTCCGTCACGAATAATGGGTTATTCGTAACGGGCGTTTTAGGTGCCCGTTATGAATAAGGACCTATTTTAGTACAAAAAAGGCTTTATTCATAACGGGCACTTGAAACGCCTGTTACGGATAACCCATTATTTGTAACGGGCGTTTCAATGTCCGTTATGAATAATGGGTTATTCATAACGAACAGTGCTCGTTACGAATAATAATGGCCATCCATAACGGCCGCATACATAACAGACGCTGCACGTTACAGATGGCCTTTTTCCACTAGTGTAAATATTAATTGGGCTTGTAAGTACTCATATGCGCTAGAATAAATGGCTTACTCTCCTAAACTATGTTCATGAAATAAGGCTCATATATATTAAAAATAATAACTTTATAATTAGAGTTTAGAAAATCATGTACAATTTTCTTATTAAAAAAAAACCCACTTGAAAGTTGTAATATGTATATAGGAAAAATTAATAATCTGAATATCTTAAGAAAATATTTTATAAGCGTATAGGAAAATTATTCGTCCATTTTTATAAACGGGATTATAAGATCCGAAATAAAGACATAGTTAAGCTTAATTATTATTAATTATGATTAATAATAATTAAATTGGTTTAAAAATTAGGGGTATTACAGTCTACCCCCCTTAAAAGAAGTTTCGACCTCGAAACTCTTGACTAAAAATTTGTATAACGACTTAAATTGACTCATGCACAACCTAAAATGGGCGAATAAACGACTTAAAATTGCATAAAGGCAAAAAGCGCGAAACTCTATCGCATTCTATCCCCCCGTAACTCGAGTACCAACCTCGTGAAACAACTCAGGGTACCTCTTCCTCATGTCGGCTTCCGCTTCCCAAGTAGCTTCTTCCGTCTTATGGTTTGACCATAACACCTTAACTACCTTAACATCTTTGTTTCTTGTGCTCCTCACCTTGCTATCTAAAATCTTTATAGGCCTTTCCTCGTAGGTCAAGTTTTCATCCATTTCAATGTTTTCGGGTTGTAAGATGTGTGAAATATTCGGTGTAAACGTCCAAATTACAAATTCTTGGCTACATTCTAGTGTAGCCAAGCTAGCTGCAACACCATTAAATGTGAACATATAGTACGTTAAAATGAACATACGTTTTTTTTCTTCCTTATATCTTAATTCTCTTTCTTCTTCTTCTTTAGCTAAATTATTTCTCTCTCTTCGGTTTTCTTCTCAATTTTAACATTTTCTCTCTCCTCTTTACCTCATTTCCCTCCAATCTTTAAAGTTTTCTTCCTAAATTTTTGAGTTACTAATTCGTGTTTTGATGGGTATACTTTTTTCTTTCTAAATCTATGAGTTTCAGATTCAATCATTTGGCTTTATCAAAGAGGAAAGAAAAAATGGAGGAGAGAGAAAGTTGAAGGTCAAAGAAAACAATGGAGGTTAGATTTTATCAATTTGTAATTGTATTTTGTATGATTTCGTTGACCATGCATGATGATTTATTGTTTGGTGTTTGAAATTATTATGAGTTTGTGATGAATATCAATTAAATTGCTAATGAATATCAATTGTATTGCTTAATTTGTAGTTATTTTCTCCCTCCCCCCCTCTCTTTTTCTTTTGATTTCTAATCATGTTACAAATCAATAATTAATTTCTCTATGATGAATCAAGATTAGATTTAAGGTATATATTCAATTTTTTAGAGTTTCAATAATTACAATCGATCTTGAATATAATTTCTGTAAAAAAAATGAACACGTAGGAATTTAAAAATGAACAAATTTTACAAAATGAGCATTTAGTACACCGAAAATGAATATTAAATACATAAAAAATGAACAAATTTCAACAATTTATTTTATCATTATTTTTCGTTAATAATTTATACACAATGAATTTGAACCTTTATGAAAATCATGTTCATTTTAATATCCTAAATGTTCATAACTTTTTGTTACATGTTCATTTTATAAGTGTTTATTTTTTAATACTAAATGTTCATTTTTATTAAGTTGAAAGTACAATATAATACGTTGAAAGTTAAATTATCTGAACATTTAGTGTCGAAATTCTGAACAATTTATTATGAATATATATATTTCGTTATTCATTACGAACATATCTGTTATTGATTATGAACACATATGACATATAGAGTGATAATTATTTATATTTTTAACTTATGTATTGATGATTATATATTATGAACATTCTAAATAATTATTATGAACATATGTTGTGATGGTTATGAATTTTGATTATTTGTTATATTTTAGTGAGTACAAATTAATTGTATTTGTAGAAGACAAAGACTCTGAATTAGTGAAGAAACAAGTAAGAAGTGATGAAGAAGTATATGATATTACAACGAATTTGCCTTTAAGTTGGAGAATTTCTGATGTATATGATCCCAATTTTATGGTTGTATGATAAATGTTCATTTCTAATATATTTAATGTTCATTTTATTTTTTTGACATGTTCACTTTTTATTACTAAATGTTCATTTTTTTACGTGTTCATTTTTATTACTGAACATTCTTTTTTTTTTTATTTTTTTTATGTGTTCATTTTTCTAACTAAATGTTCATTTTTAAGGTCGTGGTCTAGTAAATTTATGATTATATGATAATCAGATTCATTTTTAATAAATGATCATTTCGTTATAACATATAAACTTTTTAGTATTAAATGTTCATTTTTTTACGTGTTCATTTTTTGTTATTAAATATATTTTTTTTCATGTTCATATTTTTTAACTAAATGTTCATTTTTTATTTGGGCCGTGCGTTTTGGGCCTCACTTGTTGTGGTTATCTTGGCTGCACTAGAGTGCTGCCAAGGCCAATTGCTTCCGAATTTGGCTTACATGGAATACATTGTGGACTCTTTCTAACTCATTAGGCAGCTATCCTTCCTATCTTTTGGATGATTTTATATGGGCCAATGTATTTAGGGTTTAATTTCCCCCCGAACCTCATTACACCCTTTATTGGAGATATCTTTAACAAGACTTTCTCACCTACTTCATATTCCTAATCTCTTATTTTCTCTAGGATCATTTTTACTTGTTTTACCGTTTCCTCGATCAATTCTGGCCCGAGCACAACAGTTTCACATATATCATTCCAACGGGTCTATTCTGGCCCAAGCCCAAACACAACGGATCTATTCCTTTAATAATTGTGACGGGTCATAGGGATCCATAGAATTGCTCTCTCTCAGACTAGTGAGTTCTCCATTGAAGCGCACTCAACGTTCTCCATTGAAGCGCAGTTGGCGTGAATCTAGTTCTTGTATCCCCCATTGAAGCAAATTCTGAGGTACCCATTTGTTCCACACTTTCTTTAGTTTAACTCAGTACTCTCAATTTGGGGTTCTTCTTACTCGAATTAATTATTAATTATAATTACTGAAAGATTATGACGAACAATTTCATTGCTAGAATTCTTCTATTTAACGTGATTTTTGGTAATTAAGTGGGTGTTAATGTGTTGCAGGGTTTTGTTTTTATAATTTTTCAATGGTAGGACATAACCATGAAAATGGGGTTTATCTCCCTGAGCCCAGCAAAATACGCAAGTAAGTCAATATACTTTAACCCACTTGAATTTTCATGAATTATTCTTTATTTTTAATCTTTATGAATATCTAAAATAAGAACTAAATAATGAAATTTGCATATTGTTGTTAAATAACCTGATGCGATTATATGCCTTTTGATTGAATTTGCTAGAGAAGTGCCTCAATTGGTTGGTTTATTGAAAGAGATGAAGGAAGGTTTAGATGTTGTTACTAGCAAAGTTCAAGCTTTGACTGCCAAGGTAAGTTCTTTTTGCATAATTTATTTTTTATATACGTGCACGATTCTATGCAAACCGGGTTGAATCTGTTTTGAGTTGTTTGAATTGCTCAACACATTGCGATTTTCTTGTAGAAAAGTGTAATTTTCTTCATTAGTAGCCAAATTTTGCCAATCGTGTATTGTGTGTTTGCCTGTTTGGAAGTAAAATTGTAAAATGCATTTGCCGTTAGCTTTTAATTTTTATGGATTAGATGTGGTTTTTAGGAGGTGACATTATTTGCTCTCTTTGGTTGTACAAAATTTACCTGAAATGCCTTTTCCCAATCTTTGTACAAGGTGTCAAGGTTATTGTCTTTAATGTCTGGTTTTAATGTATTAGGTAAAGGCAAAACAATTTCCTACTGCAGATGGGGTAAGCTATCTCGAGGCAAAGCATCTGCTGCTTGTAAATTATTGTCAGTCACTTGTCTATTATCTTCTGCGCAAGGCAAAGGGATTGTCAATAGAGGGGCATCCTGTTGTCCGAAGTCTCGTAGAGATACGATTATTTTTGGAGAAGGTATGTCTGGTTGTCTGCCTATATATTTTCTTCCAGTCTTAAGAATTAAGTGATACCCTTGGTGCTATTTATGATTTGTATTTTTGGAATTTTTTCACAGATACGCCCTATAGACAAAAAGTGTGGATATCGAATTGACAGGCTAATAACATCTGCCTCAACCGATGGTGTGAAAGCGGATATGACTGAAGAAGTTGGAGGTGCCACTCAGAAGTCTGAGGATTTGTTAAAATGTCGTCCCAATCCAGACATGCTTGTCAGCAAAATTCCAGAGATGGATACTGATGTAAGTAGATATTGACATATTGTCAGCTTACCATGATGCCACCAGCAAATATTACACACTTATTGACTCTGTGAAAATAAAAGGATATGATAATTTGCACCTGAACTTTCAGGATCATGGTGGTATCTACCGGCCTCCCAAAATTGCTCCTGTTACCATGGAAGACAAGAAGTCTAAGCTGGAGAGAGATGCTGAGAGAAAAACAAAGCACACTCTACGAAGAGTTAGACAAAGTGAATATGTTAAGAGTTTGGTGGATGATCTAGAGGGGAGACCTGAAGAGGTCAGATTTTCCATCGATTACTCGATGTGATTTATTGGTGTATATTGGGTACATTTTATGCTTATTGTTTTCTGTCTATCAACCACAGGTGAAAGATTCAATCGGAGCTGGATCTGAAAGTAGAGAACTTTCTAAATTCGCAGAGAAGTGGCAGAAACGTGAAGAGCAAGAAGAGGAGATTTTTAATCGTGCTCCCATTACAAAGGCAGAGAAAAAGAAAACTAAACAATTAATGAGATCCAATGGGTATCTATTATTCTGTTAAAAATTTAAACTTATGTTGATTTATCGCTTCAATGATATCATAGCATATAACTTGTGCTGTTAATCCTGTTATTGAATTTGTTTTCTTTGATTTGTAGGTTGCAAGGTTTGACTAATGATTTCTATGATGAAATTAAAGGCTTAGAATTTGGAGATGACGGTGATGAGCAAAATACAACAGGTTTTGGTAGTGTTAGAAGCATGGGAAGAAAACATAAAAAGCAGAGGGTATGCATTAGTTACTGTGTATAATATATATCTAGCTTAGTTCCTTTTATTGATACATAAAAAATTCTTAGCACTTCTAATTGCAGCTGAAATGTGACTAGGCCTTTATGTGCTTGATATGTTCACAGCTTCACCATACATAGTAGTTATATTGGTGATAAGGGAAGATATAGTTATTAGAAACATAAAATTGCAAGGTTGTTTGTTTAACAGAACAGTAGGGAGTACAACCTCATGGATAAATAAATCAGTGTCCACAATTTACATTAACTCACTAGGTGTGGAACTGCTTCTAGTGAACCAACAGAATACCAGCTTGGTTTTTTCACGCTCATAAAGTCATAGATATTATCTTCTCTTCGGAAGCCCATTCTTCGAATTTGTTGATATATATGATGTATACATATATAAGATACTTATGGTGCCCTCTTCATATCTGAGGCTGTAATGATAGTATTATAAGTTGCAAGTAGCCATCAATATCTGATAGTGGAAATTACTAGTTTGCAAAACACAGCAAACACCAGCATTGCAGCTATCAATACTAATGCATGCTAAAAACATCAGAGGAAAGCAGAAACAAATACCTGTAAATGGGAAGTTAGTGATTCTAGAAAATACTGCAAAAGTATGGGATTTTGTGAGACTATGATTCATTGAACAATTGAAGCATTTAAATTCAGCCTTATACCTAAATGGCTGGTTTTATAGACTTGGTTTGTAGTAGGACAAAGTTAAAACTGATGATGTGGTTATTCTTCTTGTTCAGATAAGCAAGTATCATCTATTTGAACTCCCCTTCTCATCAGACTAAGGCCCCGTTCTCTACACCTTAATTTTATTGGTCTTCTGTTATATTTCTTCTTTAAAGTCACTTAAATTATTTTTATTGAACTGAAATTATCTTTACAATTTTTACTAAACTGAAAGTGAAATTATTTTTACTAAATTGAAATCATATTTTTTAAGGTGAATAGAGCAGGGGCGCAGGGCCTTACTTTGATTGTCAGAATGTCATGCAAACTTTCCATAAGAATATTTTCCATGTTGCATGATATGTTAGACTCCATATGCATTTTATCATTTCCACACATGCTAAATGATCTTTCTATATGGAAATTGTACCCTTTTTTTTTTTAACTCCGAATTGTTCATCTAGATTCTGATAGAGAAAGTTATCTTTGGGTTCTTCTCGAAGTTTTACACAAAAATTTGCAATTGCATCCTCCTTTTCAAACAACTTTCTCGGTATTGTAGAATTAGACCCTCTACCTGTGTGTCTGCAACTTCATATTATATTTTGTCCTTTGAAAGTAAAATATGCTTATTGACCCTGTCAACTATAGAGGTTAGATGTTTTTTTCCTCCCAAACTTAGTTTTCGTTCATATCTTTGTAATTACAATGGAACAACAACAACAAAGCCTTCACTAATTGTATTAGCTATAAAGCAAATTAGCTAATACAGTCAGTGTAGGTTGTGCTTTTTTTTTTTTTTTTTTTTTTTTTTTTTTTTTTTTTTTTTGGGGGGGGGGGGGTGTTCGTGCTGGTGAATGTAAATTAAAGGTTACAGACATGTAGTGAACAATCTTGGCATTTTGGAGATTATCAATTGTTTAAGTGTTGATGTATTTAAAATAATTATCTGTTACATACTACTAAGTGAAACTTAGGACACTTGGCAACATATTATTAAAAGTTGGACTGGTTCTAGTGTGCTTCTATATTACAGTATTACTTGCTCTAGTTATATTGGTTGCTTTTCTTTGGTGGTATCTTGATGAACTCAGATACTTTTCTTTACAGTAACAATTTGCCATTCTCTGCAGAGGAAGTATTGACAAGTGACTTCTAATCATGGAGGGTGTACACTGGTACGACAGGGAAATCGTTCTGAACGTTGTTCACTGTTGTCAATGTAATTTTAGTGCTGATTTGCTGTGCTTGAAAAATTTGCGAGCTACACTAATGAAGGAAAGCTTGGAATTGTACTTTTGCACTCGTCAGTGGTGAATCTGCTAGGAAATGCGTGTATGTTCAGTGGAGAAACATATAATCTAGGACTCTAGGCAAAATTTTGGACACTTCTATGTTTATTTTGCGCCAATATGGCCTTCCGTTGTTAAGCTATTTTAGGCTTTTGTTAGTGTTCAATACAATATGTAATGTTGTAAAAAATTTGATGAAAAATTCGTACTTTACAAATCTTTTCAGTAAATTGAAGTTCAACTCAAGTACTGTAAATTTACAACTATGTAGTACAGGTACAAGACTAACAAGAGTAATTAATACGGAGTACGTAGTATTAATTTATTTGCGGTGTAGTGTTGAAACTGAAGACTGAACTTAACTTAACTCGTTTACTTCGCACTAGAAGTCGTGATTGTAGTTTTATGAAGTACGGAGTACAATTTTTGGAGCATTCTTTGGGGTATTTGGTTAAGGAGGAATGCATGGCTATTCGAGAAAAAAGATACTCAGGTGGTGGATGTCATTAGTAAAGCGACAAGTATTGTGGGTGAGTATGACAAGGCAAATGCCATCCTCCCTTCTGAGATTGCGAATAGAAGTTCGGTGCCTCAAGCTTGGAGTCCACCATCTGTTGGACATTACAAACTCAACTCTGATGCTGCTACATTCGTAGACGATGCTATTGGATTGGGGGGCATTGTTCGCGACTGTTGTGGGATGTTATGTTAGCTACCTGTTGCAGTAGATATAGCTGAAGCCATGGCAGCTAGACATAGCATTGGGGTTGCTGTTGAAGCTGGACTTTGTAAACTCACTCTTGAATCCGACTGTTTGAAGCTGGTCCACCATTTAAAGAACAAGAAAGTCGTGTGCTCCTATTTTGGTCGTGTGGTTGCTGATATCCTCCATCTTGCAAAGGCCTGTACGTTTTTTTTAAGTGTCCCATATTGGCAGGAAAGGCAACGGTGCAGCCCACAAATTAGCTCAAATTATGTTGAAATGAGAGTTTGGATTGAAGAAACCCCTGCTAATGTAAACTCTATTATTGTTTTGAATTCCGTTATTGTTTAATAAAATTTGAGCATTTTCCGTAAAATAAAATAAAATAAAATAATATACGGAGTACAATTTTGAATTTGTGATTTGAGATGCTCTCTTTTTTATTTTTTGGTACCCTATTACAAATTTTTGCAACATTTCAACTCGATGTCAACTTTTTACATGAAATAGTATTAAATTAATCATTCATATATCAAAAATTTGATAATTGATGCTTGATCCAACAAGAATTTTAGAAAGAATCTGAAATCCTGTTGAAAACTTTCCCCAAAACTATAAGAATTGGAAATTGGAATTTACATGATGAGCTACCATTTACACGGCTGATGGCAAATGACCAACACAATTATTTGTCATTGATAGAGTATAAAACATGAATATGTTTTCATGTTTTATACTCTATCAGTCATCTTTTTTCCAAATCTACCTTAAAAAAATTGTTCTCAATTCTTGGTACACAGTAGTAAAGTATTTGATTGGTGGGAATGGATTTTCATGCAAATTTGGAAATAAAATTGATTATCATGGACAATGAGATGATAATTTGTATGCAAATTACACTCAATTCATTTTCATTACTATTAACACAATTTATGGGTGTTGTCCGCTACAAATTATAAAGACTATACAAATTCATGGGTCAATAGACCTTAAAATTAGTTCAATTATTTAGTTACCGTGGTTAAGAGCACCAGCAGCAATGAAGATTTGTATCCTTTTAGCTCACTTTTTTGTTGGCTAAAAGGATTCTCATTGATGTGAAAAAGGGGGAATGGATCCTCTTAAGAAGAGGAAAAGGTAGTTTCCTCTTAATGGAAAGGATCCTTTTCCTTGGCTCTTGTGCCAAAAGCTTTATTATTTTTAGTTTTTGTTTTTATTTAACTATTATATTAATAAATAATTATATAAATAAGAGATAGAATGTATAGTGGGGTGTATGTAAATAGGAGAAAGAAAATGGGAAAGGATCCTTATTAATGTTGAAAATATTAGAGAAGGAGAATGAGAAAAAGGATGGAGATAATGGGAAGTGATGTGGAAAAAAGAGAATATGATGTGTGGATTGGAGAAAAAAAGAATTAAAATGAGAAAGGATATATTTATCCTCACCATTGTTGATGCTTTAACTAATAAATTAATAATCCATGATCAATTATTTAGTTACCTTATACTTCCTCCGTTCTTTATTACTTGACCCGCTTTGACTTTTACACTATTCACCATCCCTCATTTGACCGTCTTTTGTGAATAATATGAAAGGAAAAATATATTTATGTGTGATCTTTTTGAATTCGTCTTAATAAGTACTATCATAATATATAACTTATATAATTTTTACTTATGGAGAATTTAAGTTATTGATCGTTAAAGTTTTGCATTGACAAGCGTGATAAAAGAAACAGGTTAAATAACAAAGAACAGAGGAAGGAAGTGATTAACTATTAGCAGTGCGTTTCTGGTGCGGCCGCACCATGCGGCAGGGTACCAAATCAGCAAATGACAAAGTAACCCCCCAGACAAAGTAACCCCGAGACAAAAGTAACCCCTGACTGACTTAATAACCCTTGACCTAGTAATCCCTAACTGACCTAGTAACCCCCGATCTAGTAACCCCTGACCTAGTAACCCCTAACTGACCTGGTAACCCCTGACCTAGGAACCCCAAGTAACCCCTAACCGATCTAGTAACCCCTAACCGATCTAGTAACCCCCAATCAAGTAACCCCTAGTAACCCCAAGTAACCCCTGACCGGACCTAGTAACCCCTGACTGGATCTAGTAACCCCAAGTAACCCTTAACTGACCTAATAACCCCAAGTAACCCCTGACCGTCGACCTAGTAACCCCTGACCTAGTAACCCCAAGTAACCCCTGACCGCCAACCTAGTAACCCCTGACTGGATCTAGTAACCCCTTATCCACCACCAACAAAAAACTACCACCAACAACCATCACCAACGAACCACTACCAACCTAAACCACCAACGAAACCAGATCTAGAACCTAGAACCACGAAACCACCACTACCCACCCACGAAACCACCACTATACACGAAAACAATTTGTTTTTCGTTCTTCAATTAAACAAAAAATTAAGTAATAAAATTTAACAACTTACAAGTTATATAATCAAAATCTTCAGCAAATAAGCTTGAATTCAACATAAAATTCGTAGAGCATAAATTTCCAAAAGTAAACCATTAATGAAGTTTGAAAAAATTTGGGCTAAGAAGATGACACCATTAATGAAATTTAAAGAAAAAAGAGGAGAGAGGAATAAAATTGGGGGAAAAGGAAAATGTTGTAGAAGATGGAAGAAGAAAAGAGGAGAGAGAAATAAAATTGGGGGCAGAAGAAAAATGTTGTAGAAAATGGAAGAAGAAAAGAGGAGAGAGAAGAATTTTTTTTAAAAAAAAATATATGGCTAGCCGCACCGTAAAGCCAGCCGTATGTGAACTTTTATACTTCCTACGTTTTCTTTTAGATGCAACACACCCTTTAACACGGTAATTAAGAAAGGTGGGGTTTAGATGATATAATAAATTTTACAATAGGATGAGTGGTTGTTAAAAGTGTAATTTAGTGGGCCATGTGCTTAAAATAAGGGATATTATATAGTTTTTCTCTAAAGTAACTTTCCTTTTATAGTGTGTTGCAAGTATTGTGACATTTCCTTTTTAGGGAAGTGTTGCAAGTAAAAGAAAACGGAGGAAGTATAAATTAATAATCCATGATCTGTGATCACATGACCTTAGGAGAGTGCATAACTCGTATGCTTTAGCTTTGTTTGTCTTATTAGCTCTATAAAATAGCGTATTTTGTTACGACTACTATTTTTTTGTTAAGTGAAATCAACGCAAGTCATTAGTCTTTATATAATCAGTGACTCGATTTCTTTTATCAACAAATTGCCTCATTGCTACCAAGTAAACATGGTAATACTTGGCTTCACTCGGCTCATTAATATTGTATCCTACGAATCAATTTTATTTCCGAGTTTAAATTTATGTTTTGGGTTCAGGTTGAGTCAATTTTACAAGGTCTTGTCACCTTGTCGGTCATAATTACTTAATTTCTGAGTTTCAATTAGATACTTCGGGTTCAGACCAAGTCAATTTTACAAGGTCTTTGTCGCCTTGTCGGACATAATTACGATTCAAAAGCTCATACGATGCACGAATCTGTTACACAAATTGGACCAAACCTACCATTCTAAAACAGCGGCATGCTTTCCCACCAATAACACGTATTGGCAACCAAGTTGACCCCTAAAAATTCCATATTTTGGCATGATAGTTGATACACTTGTTGATTAAGAGAAGTATCTTGAAAAATCTCCAACCAAATAGTACAAAATTGTTGTTCGAATAATATGATTGATTTGACAGCAGATTAATCCTCATTATACATTATTTGTAACGATTTGACATAAAATACAGTGAAAAAATGTCTAATCGTTGCAAATAATGTGTAACGGAGGTAGTACCATGAACTTCAACAAATAATTACAAAATTCACAATATAAAGTTGAGATTAAAGTAGTATTAAACACAATTATTTCAAATTAAACTGCTAAAACTCGTGATTAAATCACTAAAAACTTGAGATGAAATTAGAAATTTACGCTAACAATTCAAAGTACTAACAGTTAGCAGAAATTGAGAGAGAAAACCTAATTTCACGACGAAACCGTCTTGGCTTCCGATTTGCTCTTCGTCATCATCTTCCGAAACTCCTCGAAGCTAACATTACCATCACCATCAGAATCAACAGACTGAATCATCTTCTCACAATCTTCAACAGAACACCTCTCACCGAGTCGAGTCAAAACGAGGTGCAACTCAGTAGCAGAGATCAAATCATCACCATCTTGATCATACATCTTAAACGCATCATGAAGTTCCTGCGAACCAGACTCATCACCTTCAACTTTCTTCGAGCAGAAATCGGCGAATTCCTCGAGATTGATGAATCCATCACGATCGGAGTCCATTTCCTCCATCATTTGTTTAACTTCTTCCGGCGAGGTTTCCGATCCAAGCGCCTTCATGACGCCGATGAGTTCGTCGGCGGAGATTTTTCCGTCGCCATTGACGTCGAATTTGTCGAAGACTTTCTTGACCTCGGCGGTGTCGGAGAGGTACACGGAGGAGAGGGAGTGGGAGGAAGAGGAGTTGCTCTTGTCTTCGTTAATGGCCGCCATTGTTGAGGTTTTTGAGAGAGGAGAGAGAAAGTTAAAATGAGGAAGAAGAAGAAGTGAGGGGAGTATAAATAGGAAGTGAAGTGAGGAGAGAGAAAGTGAAAAGAGGGGAAAGAGGTGCGTGAGAGAGAAGCACGAGTTTGCGATTTTGAGAAGACGCGTGGTATTAATATACGGATTTTACGCGGTTTCGCCTTCGTAATTTTAAAGCTGACTTTTTTTAAATTTAAAAATTATTATGATACTCAGTAATTTATTAAACGGATATTTCATCAAATGTCACTGACAAATTTAAAAATTCATCAAATGACATTTCACTTTTCAGAATTCACCAAATGTCACTCACAAATAGTAAAATGTCACATCGTGCCATTAATGAGGCCTGGACGTTAACAATCCGTTATCACGAAATGACCTCTATGCCCTTATTGTCTTTTATGGTGCCCTAAAGTGCATTGACTCTCTGACTTCTAAAATTTAGATAAAAAAAAAATAAAAAAAATTCCCTCGTTGTTCTTCTCAAACCTTCCCCTGTTCTTCGAGCTTTCAGCAACACTCAGACCTTCAAACCATAATCAAGGAAGAAGCTTTCTTCGAACACCTGAACGACAGACGCAACTACATTGACGCTTTATCGTTTGTTGAACTTGGGCGAACTTGAAAATCGATGAATTGTACTCGGGGTACTACAAGGAAAATAGTTGAGTTCAAATTTTGCACGGGGTGCTGGAAATAGCAATCAAGGTATTATTTTCCCTTTCGATCTTCATTTCGCGCTTTGATTCTGAATTTTTTATCGAAAATTGAGTTAGGGTTAGGGTTTTATGAAATGATCAGTTTTATGCGCTTATTTGACTTGACCTATGTGATTTATTGTTAAAATTCATGTTAAAGATGGTTATTTGTGGGTATTGATTTTGCATTGATATGAATTTTGGGTTTGTGAAGTGCTTGAAATTCAATTTGGTCAATGTTGTGTTGGTATGTTGTTTTGTGATATGACTGATGTGTTGGTATATGGTTGTGAATTTGAATGATGTGTGTTGATGTTATGTGTAATTTGTTGATGATAGGATGAGTAGAGTGTGGCTTGATGTCCATTACAGAGATCAGGGCTTTGATGTGTTGGTTGATGATACTGACAGAACAAGTCTAATGGACTTGTATGAGTTTATGTTTGAGGATTCTATGAAACAAAATGTGATTCTTCCCAAATGCTTCACTTTGTTTGTATTGCCACCTAGAACTAATAGGAAGTTGGAGTTAGCTGGGGATAGGGACATGCTTAAAATGTGGGAGTGGTTTCAAGGGAAGGAGACAGTAGAAATATTCTTGGAGGAAGAGCAAAGTCCTAGGCAGGTGTTTAAGGATGCTGAGGCTAATTGGCAAAGAAGGGTTAAGGCCATGACTGATAAAGCTAGATTGGAGGAGGAAAAGGCCAAGGCTGAGAGAGAGTTGGAGGAACAACAACCTTTTAAAGTTGCAGTTGAGGTGCCTGTTGCTAATGTTGATGGTGGTGATATGGAGTATGTTAGAGTGTTTGACACTCCAGGAGCTGATGAGGTATTCCCAGGGGCATCTCAGCCTGAGCCTGAACAGAGTACTCAGCCTTCCACTCCACCTAAACACCCTCAACAAACTTCTCCTATGAACCAGCCCAAATCTTCAAGTGCAAGCAAAAAAAGGACTCCTCAAAAAAGTAAAAAAACAACACCCAAAAAAAGGTCAACTGGAAGAACCCAACTCTCCCCTCAACCAAAAACAACCCCAACACCTGAACCACCACTTTCACCTCAACCAAGAACAACCCCACCACCTCAATCACCTGAAACAGCAGTTGAACCTGAAACAGAAACATCTGAACCTCCACCATCTCCACCACCTCAGAAATCCAAAAAGGTGGGAAGGTCAAGACCACTAGGGTTCAGAACAAAAAAGAAGAGTGGGAAAGGGGTTGCTGGGGGAAGCTATGAGAGGGTCAGTTTAAGGAGATCTGAAAGAATTAGGAGGGATCCAGCTAGGGTTGACAGTAGTGAGGATGATAGATCTGATGATGATGATAGTGAGGACTCAGATTACATAGAATTTGGTAGTGAAGACTTTGATGATGCTGATGATCTTGGGGACTTCATAGAAGAAGAGGAACAATATGAATTCTTGTATGATGACATCCTATGGATAAAACATACAAGAATGGCAAGGTTTGGAGACACTGTGAATTTGGTAGCATTAAACTAGAGCCATGGCTGATTTTTCCAGACAAGTAGTCATTCACTGAAGTTTTTAAGGATTTTTGTGTACAAGAAGGATTTGGAGTCTTTGTTGAAAAGAGTGACCCTCAAAGGTTTATAGCAAGATGTGCTATTGATGGCTGCAACTGGAGAATTCATGCTTCAACAATGCCTGACAAAGTCAGTTGGGCAATCAAGACATTGACAGGGGAGCATGCAACCTGTGGCAGGCTTGAGGTAAACCCTGTTGTTAGCTGTGATTGGCTTTGCAGACATCTGCAGTCACATATTGAAGCCAATCCAGACATTCCAGTAGAGTCTTTGCAAAGAATCTGTATGGAAAGGTACAAAATTCATGTGAAACAAAGGTTGTTTTACAAGGTGAAAGCAGTTTCCAAGGAGATGATTCATGGTGGCTTTGGAGAGGCATACAGTCTCCTTCCAAGATATGCTGAGATGGTGAAAGAGACCAATCCAGGAAGTTATGCACTAGTGACATGGACACAATTATCTGCAAATGTCCAACCTAGGTTCAAGGCATGCTTCTTCTCCTTTGCTGCCCAAGTTAGAGGCTTTTTGAGAGGGTGTAGGCCTATCATTGGCATTGATGGGGCCCATCTAAGTGGTTATTATAAGGGGATTCTGCTAACAACAGTTGGAATTGATGGGAACAGTGAGATCTTTGTGTTTGCTTATGGCATAGTAAGCACAGAGAGTGTTGAGACTTGGGGTTATTTTATGAGGAATTTGAAGTGCCTTTTTCAGAAAGAGGGATGCAACAGAGATGATTGGACTTTTATCTCTGACAGGATGAAGGTAACTCTCAATTTGCTGTGATTTTTTTTTCCAAAGGGCGAAGTTCTCCCTTCTGACTAGTTACATTCCTATGCAGGGAGTTGATGCAGCAATTATGGAGACATTCCCCAAAGCCAGTAGAAGAATATGCTGTCAACACTTGTACAGCAACTGCAAAACAAATGGTTTTAGTGGAATAGCTTTTCACAAGCTCTTTTGGGTTGCTGCTGATGCTTACAATCCATATGTCTTCAACAAAGCAATGGAGAAGATTCATGCCTACAATCCAAAGGCTGTTGATTACTTGAACAACACCACTGAGGTTTGGTCAAGGCATCAGTTTGAGCCAGCAATTTGTTGTGACCATAACACAACAAATTTTGTGGAATCATTCAACTCTTGCACCAAGCCATACAGAGATCTACCTGTGTTAAAGCTACTTGAAGGTTTAAAATTGAATTTGCTCTGTTGTTAAGTCAGTTTCTAAATGCATTTTCTACCTTTCTTTACTGTAATTTCTATATTGATTTCTATTTTGCAGCTATTAGGCAATGGTGCATGAGTAGGATGGCTTCAAGGTTTGATAAAGCAACATCAATGGGAGATGGGGAGCTCACTGAGTATGCTACTAAGATCTTGAAAACAAGATCAGATGAGTCTAGGTTCTGCTATGCTACACCATGTGGGGGTGATGAGTTTGAGGTGAGGGATCAACATGTGCACTTTCCCATTAAACTTGGGGCTGGAACTTGTGGTGTTGGAAAGTGGCAACTTTCAGGGATCCCCTGTAAGCATGTGATTAGGGTGATTTACCACCAAAGGCTGCAGGCTGTAGATTTTGTGTCACCTTATTTCAAAAGGAGGGCATACAAAAGCACTTATGCTGAGCATATGCACCCAATGCCTGACCAAACCCAGTGGCCTTCTTTCAACCTGCCTGACATACTACCACCCCCCGTGAAACGATCTGCAGGCAGACCTAAGAAGCAGAGAAGAAGAGGTGCAAGTGAAGCAAGAAAAGGGAAGAGGCATAGCACAGTTAAGTGCAGCCTATGCAAGGAGTTGGGGCACAACATGTTGACATGTGCTGCAAAGAAAAAGATTGCAGCAGCTGAAGCAACAACTGCAGCAACCAACAACAATGCAGAAGCTGAAGCAAGCACTTCAAGGTCCAAGAAGAGAGCAAAGAAAGCTGCTTGAGCTCCAAACCCCTACACTTTTCACTGCACAACAACCTAGGTTAATGTAGTCTAGTTGTTGAACAATATAATTCCAATGTGTGCTGTGTTGTGATGGTATTTTTTTGGGAAATATTGTGTAAACTTTAGACAAATACATTGGCAACAGTGGCCTTAATTTTTTGGATGAACATGATTGAAACAGGAAGAAATATATGGAAGACATGTTCAACTAAACACTTTATTCAATTTCATCTCAATTACATGTTGTTCACTTCATCAATACACCTAATTTCAAAACAGAATTTAAAAGTTTTTTAAAGGCTTACATTTATACAAGAACGTGTGTACAACGGCTACTTTGCCCCATCAATAATTCAAAATTGTTAAAAAAAAATAGTCGTTACTTTAGAGGTATATTGTGTAATAACTTTAATAAGTAATGGCATTTGGTGAAATTAGAAAATATTAAGTGGCATTTGGTGAATTAGGAATTCCATTAACGGACTGTTAACGTCCAGGCCTCATTAATGGCACGATGTGACATTTTACTATTTGTGAGTGGCATTTGGTGAATTTTGAAAAGTGCAATGACATTTGATGAATTTTTAAATTTGTTAGTGGCATTTGATGAAATATCCGTTTATTAAAGTATTGGCAAAAGCTAACAAATGTCCCGGATGAGGGCGTTGGATAAGCTAACTAAAAGTATAGAGATTTAAAAATTGACATTAGTTACATAGATCGATGCGTGATTTTGTCATGCTTTCCCAAATTAATACTTCGTACAACTTTAGGTGATATTTTAAATGCTTATTCAACGCCTCCGGACGTTTGTTAGTACGATCCTTTATTATTTTATGTACTTTTTTGTATTAAAAAAGGGGAATTTTAACTTTTGTTTTAGACAAGATTTGGTGCTATTACAGTGATTCTGTACAATTGTACGAGTATTACGGATTTTGATTTGGGTAATTTTAAATGATTAGTTAGAATGGATCTTGATTAGGAAAAAAATATTCAGGAATCTTACCTAAAAAGACGATTGTAACGGAGCATTTAGATTATATTATCAATTGCTTTTAAATCATTTCCAAAATTAATATGACGAATTTAAAGTATTTGTTCTTTTTATGTGTAAAAGAAACCAATCTGGTTAATTTCCGTTCAGTTCAGTTCCCAATTTCCTTTTCTTATAAACAATTCATTTCAGTTCATTTCATTTCAAATCAATTCAGTTTAGTTGTTTTCAGTAAATCAGAACAGGCCCTACAATCGGTTTGCATATGATATTTTCGAAGGGGGAAAAACTTGGTTTACCCATCAAGGTCTTTTGTTTAATTTTATACGAGTATCAAAGTGGCAAAAGTGGGTTAACTTTTGCGCCCATACATGATTAATTGATTATCAATAGTTAGAATTTGTTATATACACCCAATACCATACACCCAATTAACCTTGGCTTAGTTTTTGTTCTTCATTTGGTGACAAAATGAAAAAAAATCATCAAAATGAGAACAAATACTCATAGATATACGGTACACTCGGGGTGTATATAACAAGCTCTCATCAATAGTGGGTCAATGTATCAACCCTTATGGGCTTATGTAGTACGGAGTACATCTACAAAGTAAAAAAGAATTCTCAATCAATAATTGATTAATACAAGTATTTAGAAGTGCGTATACCTAATTCCCAAATGATGTATACTTGTATCAGCCACGAAAATGCCATCGACCTGAACTAGTGGCCTAGTGGGGCTGTAATTTAGATTTTTAATTCCTTCCAAAAAAATCTGTTACAACTTATCCTATAACTAATTCATCAAACTGAACAGCAGTAAACCAGTATTTCATACTGACTATATATATACAAAAATGTATCAGGATATTATATATATTCAATGTTTCACAGTAGAAGAAAAAAGTGTCCGACGAATAGACAATACTCAAAATCTATGGCCGAGTCATAATTCGTTACGATTCCCCTTTTTTGTCAAGAGCTTTGCTAAAATACTGAGGTAAGTTGTAACAAACTAGTCCTAACATCAAAATTGCACTTCCAAGAACGAAGTATGAGCCCAAGCTTGAACTTTCAGGGAGATACGGCAATGGGAGGGAAAGAATATAAATGGAAATTGGCACTGCAAATTAAGAAGAAAATCACACAAGGAAGGTAAATATGAAGTATAAATTAAGAATCGAATTTGTGGAGGGAGAAAAGACAACTTGAGAGCAAAAAGACAACCTGATACCATAGTAACAAGTGAAGACACAACGGCACTTGAAATTTTTAGTAGATTGAGGACTGATATGTTGAATGCTATGTTGCTGACCACATACAGAAGGGGTAGCAGCGGAGCTCCATCACATCCTAAAGAAAAATCCATAGCATTCTAAATTATTTCAAATATATTAAACACTGTATTGGCTATATTAGGTTCTGAATCCGACCCCCCTCCCCCTTTACAAAAATTGTGCTGGTGCATGTGCCTTGACGGACCTCTTCTCAGTCTCTCATTAATCCAAAAAGAAAGAAGAACGTAAGAATTTGTTGGTTGTGAGCACAAAATGAAATTACAAGATCAGTCAGTCATAAAACAGAGAGTATTCTACAACGGATAAGTACACAAACTTGAAAAATGGAATTTAATATAAGATTAGTCTGTTGAATCCTTGAATACTTTTATCAGGTCATTTATTCGTCTCTTTCACAATTCGGGGTTAGAGCAGTTTGCTCACAGCCCAGTTGCTTTACCCCAAAGTGAGTGTCTTACCTTCCTCTTTCCCCATATCATCCAATGATTGGAGTTTGCATAAATTTTTATTTATTTAAAACGAAAAAAAAAAAGGTAAATAAAGACAATTCCTTGCTTCCTTTATGTGGATACACACAAAGAATATCACATTACAGCCTCTATAAAGTGACTAAAGACTAAGTCAAGAATCTAGATAAACAAGACTTACTTCTCGAAAACTGTGAATGGTCACAACTCACAACACCTTTTTTTTTTTTAATCAACCAATTCCATTGTTTCTTTCCTTCTACTTTAACTAATGTTGACTACCAAAACCCATTTTTACACAGTAACTAGTTCAATAACCTCCAAATTAGATCGATGCTCGAAGGACAGGTATGATATTCTATTCAGTCAAGAGAAGTAGAGGACTTGCCTGTGTTATTGGCTCCAATGTTCAATAAGCAACCAGCTCCACTTTTTAGATACTGAGGCAGTTGATCAAATGGTATACCTTTCAAATTTGATAACAATGGGAGCAAAACAAGAACAAAAAGAGCCTAGAATACCCAAATTTAAAACGAAATCGTCAATTTCTAATTTTTAAGAAAAGAATGTACAAGGCATGTAAAATTGTCCTATAATTTAACCATCTGTGAGATTCTGACAAAATTACCTGACAGCCAGATCCAAAGGAGTTAACAACAAATATGTAGACTTCTCCTGCATGATCAGAAAAAATTCTAAATATAAAGGAAAATAGACAAAAGAGCATTCAGATGTCTTCATCATCTGAACAAATAATTCAGGACAAGAAGAGTGTATGAAATCGTAATGACCAATAATACCTTGAGACGCGTTGCAGCATCAACAAATATAAATTCCTGATCACAAAAAATGTATTTTTAGTTTCAAGAACTATTATTGTCACACGTATGGACGTATCACGAGCTGTAGAAACTAACAAAATGAAAAAAGAAATATGACCTTCAAGATAGATGCAGCAGCATGGAAAGCACCTGAAGCAATCATGAGAGCTGGCCATGCAAATGCAATTCCAGAAAGGACTTGGTGACCATCAGACCCACTGCCGCCCAAATAAAAAACAAGAAAAAATAAAAAGTAAATACAGGGATAAGTGACTGCAAATGGTCATTTAGGACACCTGACATACAAAATTGACATCAGTATTTCTTTCTCGCAAACATGAATTCTGCAGTGAAGCATACGAGAACTCATTCACAACTTCCATGATCAAACATACTTCTCAAATGCTAGCATTATAGTGTAAAAAAATATCTGTATTACTGGCAAGTTGCCTATCTATAGCTACTGGCACACAAAAGGCAAGAGTGCAGGACTTATTATTTTACTACATTCAATTACCTATGGAATTATGGAAGTTGTGTGTGTGTGCATACACCTTCAGGAGTGCTGTATGAGAAGTGCAAAGAGTCAAGTTCCAAAGGATAGCTTATTGAACACAATTGTGGTGCATCAAATTAATTAGTTCATGATTGGAATTTTTGGAAATATAGTTGAGAGCTTGAACATGCCTAGAAACTGCAACGACGACACCAGCAGCAACGAGTAAGCAGCCAACTATTTGCATAAATGAATAACGCCAGCCCAAGATGATATAAGAGAGCACAGTTGCCACACCAGAAAAGTCTGTGAGAGGGCACAACATGAGGTAATATCAAAGATCAAATTCAGCTGAGTTTAAGGTCTTCTGTTGTTTAATACATTCAAAAGTTATGACAGGTAAATTTTGCATTAGATATAAAAAAAGCTCTGTTTCAGATCAGAATCACACTGGAAATACATTTACCCTAGCTCTTAGCAAAAAGATACAAGTAATAGTTCAGATATCAGTCCATAGACATTGCAATACAAATCTCAGTTTGGGGATCCAACACTGAAGTTATAGTGCACAGCGTCTATAGTGTCAAGGCTGTAGTAGCCAGTAATTTAAAGCTCTAAGATTTTAAGGCACAACCTCTGCTAAGCCCAAAATACAGATCTGTACCGTCAGCTGCGAGAATTCTGTATGGTTCCATACAGTATGAGTAGAGATAAGTAGGAAGTTACTATAGGTACAATACTTACTTTTGCCTCTTTAAGGGTCAGTAAACATGACTTCCATTAATAACAGCTCACAGAAGCACATATGCTAACTACTTTCATCTGATTACACGATAATTAATAAAATTAATCTACTCAGTATAAATTTATTGATGGCAGCAGTTTGCAAAGCTTGTTGGGTCATAGAGGAATAATAATTTAGTACGAGAACAAAGCCATAACCATATAAATCATAGTAGTACAATCATGAAACCAAACATCTACTTCACTTGCAACTTACTCAATTTACCTGATGCAGAATTGGTATCACTGGGCCAGGAATCATGGCTGCAGAAAAAAAATGGTACTGGTATAAGAAAAATGGTGACTAAGGAAAGACCTTGGGCAGGCAGCTGATCTAGCCTTGTGTACACATAACCACAGACGGAACCAGAGGACAAAGACTGGGAGGGAGTGGACCATGTTTGCTTTTTACGAAGTTAATCTAACTAATTGAACACAATACAAAGGAGTGAATGGCATTCTAGATTGCAGTTTTCAATAGACATACTGAGAAACAAGAACAAGATGAATAAGGTGAAATACTATATATATTGAATATTTTACTATCCCTTTGCCACAAAATGCTTCTAAAGAGGTTTCCACCTATAGCAGATTAGAGAGCAATGAAGTCAAAACCGTAAAATGATGCAGCCTTATCCTGGTTGCAATGAGGTTGTTTGGAACGCAATATTAGAAATTAAGGAACATCGGTAACTGATTCTCATACAAACCCATGAAAACTACCATTCACTACAAGTATCTAGTGAACAAGTCAATCAGTCAGCTGTACCTGCAGATGCCATGCCACCAGCAAGACCAAGTGCTTCAAGAAGACCAATGAGCACAAAACGAGATTTCGGAAATAGCTAGCATTTCATCAGTCACTATGCCTGCACGGTGTCGTATGAACAATATAGCAAAGTAAATAGCCACATACCTGTGTTGCATAAATCAGAAATTCAGAACCTCTTGTAAGACCTTACTACTTACAAGTTACAACCGCACTCAATCACAATACACAAGAAACAACATTCATAACAAAATCAATCTTTAGAGTCGTTCATTTATCACAATCAACGTTGCGTGGATGTCAACTAGCTTAATTGATTAATGTCGTGGACTCGTGGGGGCAACCCCCTTAATCCCGTCTACATCATAACCTTTGTGACTCTAGGCACCCTTCTCTATACTGCTATACCATATATAACAATGCCAAAATCAGCAATTAAGCCTTAATTCTATCATTAAATTGAAGTTCATGACAAGCGATCACCATAATTACTAAACTCATCAAAAGTATTGAAAACATAAAAATCAGTAAAAATGACAATTAATCAAGTCTAATAAAATTAGCGGTTACCCATAATCCAAAAGAATGCAAATAATAAAGGGGTGCAAAAGAAGTTACCCAAAAGTGATGAATTGAGCCAAGAAAAAGGGGTAATTCTGAAGAGGAACAAGAGCAAGCTTGTAAAAAACCCTGTTAGAAACCGCTAAAATGGCGGTAACAATTGCCCAGAAAACAATTGATTTTGTACTGCTAGTATTTGAAGAAGAAGATACAGGCTTACTAGAAGAAGCATTGACTCTAAATTTGAACTGGGTATTTGAGAAAGAAGGTGAAAAGGGGGGTTTAATTGGGGGACGATTTCTGAGAAGATGGTGATTTCGGAGGAGAGAGAAAGTGGGCATTTTAATGAAAGATGGGGTTATGGAGGAGAGAGAAAGTGAGTTTTGGGGAGGTGTTGTAATGGAGGAGAGTTTATGATGATGGAAGAAGTGTAATGATAGCGCCATTGAAATTGGTAAGAGTATGGTTTCAGACTTTCAGGAAGGAAGAGTGGGGAAAGTTGTTTTGCTTACAATGTGCTGTGCTGTGGCCTGTGGATACTGTGCTCCTGTTTCATTAGGAGGTATCGATCCATTAAGAAAAGTCATGCGACATCTATAAAAAGAACGGGAAAAAATTGAATTTTAATGAAAAGTTAAATAACGCGCACATTTAAACATGACTAGACGAAACTACGGTCACCTACTAACTTAATCTACTAGAAACATTTTTCTTCCAACAAGCCACCACCGACCAACGGTAAGCTAATCATCGGAGTTTAAATCTTGTTTTTTTCATTTTTCATTTTTTAATTTTTGGGTGTAAACCAAACGCCTGTTTTTTTCTAAAATCCGAGGAGGAAATGTCTAGAATTTTCGAAATTCCAAGACTGAAATGAAAATTCTAGGCGTTTCTCTTCCTGAAATTTCGAAAATTCTAGACATTTCTTTTACGGTTATTGATTATATCTTAACCTTTGAATACATCAGATTACTAACATTGTTATTAAAAAATACAAAAAAGTAATTCTAATTTAGTCTATGCTTATCCTAATGTGAAAACCATAATTTCATGATTTATCTCGCGAAGACTTATGAATTAAATAGTTGAAGAACATTGTGTTAATAATGATTAATCAATGCTTAATATTTTTACTTTAACTTGTTAACGATTCAATGTTAATGGATCCTGAGATGTTCTAGCTTAATACTTCGTATTAAAAAATTTCAATCGTGAAAAAAACAAAAAAATTGGGGTCATTTTTAGGCATTTATACAAGCAAACAAGACAGTGGAAGTCATGGAACTATTTAAACTCCAAAAAAACTTGGTTTTATATACTACGTACATTAGTTATAAAACCAATTGGCTGATTAATTGATTAACGCTTTCCCTTTATTAATCAAAGCTTTTTCTTATAATAAGTCTTACATTTCGCGCTCTCAAAGCTATGAAAAAATAAGATTAACTTTATATAATACCTTCAGCTAAATGCAAATTGGCAAGAACAAAAACTGCCAAGTACTCGTATCAATTATATAGGTGGACAAATTAATAGAACTGTACATTATATTAACAATTTTACCAACTCAAAAGTCCACATTCCAACTTGCCCTCCCAATTACAGCTCAATAATAACTAAGGAAACAATTTTTATCTACAGTAACTCTCGTTCCCACTACCCATAATAAATCAAGATTCTTAGCCAAATCCGAATCCCTCGCTAGCTTCATGGATCGCGAGCAGTAACCTCTCCTGCAGATGTTCTTTAGAAGGATACTCTGGTAGATCCAACTGGTTGAAGCTGTTTAAGATTTAAAATCAAAGTTTTAGAGTCATGTACAACAAATATAAACACATCTTACAATGGGACAAATGAATAAGTTTGAGCAAGAGTTTTTTTTTACCATGTATGCGCAGATGGTAAATGATCTGCACTTCCATATGCTTTGTGTATTTGAAACTTTTGTGCGCCTGAAATGCCTTGAAGGGCACTGAAACCTTCAAGAGGAACCTGAAAGAATAATAGATGGTATCATAATTAGATCAAAAACCATTGCAAGAAGACAAGGTCTAAAATGATATAACAAAAGGAATCACCCCACAACTTTGGGGCAATCCAACCAAAGAGCCAAATCTAAACCATGCAAATATAGTTTTAAGAAAAATAATTACCTTGGAAGTGCCAGTAACAAATTGCAGCAAGCGTGCCTTATCTTCCTTGCTAAATCCCTGGACCACTTCCCAGAACCACTGAATAACCGGAGATGCAGGACTGTACCCAGAATATTCAGTCTTCGCTCTCATATCCTCCACTGCGAAACAACAAATATGGATGGTAAGAGACCAGAAAGAAAGACACTAAAGAGAATTTCTTTGGGCCTAGGATGCGTGGTTAAAGAACACAATACTTACAATCAATATCTGGAAGCCCACTTATCAATAATTCAAGTTCTTTGTCATTGAAAATAGATATGAGGTCTCGAGCAATCAGCTCAGTGAATCCATCCAAGAAAGCATTAATTTGAGGACGAATTGCAGTTGTCAATCTGTGTTCCGCAACTAAATCTACATATTGATGCTTATTCTCCTCTGTGACTTTAATGTTTCGTCCACCAGGAATTAGCTCATAATCCGTCACCTGTATTTTTTAAGCCAAGTCTAAATGTTAAAACCTTATCTTTGACAGGGAAAAAATAAAAAACAAACCCACACACACACATGGTAAATAGAGAAGATTCATACCTGTGTCCTTTCATACAATATCAGCTTCTCCTCATCAGCATCAATGCTGAAAGTAAGGTCTAGCACATCGCTTATATCATGCTGCAGAAACATAGAGATGATAAGAAAGCCATTCTAAAAAGGCAAAAAGAAATACGAAGGGGGTAATAGAAGCAAAGGAAACTTTCACTTGTGACTTATAAAAAGAACACAGCAATAAAAGACATATACCTCAAGCATCCATTTAAGATTTTTGCAGTAGTCTGGATCAATGGCTTCTATGTCATGATAAGTCACTTTAACACCAAGGATATGCTTGTAAAATGAGCGAGTAAAATGAACATCCAAAAGCTGACCATCGAACAGGGCTTTGCCAACCTGTAATGTTTCATGTAGCTCAGCACCAATAAACTAAGTAAATGACACAAATTTGCATGGATGAAGAAAGTAAACTTACAACTCGCCCAACAAATTTGAAGTACGATAGATGCTCAGTCTGATACACAGAATTTGGGTTTGGCTGAAAGGTAGAATCATTGCCCACGGTAGTGAACAATAATGCACCTTTGTCAAAGATAACCCGGGACAATGACTGATACCATTCCCTAGTAAGCCCTCCGGCATCAATACCTTCCTCTCCCTGGAAATGCACAGTCAACCTTCCCTTCAATTCTTGGGTAGACCTCATTCGCAGTTGATTGTATGAATCTTCAAGAATGTACGCTCTTCTCACTGAAATCCTCAAAGGACTGTGATGATGGTCATGTTGATGCTTTATCTTTGATCTAAAGTGAGCACGTTTGTTATCAAAATCAATGAAACGAGGAACCTTTATCATCAAGGAAAAGGACTTTTCAAGCAGCCCAGGGTTCTGCCGTATAAAAGCATTCAACAACTTTCGATGCTTCTCAGTGAACTTCACAAAAGCAGCACGCTTCTCATCAACACAGGAGACAGGGCCTAATACCTGCTGCTTGCTAGCAGAAGTACTGGCATCATCTACTTCTGGAACGGCAGCAACAGTAAAGTCCTGACTTGCACCAGGCTGTCCAGGGTATATTTTCTCACACGTCACAAAGAAAGATTCAATGTAAGGCAGGACATTTTGGCTGCCAGCGGGGAGAGGTGGGCTTGCAGGGGAAGGTTTAGATTTGACAGCTAGAGATGGAGGTAGTTCAAGACCAGACTCCGAATAAACCTCTATTATGCTTATGCAACTGCTCAGCTCCAGCCATAAGGGTTCCAAAACAGAGTTGATTTTGCTAACAAGAGAAAGGGCAACACTGTGATCCTTTCCAACATCATTTTGCTGATCTTCTTGCTTCTCATTCACAGAGGAAACAAGAGAGCTAAGAGCCTGCAACACCCTCAGTATTGCTGCTCCGTCAGAAGAGGTAGAATGTAGGAGTGCTCCTTCAGCCTCTCCAAAGGAATGCAACTCTTCCATGGCAGATTGACTTAAATTTTGCACTGAGTTTGCAAGCTCAGTTATGAATAAATGACAATGAGATGGAGTATAAGCCACCAATTTCTTCAGCACATCAGCAACAAGTGCATAAGCATTATCTGACAAACTGTATAAAACCTTGTGTTATTTTAAAAAGCAAAAAGGAAACTCAAATGAGCTCGGTAGAAATGCAGAGCAACAAAAGATACACACGTCAAAGATATTGTGCAAAGTGACCATTCTCCGAAAGCCAACAAGGAATAGTGAAGAATGAGAAGCATACAATTATGGTGAGCAATGGAACCACAAGTGACACAACCTTATGAATTTTTAATTTCACAAAACAGAAGGAAATTTATGAAATTAAAAAAGGATTTGAAGAACTTACCCCTCAGTTGCAAGTAAAGAGCATAACAGCCTAAGATCAGACTGAGGAAGGCTAAGCAGAGCAGACTGAGCATCATATGCCTCACTTAAACCAGAAACTGAAGGTACCATAGACTCATCAACTTTAGATTCCACATTGACTTCAGAAGAAATTGCTCTTGAATCAGTAGGTTGCATCTCAGCATCGGTTGTAGGTACCTCAGAAGAGCCAGACGGCTGTTCTGGAGCAGGTAATGCAGGTTTATTTTGACTAGATTTACTTCCAGCATTGTCAATTATAACATCCAGTAGGCTTAAGAGCTGGCATGAAATAGAAAACATCATTATCAGACCAGCAAAACTAAAGCAAAAGATATAAATGAGACTAACACAGAAATTCCATCAACGTAATATCTTCACCTGTTCTAAGTGCGCATTGCTCCTCAAATAAAGAGGTTGATTCAAAAGACCCAATAACAGAGCAACAGAATGCAACTCCTCATGCGCCTCAGCATTTTGAGCATCAACAATCATCAATGCTTTACCGTGCACTTTATCTGCATTCTCAAATGCACAATGAGACAGAAGTGGCAGTCTAAGTTCGAGCAGAATCTTGGCAACAAAGGGATGATTTCGAGCCAGGTAGGTTAGAGTTTCAAGAACTCGCCGAGAAACCAAAGGAGGGACTCCTAATCACCACATGAAAGACCATACAATTAGAGGAAGGAAAAGAAAAAGAAAGAAAAAAGCAATTCAAAATGTGAAACTTCATATCAAAACAAAAATGGAATAAAGTGAACATTCGCATGTACAGGAATTTGAACAGTCTACAAATTCAAGTTCCGATTACAATTATACAGTGGGTCTTCTGGCAAACACATCCACGTAGAATCAAATCAAACAGAAGCAAGCAAAGCTCCATTAGTAAATAAATAAGTTCCATCAGTAAAATTACAACAAGTCTTACCATCAACAAACTGAGGGCGTGAATACATCACATGGCTTTGGCAAGCATACAGCCGATATAAAGGCTCAGCATCATTTTGCTGATTGCCCAGCTTATGCTCATCAAGCATCAGCATCTCCATCAAAATTTTAACTAATGCAGTCCTGGTCTCGGAATGAGCACACAGATTCAAAAGAAGTCTCTGAAATGAGCCTTTATAGACTTGCTGCAAAGAAATAAACATTAGAATCTTTCAAAAACTAACAAATAAAAAATTTCAGAAATTTCAACGAAGCATAACACACCTGAACAACACGCAGCAGCCTTATCATTCCCTTAAGAGCATCCGTATCAACTAAGGGAGCACCATCAGCTTCAAGTAGTCTACCTCCAACTGAACGACGTGAAGCAACCGTACCAACAGCTCTGTCCAGGCCAGTTCCTTCACCTCTTCTGGAAGACTCGCCTCTTCGGCTTCTTGGGTACATACCAAATAGTGTGCGACTGTGATAACGGTGAGCAAATCTTTCACGTAACATGTTTGCCTCAGCAACAAGAGCAGGAGTTAAATTTGCCAGCACAGCATCAGAAGATGTTAAAAGGACCTGGCAAAAATGTGAATTTATAAAGATGAAAACATGACAATCAGCACTTAAATTACTCTTTTAAAGAGATCTGCTAATTTACCTCTTCTCTGAGTTCTGAAGGAAAGGTAGCAATTATTGAAACAGTATCCATCTCAACGGGTTGCCCTTCCAGCTCCTGGGATTGATGTAGCCTCTGTGCCTGCTGCTGCGCAAGAACTTCAGCTCGAATATCTGCCGGCAGTGCGGCAAGAAATTCAGGATCGATATCTCCAGTATTCTGCTGCTCAGCATTAGCAGGCTGCGTAACCTGACCTTGCTGGGCAGATAAAACTTCAGCTCGCAACTCTTCTGGAAGTGCATCAAGGAATGCAGGATCAATTGAACCAGACTCACCATCACCCGTCGTTTGCCCCCCATCACCAGGAACACCTTCCTCAGCCTCCTGATTAGGGTTTTCTGCAACTTCACTTAAACTATGAAGTGGTGTATCCCTGCCACCAGCAGGGGTAGTCGCACCAAACGAAACAGTGTTTCTCCTGGTCCGAGTTCCCAGTGACTCACCCAATGGCATTCTGTCAGCAGAACCTTGTCTGTCTGCTCCATCATCATGACCATCAGCACTCCCGATTTCAACATCAAGGCTTCGGAGACTTTCTCCCAAAGTTGCCCCACTGCCACCACTTTCTTGGCTCACTGCCTCAACATCTCGAACTGCCGCATCATTATGTTCAAATTGCAAATCAACAGACTGAGACACTGCACATGGCTCATCAGTTCCTTGATGAGGTGTAATTGACCCCAATCTATTATCAGAATTAGAGCTGTCCATTGCTTCAGATGATGGTACGGGAGGATAAGAACTTTGGTCATTTGCATTATTCTCAACTGGAGTATCTTCCCTCATACTTGTTTCAGATGGTTGCAGCTTGCCAGCATCAATCTTTCTCTCAGAGTCAACACTGGTCCTGTTTTCATCAGAAGGCTTCTCCGTCTCTGGCCTCCTCAGCTGTGACACAATAAACTCCTCCAAGCCTTGTGGTATAGCAGTTGAACTAGAACCACCACCTTGCTCATTATCATCAAGCCACAAATTGAACCGGTGACTTTGACGTCCATTTCGCGCAGAACGAAATATAGTGTCTAGCCGAGAAGATGCACTTTCCAAGTTTCTATCAGAAAACAACAGATCACTTGTATTTTCTGAAAGTCAAAGCATGTGTTAAAGTCTACACTAAGAAAAATAAGATAACCAATCAACTGTGGAAGCCAAAAAAAAAAAATCAAATGCAACACCAATCTACCTGAAGCCCTAGAAGTCGTCGAAGTTGAAGAAGGGTGGGACTCAACGAGCAATGGATGTTGAGACGGCGCAGTGTTTTCACTTCGTCCAAGAAGATTGTATATGGAAGTAGAACGCCCTTGGCGCCTAGAGCCAAATAATTCTACAGGCATCACTTGCAGAGTTTCATTTGCAAAACTGTGATCTCTACCAAAAACCTCTATGTGATCAAGTAAATTGATCCCATTGATGCCTTCCTCCAACCGAAGTATGAGTCCATCTTCATCATCTTCATCCTCCTCATCTTCTTCCTCCAAAACTTCATCATCAAACTCATCTTCATCCATCTCATGGTCATCCTGATCAGTATCTGGATGGGGAAGGTGGTGATCCTCATCTTCTTCCAAATCATTATGCTCATCTTCATCTTCATCATCTTCATCATCATCTCCATCATCCGCATCATCTACAGACATCTCATCATCGTCGTCGTCATCTAGAGTTTCTTGTCCATCTGGTTGAATTTCAATTCTAATTCCTACATTAGCAACCCCATTCTCAAGGCCCCTTCCATCACCTGGTGTGTCATGCATGTAATCATCTTCGTTTGGAGCAAAGCCTCCATCAAGATCCTGGTCATGCTCCATATCATCTGTTACAGCCTCAGAGCCACCATACATATGCCCAACGCTAAAAGAATCGCCTCGAACATCAGTAACAGAATTATCATTCTCTTGAGAAGCAGCTGCTATAGCTTGCACACCATCGCTACTATTTTCAATTCTCTCATGCAAATTAATATCAGAGGGTTTGGCAGAGCCCTCATTCTTACCTGCATGAGCATCAGCAGAATGTATATATTCCTTTGTCACCAATTCTAATGCTTTGGTGAGTCCAGTAACAACAGTTAATGAGTCACCCAAGTCAAGGTCCAACACTTGTAGGGTACGAGTCAATGATCTGACCAAACCAACATCAATGAAAGTAGCAGAAGCTTCTGATGAGGTATATGAACCAGATGGGGATCGAGCACCGAGCACATCATTTATAAGTTCAATAAAGGCCAAAATTTCATTGCCTGGTGAATTGAAACCCTCAGAAGATTCCACAAAGTCATTGAAAACTGAATTAATCTCTGTAAATATTCTCTTCCTTGCCTCAGCAGACCGCACACATGCAGCTACCAAAAATTGACTGGCCCTGGTTGCAAGCTTGTGCTTCCAGTCACCATCTAATTTCTTTTCTTTTTTGGGTCTTTTAGAGTAGGGGACAAATTTGTGCAGAACATGGAAAAATAATCCCCCAGAGGTGCATCCAGAAGAGCCATGCTGTGGCAGGTTCTTGCAGCTACTAATTTCAACATCCTTCCGCAACAAAACATGCACAGAAGCAGAATATGTGACAAGAATCTCTGTGAGAAGCTTTAACATAAACACAATTTTGGCCAGTGAAGCAGAAACATCCTGGTTTTGTGCTTCATTTTCTTCAGATTCAATCACAGGAGCCTTTCCTTTTCCTTTATATGTAGCAACATCGATGTCCATTTTAGTTGTGGACTGTGTACCCGAAGCTCCAGGTAAGGAATCATCTTTCTTAGGGGGTTCAAACGTTACAACTCTATCCAGGAGAAGTTCGATTACATTGATGAAGCTTTGGGGAGGTTTCCTGTGAGCCTTAAAACTCTTGGATTCCTGAAGCTTCCCTTGCCCACCTCCTAACACCACAGGAGAAAGACCACCAGGATTAGGCTTCGCATCAATACCCAATGGTTTATCCTTCTCAGATGTTTTTTCCTTTTCTTTCTCCTTGTCCTTAAGTTTATCCTTCTCACGATCTTTCAGTAATACAATATATGGCCTGTCACCAACCATCCCAACTTGACAAACAGACTGTGCAGCCCTCATGAATACCACAGGGTCTCTAGATATCACGGATGTCAAATTTGACAGAAAGTTGCGGACAGTAAGCCTTCCACTAGATTGTCTGTTTGTTGCAGTAACAATATTGTGTCTTATCTCAGACTCCATTGCCTGCTGAAGGGTCTGAGGATCTTCAAGAATATGACGGATGATAGTAGATGCAATATTGTCAAAACCAGAGAACAGGCTGCTCGTCGGTAGATTGAGAAGCAAAGGAAGACCCCCCGCATCAAGAAAATTAACAGCAACAGAGTGGATTCGTGTCAGTGTCGCACATAGCTGGAGAACAGCATGCATTGTCTCTGAGGGCATTTGTTTCCTAATACAGCTACAAGCAACCTCAATAAGCCTCTTCTGCTGATCAGAATCAACACGCGGTTGTAATGATTCCAGCGGCTTATTTTGCTTATCCTCATCAATAATGACTGGTTTCTGCTGGCCACTCTCAGTGTTCCTCTTCAACAATTCAATAACCTCTGGATTCAGCTTCTGATCAACTTGTAACAAACGATCAACAGCAAGAAATGCAGCTGTTACCCATTTAGGAACATGTGCTTCTATCCCACCAGTTGATCCCCCATCCCATTGCCACAATACATCAGAGACAAGCTCAACCAAGCCATTTTTCAGACAAGTTTCTCGGGACACAGCATCTTCATGGAGAATCAAAGCAAGAACATGAAACAACGCAGACAGCATAGAGCTATTCCCACCATCTGTTACAGAGTTACATTTCTTTATCTGGTTAACAATAAAGGAGATAACATTAGGTCTGTATTGACCATTGTTCTGGGAGCACATTGTCATAAGCAAGTCTCGAACTGGAAATGCTAGGGATTCCTTTGACTGCAAAAGCTTAATACAAGTCAACAACAATTCATCAATTGGTGGAAGCTGTGCCATCTCTTCTTCAAAATTTTGATTGCTTTCAATCACAGCATCTTCTTTTGATTCTGACTCCGGGTTTCCCAGAGACATAGCAAGTGCACGAGCAAGCTCATCATCTTCTTGGACTTCCTCTGGATGATTGAACAGCCAATCCATTGCCAACTCAACACTGTTGGCTCCAACTTGTCTCAGAGATTCTTCAGCTCTGGCCCTTGAAAACCCCATATCTACAATTGTTGCAATAACTGCTTCATTTAAAGGTGGACCAGTTACACGGTTGCTGCTGCTACTACTACTGACATTTTTCACTTCAACTCCAGAATATATATGCCTAATAATAGAGATAATTGAAGTGATGAATTCATAGCTGCAATCAACAAATTGTGGATCGTTCCATACTGGAAGCACAGCCTTCAGGACTATAGACTGTAGAACCTTGACAAATGTCTCAGCATCCGGTGGAAATGGAATAGTACCACTAGATAAAGCTTGAACAAGCAAGTGTTTAGTAAAGGGAGACAGTATATATGATGAGGTGACCAGGTGATCCATCAGCTTCCCATAGCTAGCAAGAGGTCCATAGAGCCATGAATGCTCAGACTCTTCCTTTTTCTCGTGTTTCAGATTTCCATCATCTGTCTCCATAGGTGATGCAGGGACCGTAAACAGCAATTTGCTTGTAGCTTCAAATGTCGTCAACACAGACTGAATGACACCTTGCCCATACAAGCAATTTAACAGTACAGGATTACAGGAATCATGCCTGTCCATTAAGATGCCATCAATGAAATCCACAACCTTGCCAAAGTATCGGCACTTGCTGAATACTGATGCTTCAGATCCAGAAGGGCTCATATGACCCCCAAAATTCATATGTTCCAGACAGATAGAGGAAAAGGTAGATACTACAGCTTTAGAAGAAGGTGATATATTAACAGCATCCTCACGTCGACGAGAAGGCAACATCATTGACTTCCCCAATTCTTGAAGTAGATGCATAATGTGTAATACAAGTGATCTGACCATATCGCAACAAGATGAAAAATAATTTTTCTGCTTATCCTCCTCCCTCCTAGAAGCACTATCAGTATCTGAACCACCTGACTCACGTGATTGCTGGCTGCTTCCCAGACGTAGGTTTGAGCCATCAGAAGTACTTCTTTGAATCCCACTTGCTCTACCAAGATCTCTGTAGAGATTAATAAGATCAAAAAACTGGGACTCAACACTCCAACCAGACATCCTTCTTCTGAATAGTGGATCAAGCAACTGCCTAAAAGAAGTGACTCTCTGTTCCTCAGTCCCGCCAGAACTAGATACCTGCTGTGATTCTGGTGCAGAAACAGAATCAGCACCTTCTTGTACATCTACTTTAGCATCCTCAAGAAGTGCAAGCTGCCATAAACATTCACGATGCACTCTCCCAATATCTTCCAATACATCCTTGTTATCACCACCAAATTCTGTAAGCAATGCGGATATCCACCGATTTTCTTTTGCAGCAGCGAGAAATAGAAGAAATTCAACAAGAAACAATGAAGAGAAAACTCCATCGTCAAGTTTAGCCTTAGAATCCAACAAGAATGACCCTCCAACCAGACTAAATCCAGTCAAAGCCTTCTTTAAATGATCCCTCAAAAATGAACAGAAAGTACGAGCTAGCGGAGTAGAGTGATGCTGGGTGAAGCCCTTGAAAACCATGGTGCTGTGCAAAGCAATAGCCATCCCCTCAGAGGATTGGGCGATACTAGGCCGGAGTAAAAGCTTCAACAAAGCATCAATACCAGACTTCTCTACAAACAACCGACAAGTTTCTGAATTCTCCATTGTCCTGTGAATCAGCACCATTACATGGAAGACACTCAAGTTAATGAACTGCTCATCAGTAATCCCCTCCCCAGCAGGATCAGGAGAAAAAATACTGGAAGAGCTTTCACTTCCACTTGCTTTCGCTCCAGAATCCATTTCCATAGAATTGCCCTTGTTGACCTTTTCAGATGAGCCTGAAGAGCTGCCCTCCCCAAAAGAAGAGATTTTGTTGATAATCTCAATAATAATATCAACCCCGGTGCTTCTGAGTGAAGATACATGACGCAACAGCTCTTCCACACCATTTGCCAAAGGAACAATAGCTTCATTCATAGCAACAACATATTTCTTGCATGTGAAAATATCCAGAAGAAAACGCAATGCAGAACTTTCATTAACTGCCTCCAAACCTTTGGTATTAAGGCAAATAGCACCCAAGCCACTAGGCACGCATGTGAGAGCCTTCGAAGAAGGTAGTACACCAGCAACAACTGAAGATAAAAATGCATCTGGCAGACCAAATTCATGTAAAATAGGGAAACAAGTGGGGTCTTTATGGAGGATTTCGCTCATAACGGTAACAGCTGAGCAATAAATATCACCACCAAATTTCCCAACATTACCAAATATCAAAGCAAAAGTGGATGGCAAGGTACTATCATGAGAACTCTGGGAGCTGGATGCGTTTGTAGGAGCATAGGTCGCTGACCCAAGAGCCTTCAACAAAGCCCTAATGAGCCTCTTCTGACCATATAAATGATCCTCACAAGAGCTTGAACCCTCACCCAAAACCATCACAGTATCATCTGAACCAGCTGTACCAATTACTCTTTGAACCTCTATATGCAGTCTCTGGGCTAAAAGTTCAACACCTCCCGAATCTTTCAAAAGGGTAACAGCTGCATTACTGTAATCCATCAGCTTCTGAAGAGTTTTCACAGCATAACAGACAAGGTGCATATGTGCAGGATCCGAATCCTCCAAAAGAGGCAAAAATGTTGGAACCATTCCCGAGCCACGGATGATGCTCCCCGAACTTGAAGTAGATATAACATGAAGCAGATAGAATTGCAGAAGTGCCTCAACAAAAGCAAGAGATGAAGGATCATTAGAATTCTTCAAAGACAAAATTGCCTTCTGAAGTACATTCAGAAGAATCATTCGGTTTCCCCCAGCAAAATTAATGCTTGAACCACTCAGCATCCTGGCTCGATCATGAGATGATGAATATGCAGCCAATTGAGCTCCCAATGCAAGCATAGCAAGTGTTCTGACAGTTCCAGAAATAGTTTCCTCAGATCGAACTATCTTTATTAGCTCGTTAGTATATTCCGGCTCGTTAGCAAAAAAAGGCACAAGCTCGTCATTTGCATCGTTAGACTGCACAAGCACAATAAAAGCAAGAAGGCAAATTCTACTGTACAATCTGCCTAATCTGGGAGAACGAAAAGCATGTGCATATCTGATTCTTGTGAGCAGCGAGAATCTCTGCTCAATTGGTACATTATACTGCTCAATGCACTGCTTAAGGAGCAAAAGATCATCCTCTTTCCTTAAATGCAGATCTGGCATATGAATCATGGTTGAACTAGAAGATTTTACATCACTACTGCTTTCCCCACTTCTTTGAGGACTAACCCCGTGCAATTCAAAGTACAAGGTCGAGCCTAGACGAGTTTGAGACTTTTCATCTTTGTCCTGTGCGTCAGAGGGAAATAAAGATAATCCCTCTTCTCGACTCTTCTCATTTGCCACAACACATGAATACAAACCCAGGCCTTCTTCCTTGCTCCCCCATCCCTGGGCTAGTGACAATAGGCAACTATTGATAGAGCCAAGTCCAATCATCTTTCCACTTACATGCAGCTTAGAGGGAGGTATTTTTACTAGTGCAGAAAGAGTCTCTAATGTGGCCAAAAGAACCTCAGGATCTGTTGATGCAAGAAGAAACTTGAAATGCTGTCCAGAAAACAATAACAGTAAACAAAATTAGTTGGATCAAATGTAATAAAAACTGCTGATATAAACAGATAAACTAATAAACTTCACAGTACCTCTAGACCATCAAATGAACCCTTATTGTGACAGTTCTCAAGGATGATTTGCATCACCCTCAAGATCTGCAAAACAGCATGCTTTGGAAATGGGGCCTCATCCTCTGTAATAGTATCTGAGAGGAGGAGGTCATTCCTTTGAATTAGATATGCCTTGAAGTATGTATCAAAGTGATGAAACAGTGGTCTCCAATGATGAAAATTCCCCTAAAAAGACAGGAAAAGGAAAGTTGAGGCAAGCATCATACACAAATGTAAAAACATCATTTCAAATAGTACAAAGAACCACCTTGTTGTACTCCCAGCGAAAACCAGACAATGGAATTGCCAGGTCTTGCAATGGACTCTGAATAACCTTGTCAATAAATGCTTTGATTTTAGGAGGCTGCAAGGGAAAAAAAAAAGATCGAATCAACAAAACCCACCATTGAGATCATTTAACTGATTTGAGAATACAACAATATCAAATCATAGTTGGTAAAAAGTCTCCGCCTAAAGCCTTGGGCAGTAAGCATTAATGACCTCCACAATATTACCCAATCTTTCTAATATCAACAGTTCTGACTTATAAGAAAGCCTTGGCTAGTTCAAAGTGAATGAAAATGTGACACAATGAGAAAACAGAAAATCCAGATTATCATTTAAATTACAGTAAGAAATTAAACAAAAAGATAGAATTCATCATACAACTATTGTAAACAGAAGGAATGAGCTGAAACTAGGTATTGATCATACAGCTTTCGCACAAGACCAAAATAAAGCTTAAGCAGAATAATAAAGCTGCAAATACGCATTGATCATACATTTTCCATGTAAAAACACCAAGATAAATTCATTACTACACGGAAGACCTCACGGAAACAAATTCGTCCAATTTATTCAGTATAAGATCTCATCCATTCAAATGTATCCTTATAACGACTCCGTATTACGAAAACAAGATAAACACAAGTTCCTATCAATCTAATCAATTATTAAACAAGATTCAGAATCTTCACCTTCCCACATTGATCACGATGCGAAAAAACAATGGTAAAAACTATCTTCATCCTTTTATAAAATCTTGACACACATGGAAAATTTATCACATAGCTGCAATTAATCTGATCCATAAGTTTAGTCAATTGCCTCAGCCATCTTCACCTACTATTGTGGGGTGCACCGTGCACTAAAATCTAATTTACAAATTTAATAATCTAAACCAGACAATTTTCACACCATTTCATTTTACAATTATAATAACAAATTACTCAAATACCAAACATATATATCTATCCTGCCGCGCTATTTCAAATCCAGGCACCATTTTACATTTGCACAGATAGATTTCAATTCACCAATAAGAAGATTCTTCCACAGTGTTTTGAATGTTAATTCAACAAGCAAAGCAGTTGTTTTTATACAAGACTGATATGAAGCAAAAAAATATATTTAATTACAAAGTCACATACAAAAACCCACTAAAAGTTTTAAATTTGTTACATTTTGATAAAAGCACAATCAACCCAATACATTAAACTGCCAATTAATCAACTAATTTCCAAAACCCTTACAATTAACTAATTAGTAAACCCTAACAAACAACCCAATCAAAAATCCTTAAAGGAAAAAAAAAAAACCCTAAATCAGCAATCAATGCCCAAAAACCCTAGTACAAAAACAAATCAAAAATTCATAAAAACAACAGCAAAATCAAATAAACTAACCGTCTCAGAATCAAGTTGAACAGAAGGACCAAAAGATCCTTCATTAGAAAAGAGCTGCCGAAGCCGCGACGGCAAACTCGATCTTAAGGTAGCCATTTCTGCAAAATCCAAACTTCCCTTGATTAATTTCTCTATAATCAACCAAAAAAACACCCCAGAAATCAAAAATTAAAATCACAATCAAACTTCATAAATTAATCATCAATTCCAAAAATATAAACCCACAAATAAAAAACCCAAAAAATGAGGATAGATAAAATTAAAGAGTCAAAAGAAGAGTACCAAAGATTATGAAGAAGATGAAGATGCATACACATCCGAAATTTGTTCTTGGATTTTCGACTATACAAGAATAGAGAGAGAAAAAGAGGAGAGAGAAACAGAAGAGGCGGAACACCAAAGCAAAATGGAGGAGAGAGAAAGAGAAAAATGGTGTTTCTGTTTCTTGGTTTTTTCTTTTCCTTTTCCTTTTCTTTTTCTTTTCTCTTTTTTTTTTGTTTTTTTTTTTGGAGTTTTTTAAAAAGAAAAGAAAAATGTTTATTTGAAAATGAATGACATTTTAGGTTTTATTTATGAGCCCTTTCTCTAAATAATGTTGGGAAATTATCTAATTTCTAAATTACAGCTAGTCTTTTTTTAATTCCCACCGTACCGTCCACGTCAGCTAAGGAAATCAAACCGGTTTTTTTTTCTCGGTCCACCAACAAACCGCTATTTGAAGTATCGGTGTTATAAGAATAAACCGCTACTTGAAGTAGCGGTTTTAATTTCATAAACTGCTACTTCAAGTAGCGGTTTTACTCAGAACACTGCTACTTGAAGTAGCGGTTTCCCTCGCAAGTCGCAACTATCGAAGCTTTGTTTTTTTTTTCGTGAATTGCTTCCTGAAGGATTAAAAGTGATTTTGTAGAAAAAAAAATTACTTTAATCGAAACCACTACTTGAAGAAAGTAGCGGTTTTTATCTTAGACACCGCTACTTGAAGTAGCGGTTTTTACCTTAGACACCGCTACTTGAAGTAGCGGTTTATTAAAAAAACCGTAAAAAAAAATAATTTCTCTGAACCGGTGACGTGGACGATACGGTGGGAATTAAATAAAAAGTGACCGTATATTGGGAATTGGAGTTTTTCCCAACATTATTTTGGGAAAGGGCTCTTTATTTATATAGTTTTATGAAAAAAAAATGAAGAGTTAAGAAAATATTAAGATTAGAGTCGGTTTAAATGGGAAATTAGGGTTATTACTATGAGTTGTAAATTTTTAGTATACTTTTTAAGGTTATTCTAAAAGTTTCTTGAAGTTAGGTCATAAATTTGTGTTTGTATGTTTTCTAGATGGAGGGAGGGTTTAAATGGCGGTTTTTACAAGCATAATTTGTATGCAAATACAAAGTACGAATGACTTAAAACTGAGTACTTGTATTAGATAAGCTGATAAAGAGTGAGTTTCGGATGAGGTAGATTTTAAAATATCAGAATAATCTATGTACTACACATTATAGATTTGAACATAATGTATTTTATTCCTTATATTAATCCGATACATAATAAATGTGAAAAGTAAACTCTGTAAATGTGTGTCAAACAAAAAAAAAAAACCCTCTGTAAACGAATTTATTTTGATGGGATGTGTTTGCAGTGTTTTGGATGTGCTTTGCATAATATTCTAAAAAACATTGAAGTAAAGACCAGATTTGTAGAATAATGGTGTTGGATTGAAATTGAAGTTCTTTTAAAGATGTGGTTGGAAATGACATACTTTGTATTGTGTTCGTATCTTCATTCTATATTACTTGTAGCGTTGAAACTTCCTATTTTGTTGATGTATTGACGATAATGTAAATTGCTTACATAAAGTAACATAATAAATATAAATTTATTGTCAATATAATGTCTTCAACTAAAATGGAAAATTAAATACAAGATGTGATTAGAAATGGAATATTTTGCATTGTTTTTAATTCCTAAGTTTGTTTTTTTCATTTTAAATTTATGATAATGATTAAATAAAATTAATTAATACTTTTAACTAAAATATTTATTTAAAAAAATAAAAAAAAAAAAAGAAGAAGAAGAAGAAAGAAAGAACACTAAACAATTTATCACAAGCACTTCCAAAGATTCAATCCCAACAAAGTATCCAACCTTTAACAAGCATTATGTTTTATACTCGATGAAAATAATTTTCAAATCGACTTCATACATCAATTTTGGTCAACTAATCCAAAATGAACAAAATTAATAAAATTTACCAGGCTCATAATTCATCATTACCGATTGTACAAAGCATGGTACAATTGGTTATATGGTGGAGATGACATTGTGGCAATTATATTTATGATTTTTATTATCTAAATTTAAGGTCGGTTCTATTCACCTTATTTGTACTTATTTTAGGTGTAATAAGTTTAAATAAATTCAGAATAATTCATTTCATGAAAAATAAGTTGTGATAATGGGTTACTCAAGTACAAATTACAACTAAAATAAGTTAAGTTCCAAAAAACGGTGAACAATCGAAAAATAAGGTCCATTAATTCAAGCTTTTGTTATAAACAAAGGTCATAGTCACAATCGGTCACTCTATTTCAAAAAAACTAATTATTATACATAGTATTTTTTTTAATCACTTGCGTAATCATACAAAATTAAACTAGACCAATAACGTTAAGGCTGTAATCTATTTAACTTGTTGTTTTTCACTTGTTTCTGATTAATTGCAACAATTTTTTATGTGATAATAACTCACTATTATTTTATTACGAAGTACTTATTTATCCAGGTCACTAACAATTAAATACACCCCACTACCTATTAGAGCTGACAAATGTGTTGTGTTGCATTTGAATCGAAGTTAAATGTGTCGAAAGACCTCAACACTAACTCGGTCCATTTAATAAACTTTTCATGTTGACCCTTTTAACTAATCGTGTCGAAATGACCTTAACACTAACTCGCTTTTTCATGTCATGTTTGTGTCGTATTGTCTTGTTATAAGTATAAACTAGTTTTTGGGCCCGGGCGATGCCACGGACTAGGGCTGTTCATCAGTTCAAAACTGGATCGACCTGGATTGGATCGAAGATTGAAAATTAGAATTTTAAAAATTGAAGACCGGACCGATTTGGACCGATTTAAGATATTTTTTTAATCTAAATTTTTAATAAAGTTATGGAAAACACGAAAAAAGTAAAGGAAAAACTATATTTTAACGTCTTCTTTTGTATGTTTAGTACAAAAAAGCTTATAAAACTAAGGGCCTGTTCTCATTGACTGAACTCAGTTGAACTGAATTGAAATGAAATATTTTATAAGAGAAGGAAATTAGGAGCTGAACTGAACTGAAATGAATATTTTATAAGAGAAGGAAATTAGGAGCTGAACTGAATTAAACTGAATTTCAACGTAAGAGAACAAGCCCTAAAGTTTTCTAAGCTTATTAACGATAATCTTAACCATTATTTAAGAGGTATATTTTTGTGTAAAAAAAAAAAAAGAGGTATATTTTTAATAAAAAAAAAGTCTGTTCCAAGACCAATTTTTATAGGGTTTTGGACTGGACTGAATCGAAGACCAGACTGATTATTTCGGTTCGGTCCAGGCCCGTGGTGATCCGATCCATTTTTTTTTGTCCGGTCTGATTTATGAACATCCCTACCCTGACTATTACATGAAATTAACTGATCATTAATATACATTGTCATTTATGATTTAATTTCTTTGAATGAATGTGTTTTTTTAAAAAAAAAATATTTAAACCATTTGATTTATACTTTTATATGTATGTATTTATAACATGTTTGATAATTAGCTTAGATGGCTACATAGTCAATTTTGTTGTAAGTGATTTGGGGTTTGAATCCTCTTATCTTGCGTATATACGTTTTATAAACGTCTTTTAATATATTATTCATTGTCGAGTTGACCCATGTTATTAAGCGGTCATAAATCTTTGACACTAACTCAATTTCGTGTTCAATTCGTGTCATGTCAGCTTATGCTCTATATTTTAAAATTCTTAATTTGATTCTTACTTTATAAATTTCCAAAAATTATCCTCGTACTATTCATTTAATGTTACAATTAATACAAAAGGACTACGGTGATTGCGAAAAGAGAGAACACGAGGCAATAATACAGTAGTGTAGGGGCACAATAGAAAATAGAGCATATAAATGTGGAGTTGCCACGTGTATTACACCTCAAATAACACGCGGCAAACTACCTTCCCAAAACACTGAAACAAGTGAAGCAAATTCGATACCTTTTTATTTGGGAAAAAATACATTGATAATTTGAGAGAACTTTGAGATTCATTTTGGTTGAAAATTATGGAAGAAACCAATTTAAGCAGAAGAAATAGTAGGATGGAAGAACAACATAAATTATGTTTCTCAAATATGAAAAATAGTTGCCTCACTTTTTGCGTTTCCGTCCAAGAATGTCTTGGCTATTGCAAAGCATTTGTTGTTGGCCAGGTACCTCTTTTCAATCTTACCTTTCTATATTTTTTTTACAATGAAGTACTTTGACGATATTTCGATCGTATTTTGTTCACCTTATTTTTACTTATTTATTGGAGAATTCTCGTTATTTATTGGAGAATTCTCGTAAGTTTAGTTTTCAAAAGAAGCAAGTTCCGCTCATCTTATTTTTACTTATTTTTTAAAAATATGTTCAAATAAATAAGTTATGATAGGTTAGTTTAGATTAGATAATTTCAGCAAAAAAAGAATGTTTAGATTGATTCAAATAAGCAATTTAGCGCTAATACGGGTTAATTAGGATTACACAAGTTTAATTTTCAACTAAATGAGGTCTAATAAGTTCAGTTAATTTAAGTTTGGATACGTTCTAATAAGTGAAAATTTGGGAATAATTAGTATACTTCACCTCAGTTTTTGGCTTCTAAGGTATCAATTAATCAATGTCCCTCCCTATACACATGATTACATGAGTAGTATTGACTTACGTCAAACATAAATTACTTGTGGTGTCTATAATTCAATTTTGACGAATTACCTAGTATTTAAAAACGCAAACAATAATTGGGTATGTCTCGTTATTGTAAGAAATTACCATATCTCCTTATTACCCCGGGTAATAGTGAAAGATACCCCGATGATGTATTGGTCAATGGTTAAGACTGAGAGTCTGTGTACAATTGTACATTAAGTCTCAAGTTCAAATCCCTCACCTCTATTTGTAATTTGTATTACCGTTGTGGGCCTTGTGGCTCATTGAGTAAAAATCAGATGAATAGGACATGAGCAGATGACTTGCATCGAAGATTAGGCTAGGAATCACTTGAATTGCATCCGTTATTCGTATTCCACACTCGTGATCATAATGACTAACAAAGGTGTGGTGTCTTCAACTCATTTTTGGTAAAATCGGTTTAAGTTAAACTTTTCTGCATTTGTACATTCTTTTGTTCAACTTACATTGAACTTATTTGGGCTGGAAGCCTGGAAGTACTGACTTTGTTTTATCAGTTGAATTGAGTTGGAACTTTCGAACATCATTTATCATATCGGGTAGTAACCCTAGACCCTAGTTGATCCCCGAGATTCCAATATCATGTCATATACCCTGAATTTATATCCCAAAAGTCCCAAAAA